ACCTGTGGGAGGAGCTAGGGGGGTACTCAGAGGGCATTCAGAGGCCAGGGGGCAGGGGCAGGCGGCAGGGAAGAACAGGATGAGGTGTGGACGAATTGATGGGGGTGACCTCCCAGCCTCCAGTTCTGCTGTGACCCCAAAGCCCTTCTGAGAGGCGGCATCTTGAATTGCCTCCCTGCCATTGTCCCTGCCAAAGAGCAGCCAGCCTGGAAGGGGCATAGTCTACCTTTAATGGAAATCATGGATGCTTTGAAATGGGGGACGCCTTGAAGAGGGAGGGGTGGCCTGGGAAACAGGTCAGGATGCTCTCCTCCTCCAGGGCAGGGCAGGTGCGCTGGCTGGGGACTCAGAAGATAGCAGGGACGATGTAGTCAGTGTGAACATCATTGATCAGGCCGGCCCCATTGTTGTGGACGAACCAGCAGGTCACCTGGGCCCCGTGCCGGGGGACCTTGCTGTAGTCTTTTTGCAAGCCCCTGGGGAAAGACAAGGCAGCTGGGGTCACCTTTAGGATCCAGCAGGGCTACACCTCCCAGGAAGCCCACCCCATCACCACCATGTGACACCAGGAGGAAGGCTTGGACTATTGATGGGCAACGCCAAGGGCACAGATGCTAGGAGAGCAGCCCACCCACCTGGTGATGGTAAGTCGTTGGTTCTTTACCACCATTGTGGCGTCTGTCTTTGTGGGGTCAGAGCCTGGGTGCAGGTCGAACACTTTATAATCAAAGGGGTGAAAGAATTGTCCTGGAAAGGCACATTGGAGGCAGCAGTTACTGGCAGGGAGCTTTGTTCATGCCTTGCACTTAGTAGGAGCTCACTGGAGGTTTAAGGGTTGTTTGAATATTTCAAGAGCTTGACTGTTTCTCATAAATTTTGGCATCAAAGCCACTCACTTAGTTCACCTGCTATAGAGAAGCAGCTGTATTGTCAGCTGGTCACACCTCCTGTCTTTTTGGACCAATTCCAAAGGAATCTGGCTGGGAGAGAGGTTTGGTGGGTGGGTGCCCCCACAGAATACTTCCTGCAGGAAGGCCACAAGAAGCACTGTGGCTGTGACCATCCCACCCAGGGGGCTCTGGGCCCACTGGACCTTTCTCTTTGCTGATGGGGCCTCTCTCTGTTTGCTCCCAGGCCTCCTTACTCTTCAGTTTCACTGTGCGTTTGTTTAATCACAGCCTTTTGGGGGTCGAGACCCTCACCAGGACAAACCCTCTTTGGATCTCTGAACCTTGGCGTTCACGTTGGAGGTGACCCTGACCAGATGCCCACCTGCAGAGCTGACCAGTCCCCTGGCTTCAGTGCCCCACCCCCACAGCTCAGCCCACTGAGTCTGGGTGACCCAGCAATGGAGGGACAGACAGACCAGTCTCCTCCATGGGTAGATGCTGACGGGAATGTGACTTCATGGGCATCTGATTCCTCTACCCTGTTCCCACCCCGGAGCTCGCAACGTAAATCCTGAGAGTTTGGGAGGAGAGGGGCAAACCTAAAGGACCCTCTGCACCGCCCGCAGAGCAGGTCTTGGTATTCACCGAAAGCTTGGAATTCAGCCTCTGAGCGAGCGCCTTTCCCCTTTGCCCACTGTGCCCAAGCTCAAACTTGGGCAGCCAGGCACACAGTGTGAGGCCATGCCTCCGAGTCTGGGGAGAAGGACAGAGACTCAGGGTTGGGGGGTCAGGGGGTGATGCATCATCTGGAAGGTTTCCTGGATGAATGGGGCTTTGGACTGGCTTGAATTGAGTGAGCAGGGAGAGGTGGGAATGGGTCTCAGCCTGAAGGCCTGGGTTCTAAGGAGGCTCTGGTCTCTCCAAGGCTGGCCCCGAGGGAGCCCCCATCAAGAAGAAGCGCCCCCCTGTGAAGGAGGAGGACCTGAAGGGGGCCCCAGGGAACTTGACCAAGAACCAGGCGATCAAGTCCAAGACCTACCAGGTCATGCAGGAGTGTGGTGAGTGTTCTCAGGGGGCTGGGGACCGAGGGGTGCAGATGTGTGTCAGTAGGAGGGGGTGAGCTGGGGGGTCCTATGGGTCTTTTCTAAGAATCCAGAGCTCAGGGGCTCCCCACAAAAGAGGCTATCTGTCGCCAGGAGGCTGGGCTGGGCCTCTGACCTCCCCATCCTGCCCGCAGAGCAAGCCGGCGTTGCCGCACCATCTGTGTTCAGCCGCACCCGGACCGGCACTGAGACCGTCTTTGATAAGCCGAAAGCTGGGCCTGCCAAGAGTGTCTTTGGCTGAGAAGTACATGGCACGCCACCCCCTGGGCACTGACAACACCTAGACACAGTAGTCTTTCCCAAGAACTCTGTCATGCCAGCACTGCCCTGCTCCCCTGTTGCCTCTGGGACCTCCACCCCTCCCCCCTCCCCGTGGCCTCTCAGCCCAGGCCCTCTGCCCCAGGCCCTGGGAAACACCAATAAAGAGGATGCCCAAGCGGCCCCGGCATTTGGAGAGTGTCCTTGGGAACTGGCATGGCCCCTGCGTGCGGGTGGACATGGTCTGTACCCTCCATGTCTCTGGGAGGGTCCTTATGATCCTGAGGTGCTATTGCCACTGCCCCATCCTAGCAAGAGCCTGGGGTGTGGGGATCTGGTGCTGATCTGTGTGACCTCAGACCATCTCCCCTCTTCTGAGGCTGTTTCCCCTTGTATGTGACAAGGGAGGTGAGCTGAGGCCCAGTGCACAAAACAGGCCACGTGGACAGAGTGAAGCAGGTGGGGCCCGGGCTGCCCCTCCCCCTGCCTTCCACAGAAGCCAGCCAGATGCTCCTCAGGCCCCCAAGGCTCTGCAGGAGCCAGGGACCTTGCGGGCCGCCTCCCCCTGCGCCCTTGTTCCGCCTCCTCACCATCTTGCATCCCTCACAGACAAAGCCACGCCAAGGCTCCTATGGCCAGTGGCAGTCTGCTTCCTGAGCTGCTCACCTCCCAACTCCAGGTGAACCTCCCGTTGTCCCTCCCACAGCTCTGCCTGAGGCCTGGGAAGTCTGGGCTCTGGGCTTGTGTGAGATCCTTTCCTCTTCAGGCCTCAGTGTCCCCGGTGTGCATGGAGCTCTCAGATTCAGGGCAGTACGAAGGCCCGTCCAGCTGTGACAGAAAGACCATGGACAGTCCAGGACTGGGCTGGCAGGGCCTGGGCTCCCATGCTTGGCTGAGGACTGTGCCCTTAGGCCCCCTGCCCTGCCTGTCCCCTGGGCAGGTGGAACGGGCTGCTCAGAGCCTTTCCCATGTCCAGGCCTAGCCTGGCCTCCTTATATAGCTGTTTCCAGGTTGGGCCTGTGTTCTCTGCCCTGAGGAAGTAGACCATTTTATTGCTGTTTGTTTTAACAGCTTTTCCACTTTAGTCCTGGCTGGTATCGCTTAGTTGGTTGGAGAGTTGTCACCAGGTGGTGGTTTCGATCCCCGGTCTGGGTGCCTGCATTAGGCAACCGGTACATGTTTCTCACATCAATGTATCTTTCTCTCTTCCTTCCTCTCTCTTCCCCTCCCAAACCCTCCCTCCCTGCCTCCCTTCCTCTAAAACCAATTTTAAAAAAATCATTTCAACTTTATTAAAGGAAAATCTAAAGTCATCAGTAATCCTACCCCAAGCCTGGGGCCACCGTCCATGGGTCTGGGCTGGTGACAAGGGCACTGCCTTGGTGTGCTGACAGAGCAGCCATCTGCCCTTTCCCCTTCAATCTACAGCCTCACTGTGGATCCCTTGGCATGACTGACCTCCATGCAGGTCACTGGTATATACAAGCCACCACAGGGAATCGCCCCCTGAGGAGCTCTGTCCCTTCTGGTTTGTTCCACACGTTCAGTAAATTCCCCAGAGGGAGGCCTCTCGGTTTGTGTTGCCAAAGTGCAGGTCTTGTGTTGGGGGCCTTGCTGGAGTTGAACCCAGAGCCCTGGCTAGGTTAATGGGGCCTGAACAGCAGCCTGGGGCCCCAGGAGAGAGAAGGGTCTCCTGGGCCCAGCCTCTCTCACCCCAGAAATAAGTCAGATCCACCCTGCCTTGACCCCAGCAGACGTTGCCCCACTCAGACACCCCAAGGAGTGCTCAGGGCCTGTAGGGCCCCACTGCCCAGTCACACCAACCTGGCCTGCAGGCTCCTTCCTCCCCGAAGCTGCCCCCGCCCTCCTCTTCCCAGCCACCCCTCTGTCTCCTCCAGGCTGGGCTGATGTAGAGTGGGCTGGTTCGCTGTTGTGTCCCCAGGCCCCAGGGCGCTTGTTGGTGGACCGACTGGTGTAAAGGGTAATGGTGACCTGGGAACGTTCTAGACCTTTCAGAACGCATGCCAGTACCTAGCTCCCACCTGAGCCTGCCTTTCCTCAGTATAGCAGGTCCTGGAATAATGACCTTTTATTCAACCTCTTTAGGTTATGATGTTGATGAGGAAAAATGTCAATTCCTAGTGGGGCCACTGTGTGGAGTTTATTGGCGTCCCCATGTCTTTGGGTTTTCTCCATGGTTTCCTCCCACATCCCCAAGATGTGCACGTGAGGTGAACCGGTGTGTCCCCATCGTTCCAGTCTAGTGTGGGTGTGTGTCAGTGTGACCTTTGGTGGAGGGGTGTCCTGTGCAGGTTGGGGTCTCACCTTTTGCACACTAAGCTGCTGGGAGAGGCTTTGGGCATCTGAACCCCTAAACTGGAATAAGCAAGTTGGAAAAGCATGATCTCACTTGGTTTTATGAATCTTTCTTAAATATAAGTATAGCTCACACTGATTTCAACATTTTGGATTTTTATCTACAAGTTTGGTGATGCTTTGTGACCAGAAATAGGCCACAGGAACTGAACTCGTTTCTAAGGTGAACATCATTTCACTTAAAGTTGACGTTTCCAAGAACCTGTCCTGATAACACTGAGGACTTATTGTCCACATGTCTATCCCCAGCCAAGGTCCACAGGACATTCACTTATCTGAGTCCACTGCAAGTTTTGGCTTGTAGATCCCACTTTCCCGGACCCTGCCCCCGGAGGGGCGGAGCAGCAAGCAGGTTACTAAATCATTCCCCACTTTCTCTCAAGTTCAGAAGCAGCCTGCCAGGCACTGGAGCCCAAATGAAGCCCCCAGGACCTGCCCGCGTCGGTGCCATTGTGCTGGTTTTGCTCTCGCTGCTGGCTGTGCTCCAGACCACCTGTGCCCAAAAGGTAGCGGGTGCCTCAGGCACCTGTGTGCGCATGGGAGTGTGAGTGGTATGAGCTGGTGAGTGAGTGAGAACATGTGTGAGTGTGAGCGTGCAAGTGAGCACAGATCAGTGTGTGTGCAAGAAAATGGTACTGACCATCCACCAGGCATTTCCCAAGGGCTTGATGGACAGTCCCCCTCCCCCTGCCCGTCTTAAGCTAAAAGGGGTGAGCCTATTCCATGTTCTAGGTGAGGAATTGCTGTCTAGCAAGTTGCCCCTGGAGGCTGGCAGTCAAGGCAGGGTGTGGGGGGGGATCATGAGCCCAGCTTGCCCTCTCCCTGGCTGAACGTCCTCAAGGTAAGGACGCGTCCTCGGTCTCCCTTTCTTCATCTGTGAAGCAGGGTAATAATAGACGCTATTCAGAGGTTTGTTGTGAAGATGGAACCTGTAACACTATGAAGTGCTTAGTACAGTGTCTGGCACAGAGCAGACACTCACGTGTGTAACAAGCCGCTCAGCCAGGCACCCACCTCTGCTAGGCTACGTCTGTAGGTGAACAGAGCTGGCATGTACACAAGTGTGTCGTATGCAGGCTGGCAGATGTTTTAAGGCTTCTCATGTGTGCACATGCGAACCTTAGACCTGGGTGAAAGGTCAGGTGCCTGGGACAGTGGCCTGTGGGGACTGTCCGTCTCTGCAGGGCCAGGGCCTGGGCTGCAGGGCAGGGCAACTGGGGGTAGCGCCCACGGCTGCAGGGAAAGGGGGCAAAGGAGAAGGCTCCCAGCTCTTAGGGACTGGACCCTGGTCATCTCCAGATTCTCCCAGCTCCTGGAGGCCCCTGTGGGGACTGGCAGGAGCGGTTCCTCCATTTCTGGTCACCAGAAATCAAAGGACTTGTTTGCTGCCCTGACACTGTTCAGAGCGAAGACCTTGAGCTTCCGGATCCCAACCGGGGCCAGGAAAAGTGAGTCCCTCCCAGACACACTGGGGCTCAGGCTCCACCTTCCATCCCCTGTGTGTTGACAGAGTGGCCCCTGCCCCCTGGCACTGTAGGGTGCGGAATGGGGCACAGAGCTGCCTCTGATTTCAGAGAAGGATCCACAGGTGAAATGCCTCCCGGGCTTTGCCTGAGGCATCCATCGCTCAGCCTGGGTAGGGCCAGGGCTTGGTTTGGGACCTAGGTCAAGGCCTGTTCTTGAAGAGCATGGCTCCAAGCAGGGCTGGCGTTGAAGCAGCTCCACCCCCTCCTTCACTGCCCCAGAATGCCATCGACATCTACAGCCTCACTGTGGACTCCAGGGTCTCCTCCCGGTTTGCCCACACGGTCATCACCAGCAGGGTGGTCAACAGAGCGGATTCCATACAGGAGGCCACCTTCCAGATGGAGCTGCCCAAGAAAGCCTTCATCACCAACTTCTCCATGTAGGTGCCTTCCTGCCCCCTCCGCGTCCCCTCCCCATCCAGCACTGCCATCCCCTCCCCAGGTGTCCCTCAGGGAGAGAGGACCTCCTCCTGACAGGAGGTGTGTGCTTCCCCCTGTAGGCAGGACAGGAACCAGAGGCTTTATCAGGAACTTATTCCCAGAAACGTTCCACCCATCCCCCACTCCCTTCCTTCCTCTTTTCATCCCTTTACTCCTCCCACCTTCTATCTCTTTCTCCATTCTCCCTTCCTCCTCCCTCCCTCCATATTCCATCTGTCCCTCCATCCCTTCCTCCTTTCACCCCTCCCTCCACCCACCTCTGCATTCCTCCCTGCCCTGTGCTGGTGGGAAGAGCGTTCAGAGCCTTTTAGCCCTGTGTCTCTCACTGGCCTGGGAGCCTGGCATCTCCCTCCTCCTCAGTCAGCCCCACACAGCTGGGCACTTGGCTGGGTGCAAACGCAGCTCAGAAAACGTGTGCTGCTGTTCGACAGGTTCCTCTGGGACAGTCTATGAGATGGAGGGGGCAATTGGAATGTGGGGCCAGAGTGAAAGGGAGAAGATAGGCCAGGACTTAGCTCAGCCCTGTCTTTTCTACAACCTTCCTCTCCTGTCCGTTCAGTAAAACAAATGTTCATTTCCAAAGTGCATGCCTCGGGGTAGATGGAGGCCTGGCACACCTTGCAGAGGCTGCCAGCCCTTACCCCAGGCCCTGCACAATCTTGTACACAGCAGGGGTATAATAAACGTGTGAGGTCTGGTCAAGGTAGGAGTCACTCTATCAGGAGGCACAGCAAGTCCCAGAGAGGCTCCCTGGAGGAGGTGGGATTAGAGAGAGGCTCCCCCCACCAGACTCTTGACAGCACCCACCCTCCTGCCCCAGGATCATCGACGGTGTGACGTACCCAGGGAACATCAAGCAGAAGGATGCAGCCCAGCAGCAGTACAGTGCGGCCGTGGCCAGGGGGGAGAGCGCTGGCCTAGTCAAGTGAGCCCAATGGGGTGCGGGAGACCCCAGTGGGGGTGGGGCAGAAGTTGTCCCTGCCTGTAGTTCTGCTTCTGCCTTCAGTGCCCATACCCTACCTGGTCTGGAGGGGCAGGCCTGATGCCCTCCTCCCCCAGGGCCACTGGGAGAAAGATGGAGCAGTTCCAGGTGTCGGTGAGTGTGGCCCCCGCTGCCAAGGTCACCTTCGAGCTGGTGTACGAGGAGTTGCTCATGCGGCGCCTGGGAGTGTATGAGCTGCTGCTGAAAGTGCAGCCCCAGCAGCTGGTCAAGCACCTGCAGGTACCTGGAACCTCCACCTCCCAGGAGGCCTCCTGGGTGACCTCTGTGCAGCCGAGGGTGGCCCCCCTGTCCCCTCAGCCTCTTGTGAGGCCCAGCCCTGGCTCCTGGCTAACCCAGTGACCCCTTCTTCTTCCAGATGGACATTCACATCTTTGAGCCTCAGGGCATCAGCTTTCTGGAGACAGAGAGCACCTTCATGACCAATGAGCTTGCAGACGCCCTCACCGTCTCACAGAACCAGACCAAGGTGGGCCTGCCACAGTGGATGGGAGGGTAGGGGCCTGTCTTCAGGCTGCCCTGTGATCCTGGATTCCCAGAGAGTGGGACAATTGGGCAGAATCTCTCAGCTGGCGGACTTCTGAGGTCTCTGTGTCCGCGCTGACATGAGGGAGATAAGGGCAAGGCCTAGAGGAAGACCGCAGGTGCTGCTTGACCCTGAGTTTAGGGGGCGACTGGGAGAGGACACTGATCTGAGGGTCCCAGGACCAGGCGGAAAGGCGGAGGCTGGATCATACACATCCTGAGCCCTGGCTCTGCTCACACGGCTCCGGAGCAGAGGCTCCTCGCTCACACCCATCCACTGTACTGAGGCCGTCCACCTGACAGCCCAGCCTGAGAGAAAGTTCCCTGGGATTTGACATACGGGGAATTCTCATCCCGGCTGATTCTCAGGTGGGGTGAGGGGTGTGTATGTGGCCTCACTGCTCCCGACATCAGCCCAGTCGGACTTTCCTCCAGGCTCACATCCGATTCAAGCCGACGCTCTCCCAGCAACAGAAGCCTGCAGGGCAACAGGACACAGTCGTGGATGGCGACTTCATCATCCGCTATGATGTGAACCGCACCCTCTCTGGAGGCTCCATTCAGGTGCGTGGGCTGCAGGGGAGAGCAGAATAACTAGGAAATCCACCCATCCTCAGGAGCCTGAGCCTGGCTGTTGCAGAAGAAAAGGCAAAAAAACTGCTCCTGTCGGTCAGTGTGCAACGAAGGCCACAGACAGAAAACACGCGGTTTAGTTATGCTGTCCCTGAAAGAATTCCTTTTCAGAGGCAGAGAGTTTCATCTGCTAAAGAAGGTTTATTACCGCTAAACCGCCTCAGATATTCAAACGAATAGGAAGTGAAGTGGAGTAGAGTTTTAGGGGGTCATGCATAGCCGGGAAGGTTTCAGCAAATTAGTGGCTTGACTGAGTCCTAAGATAGTGAGGCAGACAGGGGGCCGGAGGGTGAGGGTGAGTGGGAAGAGATCAACCAATAGACTTGTGTGCATAAATGCATAACCCATGGACACAGACAGTAGGGTGGTGAAGGACTGGAGCGGGTGGCAGACTGGAAGAGGTCAATGGGGGGAAAGGGGCACATCTGTAATACTTTCAACAGCAACGAATAAAAAAATATATGACGAGCATTTGGGGAGGTTAGCAGTGAGGCTGTGACAGAGGAGCTCAAAATGAAGAGAGGATGGGGACCCGGGGATTTGGGGTAAGGAGGTGGGTGGGGCAGGGCAGGGCAGGGCTGCAGTTCTCATCATTGGGGTGTGTCTCACTCTGGTCATAGATCGAGAATGGCTACTTTGTGCACTACTTTGCCCCCGAGGGTCTCTCCACGATACCCAAGAATGTGATCTTCGTCATCGACACGAGTGGCTCCATGATGGGCAAGAAAATCCAGCAGGTGGGTACCATAGGCAAGGTTAGGGCCCTGAAAACTCTCAGATGCCTCACACCATCAGCTCTGGTCTAGCAGGCAGACCCTCCCTCCTCCATCTTCCTGGGTAGGAGGCTTCCAGAGACACAGGTTGGAGCTGGTCCTGCCCCGGGAGCATTCACCATGTTCCCACTGCAGGTGTGGGCCTGGGGTGCAGCCCAAGGGCACATGAACCACCAAGGAGGTCCCACTGAGACACCCACTTTGTTTCCCCTTCACCTGACCAGACGCGGGAAGCCCTCATCAAGATCCTAGAGGACCTCAGGCCCGAAGACCACTTCAACCTCATTAGCTTCAGCAGTGAAGCAAGCCAGTGGAAGCCATTGCTGGTGCCAGCTTCCACCCAGAACGTGGAGGAGGCCAAGAAATACGCTAACAGCATCCAGGCCCGGGGAGGTGAGCGCCAGGGCAGCCCTGCAGGGTGGGGGCATCCGGGCATGAGCTCCACCTGAGAGCCATCCTGAGATTGTGTGTCCTCAGGAACCAATATCAATAATGCAATGCTGATGGCCGTGCAGCTGCTGGACACAGCCACCCGGGAGGAGCAGCTGCCCTTAGGGAGCGTCTCCCTCCTCCTCCTCCTCACTGATGGCGACCCCACTGTAGGTGAGAGCACAGCGGCAACTCCAGGGCACAGCACAGAGGGTATCGCTGGAGCTCCATCCTGGCTTGCTGTGGGCCCTGGAGAAGGAAGGGAATCCCTGAGGCCTCTCTGGCTCTGAGATTCCAAAAATATCCCCTGAGCAAATCTCTGTTTTCTCACTCCTGTCCCCAAACACTGGGTCCAGGCGAGACCAACCCCAAGAAGATCCAGAAGAATGTGAAGGAGGCCATAGGCGGTCAGTACAGCCTCTTCTGCCTGGGCTTTGGCTTCGACGTCAGCTACGCCTTCCTGGAGAAGCTGGCGCTGGACAACGGCGGCCTGGCTCGGCGCATCTACGAGGACTCGGACTCTGCCCTGCAGCTGCAGGTGCCAGCCTACCCCTGAGGGCTGGGTGAGTCAGGGACGACCCTGCCCGGCCCGCGTGACACCCCCCACTCTGCAGGACTTCTACCAGGAGGTGGCCAACCCCCTGCTGACCACAGTGTCCTTCGAGTACCCAGGCAATGCCGTGGAGGAGGTCACGCAGGACAACTTCCCGCTGTTCTTCAAGGGCTCTGAGATGGTGGTGGCCGGGAAGCTCCGGGCCCAGAGCCCTGATGTGCTCTCAGCCACAGTCAGCGGGCAGCTGGTGAGTGTGGCCAGCCATCTGGCGTGGAAGGGTGGTTTTAGCAGGCATTCGGAGGGCTAGGTTCCAACTCCAGCCTGTCAGACTCCAGCCCACTAATCTTTGCCAAGTGACAAAGTGCCCCCTGCCACCATGGGGGACCCCAGTCCCCACTGCATGGGCTGGTGGTGGAGATTCCACAAGATAATGTCCTGATTCTCCTGAGAGCACCTGTGCTTGGCTGCACATGGTAGGAACTTCATAGTGAGTCTTAGTTGCTGCTGTGCCCTAGGTCAGTGGACGGCAAACTGCGACGCGGCTCATGAGCCACATGAGGCTCTTTGGCCCCTTGAGTGTGGCTCTTCCACAAAATACCGACTTCTGCGCATTGGCCAAAGAGCCGCATGTGGCTCGCGAGCCGCGGTTTGCCGACCACTGCCCTAGGGCACCGGGTTTGACATCCCCTCTGTCCTCCACCAGCCCTCTGAGATTGCAGTCAGGCAGGGAGGGCTGCTCTCACTTTACAGATGAGCAGATCAAGGTCCAACCTACCCTGGGGCCCAATGCAGCCCAGGCAAGACCCACCCAGCTCACCACATGGTGCCCGCTCCTCGCCCAGTTCTCCCTGCCTCTGTGCCACCGGGGACCCCTCATTCCACAGAGAGAAACTGAGCACCTGCTCTGAGCCAGAGCCTTCCTAGGCCCTAGGGATCCTGCCCTCATGGGAGAGACATTGGGTAACTCGTCACACAAACAAGGAAAGACCCAGAGGCTGGGGTGTCTCTGAGAGGATGAACCCAGGGACTTAGGGGAGCAGCATGGGAGCCCCAACGTGGCCTGGGGATCCGGGAGGGCTTCCTGGACAGGCCTCAGCTGTGACTGTGGGATGAGTAGGAGGTGGCAGAGGCCAGATGGGGAAGTGATGGAGGAATGTTTCAGGCATGCGTGGCCGGCAGCAGGATGTGCAGGGAGAATAGCAGGTGGACAAGGCATGCAGACACGCTGGGACCAGGGCTGAGTCTCAGAGCAGTAGCACGTGTCACAAGGAGCATTGCATGCAGGTGACCAGTAGCTTGGCTTCCACCCCCTCTTTGGCACCTCCGAGGGGTGAGGTCTGCGCATTTCACCTAATCTCCCCGTGCCTCCGTTTCCTCCTGTGTGAAAATGAGAATAGGTCATCTTACCCACCTCATGAGACAGCTGTGGGGATTAACATCTGGCCCAGGGTAAACATTCCACACATGTTATCCTGGAGGATGGGAGTTCCCAAAGTGCGGAACCCAGGGTGACAAAGGGGGTGCCATGTCTTTGTTTGAGTAATTATGTATTTATCCTAATATATCTTCTGAAAAATATAATTCCAAACCCAGACCGAGCATTTCCCTGGTAGTCTTGCTTGGGACAAGGCCGAGGGAAGAAGGTTAGTCTGTTTATTCCACTTAAGGAAAACCTTCCAATAGATAGCTGTTCAGGTGGATAGGACATTTGTGCAGGTGGATAGGACATTTGTGCAGATGGACAGGACATTTGTGCAGGTGGATAGGACATTTGTGCAGATGGACAGGACATTTGTGCAGGTGGCCTGCAGGTGACAAAGGCGTGGCAGGCCCGGCTCTGGTGAGAGACAGGGGAAGGCGTCTCCAGCAGCGGGGATGGGGTCTGGTCCACATCGCAAAGTCTTTTGGCCGCCGGGGAATTGTGACAGGAAAGCCTGGAGTTCCTCTGCCCACAGGCCCCACTTCCCAGGCTGCTGGCCAGGTCAGCCTGAGAGCAGAAGGCCCCACCCCGGGGAAGGAAGTAGCTGTCCACCTGAAACTTGGGCACTTGCCTCGCTGTCACCACTGGACAGTGCCTGGTCCCAGCAGGGGGCACCAGCTTGGTCAGGGGCAGCCTAATGGGGTACATGGGGACCCAAACCCTATCAAGGCCTGAGCCCTCTTTCGAACTCTGCCATGGTTGCTGGGAAGGCACTTGTCTCTGTCCCCAGAGTCTCCATCTTTGGGGAGGGCCGTCTTGGGACCCTTTCTGCTTTAAATGCATTTGCTGCTGCTTCTGCACTGTCCTGGGTTGCAGATCTCATCCCCATTGTCCTTCCTCCCAAAAGCTTCTCCAGATCTGAGTTCCTGGCTTTGCACCTGTGATAGTTCCTACCTTTTCTCTCCACCTCCTTCTCATCCTTGGAGGCTCTGTGGCTGAGCCCCTTATGCCCCTAAACTCCCTCCCTGCTCCCCACCTAATCGAAGGGAATGCGGTCCTCACAGCCAATCCGTGGGACCTGCCCAGTCCCAATTAGGTTTCTCAAGGAAGTGCTGGGAAGCGGCAGGCCAGGTGCGGGCGTCAGGCACTCACTGCTGCCGCCTGGCTGGGCCCCTTTTTCCAGCCCACGGAGAACATCACCTTCCAAATGGAGTCCCAGGTGGCAAAGCAGGAAGAGGAGTTTCAAAAGCCCAAGTACATCTTCCACGGCTTCATGGAGAGACTCTGGGCGTACCTGACCATCCACCAACTCCTGGAGCGAATGTGGGTGGCCTGCACCCCCAAGGGCCTGCTGGGGTGGCCACACACGGCCTCAGTGTCTCCCCAAGCTCCTCATGGGTGGGACAGCACAGGTGGCCTGGGCATCTCCTAGGTATGGAGAGAGGGGGGTCATGGAGTGGTGTCTGAGCTCCACACTCTGCCAGTAGGGACCCGCCCCCACCCCCAAGGGTCTGGAAGGGAGGGAGAATGGAGCTAGGCATCCAGGACCTGCTGGCCCTCTGATACTCTCTACCTGCAGGGTTTCCACATCCGATGCTGAAAAGCAGGCCCTGGAGACCCAAGCTCTGGGCTTGTCGCTCAACTATAGCTTTGTCACCCCCCTCACGTCCATGGTGGTCACCAAACCTGAAGGCCAAGAACAGTCTCAAGTTGCTGAGAAGCCCGTGGAAAATGGTGGGTGTGACAGTAGGCTCCTAGCTCAGTGGCAACAGAGTTTTGACCCAGTCTCTCCCCCAGGGCTCTCCCCCCAGCCCTTCCCCCACATCCTGACCAAGACCCCCAGGAGATGCATCCCATTTCATTGATGAGGATACCGAGGCCAGGTCTCCCGACCCTCCCAAATGCACTGCAGTTCTGTGGTGCTGGGGTTGGGAAGCAAGGTTAAATAAGCACTTCAAACGTATCAAACTACCCCAATAGGCAGGCTCGCTCTCTCTCTCTCTCTCTCTCTCTCTCTCTCCCTCTCTCCCTCTCTCCCTCTCCCTCTCTCACTTTCTTTCTCTCTCTTCTCTTTTTGTTTTATCCAGGAAAGGTTGCCTCAGGTAAGGGCCTAATACCGTCAAAGGCTGCCCTTCATGACGGGTGGCTGATACAGGACCTCGGACACCAGTTCCACGAAGTTGCTGGCCAGGGTGTCTCCAGCCCAGCCTGCTGCCAGGAGGGGCATTGTCTGCCCAAGCACATTGGTGCATTTAGTCACCTGTTTGTTCAGATATTGGCTGTCCTGGCGCTAGGGGCTCAGTCCCCATCCAGCTGGATGCACACCCAGGTCTCTCTGATTTCCAGGTCGCACTGTCTTCAGACATAGAGCCATGGGACACAAACGGCCCAGATTACCAGGTAGCAAAGGAGCAGCGGTGGTGGGAGGGGAGATTGACAGAACCTTGACCTTGGCCACAGGCTGGGCTCTGCCCTGACTGTGGGTGAGTGGCTTGCTTGGCTCACCTGGCTGGTGGCAGGGCTGGGACTCAAGTTCAGGTGTGTCTGATGAGGAGGCAGCTATGCAGGACCTTTTGTTAGTGGCAGAAGAAACTTCAGAGGACAAGGTAGTTGGAAGTGACTGATATCCCAGCGGGGTTGGAGGAGTTCAAGAAGGGTTCCTTTTCCGGCTTTGAATTTCTCCTGGCTGAAGGGGGAGAGGCTCTCAGAGTGGAGGGTGTGGGGAAGGGAGCCATCTGCCCTCTGTACATGCGTCTCCTGGGGTGGGTCCCAGAGCCCTGTCAGTGGGGAACCATGACCCTGCTTAAGCCAAGACTTTTCCTAAGGTGGAGTTGCCTTGCACGATGGAGGTCATGACGTGCCCAACAGGAAATCTGGACGATCTGGACCTCTTATTCCTTTTTATGAGAAGCTCATGTCTGAGAGAAATCCGGATGTGGGGCTACTGAGCGGGATAGGTGAGCCACTTTCTGACCTCGGAGGCCTCATTTCCCCAAGGGGATGGTAAGCCTGCCTGTAGAGCTGGATGAGAGCAAGCACCCTGCACAGGGCTGGACACCGGCCAGGCAGACTTGATGTGGGCTTGACATGAAGCAGTGTGTCATTTAGTTTCACTGAACCAGACTCATTACACTCTGCAGGCTGGCTCAGGATGGAACCTTCTAGAAAAGGAAGGCTCCCACCATTCCCCAAGCCATGAGTGGCCCCATGAGCTGTGTCTGATCTCCAGTCTGGATTCAGACCCAGCCCAACACCAGGCTGGACCCTGTCTCCTCAGTGTTTCCTAAAAGTGTGCTCTCCTAGGTTGGGTGAATGTGGGGCAGGGGTCCCAGGGCTGGAGCTTGTGGGGCGGGTGCAGGTGGCAGTGATGGCTGGATGGCGTGCTGATAGCGCTGAATCCTGACTGCCTTCTCCCTTTCCGTTTCTGGCCAATCCTGTACTAACATCTTCCTCCTCCTCCGGTCCCACTATAGTGGGTGATTACCTGGATGAAACAATGGAAGGTACGCACCCAGACCAGATTCCCTGAAGTGGACGGCTGCCCTATAGCAGGAAGACCCTGGGATGGGAGAGCCCTGGGGATCTCTAGGAACCTGTTATAGGTTTCTCAATGTTGAAGTGGAGAAGGAACCCTGTCCACATTTATACACTATCCCATCCTTCAGTTCCCCCTGCCCCCAACTGCGAGGAAGGGGATGCCTAAACAAAGACTTTTTCTTTCAGAAACAAGCCCAACAGCCCCACCACCAGGTAAGGTGCCTGCCCCCCCGGAGCCCCCCTTCCCGTCGCTGCCCTCCAGATGTTCTACCTGCCCCAAGAACCGCATCTGCTGCCCCAGCCCCCATCCAGGCTCCGACCTTCATCCTGCCTCTGCCTGGGCAGAGCGTGGACCAGCTCTGTGTGGACATCAAGAGCACCCCGGGGCCATTATTACTCCTGCTCTCAGACCCTGACCAAGGTGAGGCCCTGAGCAGTCACCTTCCGGAGAAACCCGCTGCAGTCAGTGCCCAAAGCGAGCTAGAGGCAGAAGCCCAGAAGAGGAGGCCAGGGCTGTTTGAGGGGCATATGAGGCTGCACGGGGCCACACAGGAGTGACTGGGCCTTGGCAGACAAGTGTGGGTTTACTAGGGAGAGGCAGAGGTTGGCAGAAGCCCAGAGCCCTGAAAGATAGTAGTGGGACCATAGAGAGTCTGGAGGAGATGAAAGGCAAGAGGAGGGAGGTGTGCTGACCGGACCGGCTCCCCACCCCCCAGAATGGTCGTACTGGTTGAGCTGAGGTGTCAAGTCAGACGTGGGGACATACAGCACTCAGGGATGCTCACACACCGTCTCCCACCTCCACAAACCAGGCCTAGAGTCTGTTTGCTCCCTGAGGGCGGGGACCGCTGATTTGCCATCTCCCTCTTGGCCATGGCACCTAGCTCAGGGACCCGCACACTAATGCGCTTTATCAATGTTCATGGACTTTAGACACGATCGCCCTTCTCAGAGTGCTCACCTGAAAGTGTCCATCACTGAGGATTTGTGGTGCTTCCAAAGTCAAATGCAACCAAGGGAGGAGAGAAAAGATTGTGGAAAGCAGACTCCAGTGTGAGGGAATGCTGGGAAAGGGCAGTGAGGAGGGGGCTGGTGAAGGGCAGTTCTCAGGGACGTAATCAGAGAGGGCCAGGCCTCAGACCTCTGCTCCCGGCTCTCTCAGGTCTCGAGGTGACTGGCGAGTATAAGATGGAGAAGGCCCAGTTCTCATGGATCGAGGTGACTTTCAAGAATCCCCAGCTGCAGGTCCACGTGTCCCCTGAGCACGTGGTAGTGACTAGGGACCGAAGAAGCTCTCAGTACAAATGGAAGGAGACGCTGTTCATGGTGATGCCTGGGTAAGCCTCAGGCGGCGTACCAGCAATGACCTCTCAGGCTACGTTAGCCAGTGCCAGTGCTGACCGGTGGCCTGAGGCCACAGGCTTGGGAATGAAGTGCTTGGACTGGGCATGCGTCCTCTGCACTGGGCCGCCCCCACCGGTTGGGCAGAGTCATACCTCTTTTTCTCTCGGGGCACCAGCGGTTGTTCTGGGGACCTGGCTGCTCACGCACGGTCATGCCCCTGAACCGTGACCCTTGCACTCATAATCCACCCACAGACCTTTCATTGGCCACCACATATGCAGGTCTGGGTGGCCTGGCACTTCTGGGGACCAGATGTGGGCCCCCCGGCATGGCCACACCTAACCCAGGTCACTGTCCCGTGCAGGGGACAGTGTGGCTTGGAGCTACACTGCTGCTAATCCTGTGTGGCCCTGGGCAGGCTGCTGAGACCCTCTTAGCCTCAGTTTCCTCACTCATGCCCTGGGAGAATCTCTCCAAGCCTGATTTAAAGGCTAAGGGGAGACCCAGTGAGGGAAGGTGGCAGGGGTGCACTTTGCTCATTAGAAGGGGTGGTGCCCGCGGGGCATGCCGGAGGGCAGCTGTCTCCGTGGTGAGGGAATGATGACAGCAGTGAGAAGTTGGAAGGCACTGTCCGCCAGGGGGAGGCTATGAAAATCTCTCTTAGCTCACTCCTGAAGCTCTGATGGGGAGAGACTGTCCATCAAACACCTGGAGCTGGCAGGTAAGGGATGTGGATGGCGACCTCTTCTGGGTGGGGCTGCCTCACAATTGAACCTTCCAGAGGCAGCTCTGCGGGTCCACAAGTCATGAGGGGCCTGGAGCAGGGCCGAGGCTTGGGCCTTGTGGGATCACTGCCCTCCTAGTCCCAGCCCGTGCTGAGTACAAAGAGCCTCGTCCATGCCCCTAACTGAGCCCCTCAGTAGAGACTGGTTTCCACCTGACAAATGAGTGAGCACCTAGCAAACCTGAGGGGCTCACCTGAAAATCGCCCATTTCATACCGGATCTTAAAGTTTCCTGTTACTTGATAAGTACTTGCGCACCAGAAGATGAATAAAGAGCTCCTCTTAATCATAGCGACAGGGGCCACACACTTTCACGAGCTACAGAAGATCTCCGTGAAGAAAATCAGACCACACGTCCTGTAGTGAGTCCCTTGGAGCCTGTGTAAACTTAGTGCAGGTCCATTAAGGTAACTCAGAGTACCAGCAGGGTCTTGTTCAACGTGCTCTAAGGAGCCTAACATTCCCAAGAAAACCAAAAAGGTAAGAAATCAGAGATTATTTTAAGTAAAAAAGATGGGCATAGAATCAGAAGAGCCTTGCCCTTCTAGATGTTAAACATACAATTAAACACTGATCGTGAAGAGAATCTGGCACCAGCAGAGTGTGTCCGATACCCCGGAATCATATCAAACGAATTTAAGGGGAACCAAATCTAAGAAAACAGAGGGGAAGGAGCTGCTATTTTGTTTTATAAATGCCGGGATCACCAGATATCATTAACGTCACGTTGTCCCCGTTGCTAAGGAGAATGTGTAATGGACTTCCCACTCAAGGCCACAGCTGGATTCCCCCACCCATCCCACCCCAACCTCCAGGGTCCCCTGAGGGTGTGTCCATGCCTACCTTCTCTCAGGAGCCTAGTTTCCCCACAGCCTCAAGATGACCATGGACAAGGCGGGGCTCCTGCTGTTCAGCAGCCCAGACAGAGTGACCATCGGCCTGCTGTCCTGGGACGGCCCTGGGCAGGGGCTTCGGCTGCTCCTGCGGGACACTGACCGCTTCTCCAGCCACGTCGGCGGCCTCCTTGGTATGAGCCCATGACCCTGGCTCAGGGCATCCTCAGATCCAGCTCTGCCTGGGAACAGGCAGTGCCTGTGTCTCCCAGTCCCCGTGTCTTTATCCCTCACTGACCCACCCTTTGTCTCTCAGGCCGCTTTTACCAGGGCGTTGCCTGGGGGCCCCCAGATGCCACAGATGACAGCAAGCGAACACTGTGGACTCGTGGGTTTGAGTTCAATGCCACCAGGTGACTCCACGCAAACAGGCCAGGGGTGGGGACTAGGAGGCTGAGAGCTCGTCCCTGGGGCCTCCACTCCCCTGTCTGTGCCTGGGAACTAGAGATAGTCGGGTGAAAGGTTATGCTTTAGACATATCTGACCCAGCTGTCAGTGTGACCCCCCCAAAAATGGTCAACTCAGACCCACAGAAAACACCCCAGCCAGAGATCACAAAGGATGAGTTGGGGGCATTAGCAAACTCCCTGAATTCTCAGAACCCTGGACCCTGACAACTGGCTGCCCTTGGGTGACTGGGCCTTGTCAGCCTGTGCCGGAGGGGATTCTAAGGGGCCCTGAATCTCCACCTTCCACTTGCCTGTCCCCAGCTCTCTCCCTCTCATCCCATGACACCTGAGATTTGCTAACCACCTGTCTGTCTGTGTGTCCGTCTCTCCATCCCAGAAAGCTCAAGCTGGATTACCAAGAGGGGACCCCGGGAACAGAGCTTTCCTGCTGGTCTATCGAGCTCTGATTCTGATGGCAGGAGTTATACCCACTCGCCCACCCCCTGCGACCGCACCGTGTGCAGATGGCTTCATCTTGTGACCACAGCTACCTGTGGGGGCTCGACCACGATGGGCAGGGGAGTTCCACTTATTACAAATAAAGGCAGGTATTTTAAACTCAGGGAGTGGGCTTCTCTGGTTCCTTCCAGCCAAACCCCAGGCCTGTAGACCCTCCTCCTGAACACTTAGCATCATGTGACATTGGCATCTCCCATAATCAGCCCTCAGAGGCCTGTGGCCAGTAGGTCCTTGAGGAGCTTTGGGTCCACTCCCTTCATTTCATAAGGTGGAAACTAAGATTTCATTTAATAATATCTGCAAATGAGGTTCATACCCTTGACCAGAATTGAAGCCAAGACCTTTAGTATTCAGGTCGATACTCTATCCACTGAGCAAACCGGCTAAGACAGTGGTTCTCAACCTGTGGGTCGTGACCTTTTTGGGGGTCGAATGACCCTTTCACAAGGGTCACCTAAGACCATCGGAAAATACATATATAATTACATATTGTTTTTGTGATTAATCACTATGCTTTAATTATGTTCAATTTGTAACAATGAAAATACATCCTGCATATCAGATATTTACATTATGATTCATAACAGTAGCAAAATTACAGTTATGAAGTAGCAACAAAAATAATTTTATGGTTGGGGGTCACCACAACATGAGGAACTGTATTAAAGGGTCACGGCATTAGGAAGGTTGAGAACCACTGGGCTAGGACCATGAAAACCAGTTTTGACTCTTCCTACCTCCCTTAAAAAAAGTGAACTAGGTGGAAGTTCTCAGCAAGCTTTTGGGCGCCTTTCCCATGGGACTTGCATGATGCAATTTGATTTTCACACCTGTGCTCACCACCTGGAAAGAAGCTAACCCTGGAAGACAGGAGACAGAGAGAGGCCCTCATCCCAGGAGGGAAGCATCTGTCCCATGGAGGTGACCCAGCCCCCAGCTCTAAATCCTCTTCGATGCATGCCCCAGGGATAGTCACCCCCAGATTCCACCCAATTCCTGCACAGTCAGAGCGCACTTAAAAAACAATTATAGCCGAAACCAGTTTGGCTCAGTGGATAGAGCGTCGGCTTGCGGACTGAAAGGTCCCAGGTTCGATTCCAGTCAAGGGCATGTACCTGGGTTGCGGGCACATCCCCAGTGGGAGATGTGCAGGAGGCAGCTGATCGATGTTTCTCTCTCATCGATGTTCTAACTCTCTATCTCACTCCCTTCCTCTCTGTAAAAAATCAATAAAATATATTTAAAAAACAACAACAATTATAGCCCAGGTGACTCAGTTGGTTGGAGCATCACCCTGTACACCCAAAGGTTGCAGGTTCGATCACCAGTCAGTGCACATACCTGGGTTGTGGCTTTGATCCCCAGTTGGAGCGTGTGCAGGAGGCAATCCATTGATGTTTCTCTCTCACATCGATGTTTCTCTTTCTCTCTCTCGGAAAATAAATAAGTAAATAAATCAAACATCCCTTGCATGAGGATTTAAAAAAATTTTTTTTTAAAACAAAACCCATGGGAATAAGAGAAGAGCCAAGCAGGGGGAGCGTTCAGTCTGGGACACCCTCGTGGGGAAGCTGCAGCTCAGAACTTTGCTCTGAGCTTCCCCGCAGCCAGAGGAAAGCAGAAATGAGCTCATTTGCTGGTTAAGAGGAAGCAAACCAGGTCAGCAGGGAAAAGCTCCTTTCCCAGCTCTTGAGCTCCACAGGGTGTTTACTGAGTGAGTCTTTCTGGAGGGGTCAGAGGAGAGGCCCGTAGCGGGGCTCCAGCAGCAGGTTTGCCAAACGCACAGGCACACTCCATCTGCCTCTCCATCCGCCTGGTTGGCTGGCAGGGTCTCAGGCTGTTGCTGTGAGACGGGGGAGCCGCCTTAGGGTCTCCCTCGATCTTCCTGTGAGGCCAGCTCTGACACACCTACCAAATGAGAGACGGGGCCCACGCCCAGCTCACCCCTCTGGGACACGACCGCCTGCGCTGGGCTGTGGGGTTTGTATAACAGCAGAGGAGTCCTGGGTGACTTTCTGGCCCAGCAGCAGGGCAGGTGCCTTCTGTGAACAATTGGAAGTAGGTCCATGCCCTTCATTGTTTTGTTCACTGAGTGCTTTCCAGCACCTAATGGGCCAGGCCCTGGGCAGAGTGCTGTGGCCACCATGACAGACAGTGCCTATGTGGCAGCTGCCACCCAGGAACCACCAGGTGCTGCAAGGATCCCAGAGGGAGTCACATTGTTCTACCTGGGGAATATCGGGGACCTTCCTGGAAAGTGGCGTGGCTGGGGCTGAGTTTTGACGAATAAGGAGAAGTCAGCCCAGTAGAAAAGGAGGACAAGGACACTGGGGTGAGAGCCAGAACATTGTGCATTGAGTTCAGGGTCATTGTGCAGTGAGTTGAGGGTAGGGGAAGGGAAGCATGGGGTAAGGAGCCAGTTGGAGAGGTGGAGAAGCAGGGCCAGGCCAGCACTGGCTCGTGCACCTTGCCATGGAGCATGGTTTCTATCCTGAAAGCCAGGGAGCCATCAGAACACTGGGTTGAGGACAGAATCTGCCTGGAATTGGCCTGCAAGGAGGGCCTCCCTGACTGTGTTGAGGGAGGGGGAGGGGCAGATTTGGGCTGGGGCCTCCTCTGCCTTTCTGCCAACCTGCCAGGCTAGGCGGCTAGCTGAGTGGCAGGACAAAGCAGGTACTTCAGGAGGAACAGAAACCATATGATGATGCCTCTTCACACCCTCCATCTGGCAGGATCTTTCTCCCCATTTCACAGCTGTGAGAACTGACCTCAGGATGACTGGTTTAAAGCCACATGGCTCCTCAGCCGACCTGACTGAATGGGTGCAGGGCTGGCCTACTTGAGGATGTCCTTTCCCAGGCTGGGCCCTTTTTGTTCATCAGATAAACCCAACATTCTGGGCTAGCATCTGGGGGCACACAGCTTAGTGGCCTGTTAAAGAGTCATTTCCCGCCCAGGCAGGGGGCCTCAGTTGGTTGGAGCATCATCCTTACACCAAAAGATTGTAAGTTCGGTTCCCAGTCAGGGCACATACCTGGGTTTCGGATTTGATCCCAGTTGGGGCACATGCAGGAGGCAACAGATCAATGTTCCCCTCTCTCCGTCTCTGCCTTCCTCTCTCTCTGAAAATCACTAAAATCATGTCCCCAGGTGAGGATTAGAGAGAGAGAGAGAGAGAGAGAGAGAGAGAGAGAGAGAGAGAGAGTCATTTTCCAACAGTGTCCAATGGCTTTGGAGGCAGGGTCTGGTCCCCTCCTAGTGGGGAACGGACTCCTGGGCCACACCAGGGCCCTACCAGCCCCTGCACCTTCCCAGTGGCAGCTATGAGCAAAGTGAACCAGTAACCCTCCCACTTACCCACTCTTTCTGGGTTTTTTCTTTAATATATTTTTATTGATTTCAGAGAGGAAGGGAGAGGAAAGAGAGAAAGAAATATCAATGATGAGCGAGAGAATCATTGATCAACTACATGCTCCCTACTGGAAATCAAGCCTGCAACCCAGGCATGTGCCCTGACCAGGAATCGAACTTTGACCTCCTGATTCATAGGTCAAGGCTCAATCACTGAACCACACTGGCCGGGCCCACTCAGCCACTCTTAATGGAGTTGACTAGGATGCCTGGGACAGGGCAGCTAATTTATGGGTTGTAGCACGGCTTGGCTGATAGTTCTGCCCCTGACTGTGACATGTGCAGAGAGAGTTGGCTGCTAGGAACAGAGAAACAGAGGGAGAAACCACCTCATCCCCAAATGCTTCGGGTTGTGTGGGAGGGACAACTTGAAATAGCAATCTGAGGTTGCCCAGGAGGCTCCTGAGGGACAGCTGGGGACGTGGAGGGACGTAAGGTCATCGTGCAGAATGTAGGCTTAGACAGAACCTAAGAGACCCTCAGGCTCAGCCATTTCCTTGCTGCAGGAGGGGAAATGAGGCCCCAATGGGGCAGAGCCTTGCTCAGAGTGACCCCCAGCTGGCAGCCCACGGCTCTCCCTGGAGAAGCCCGGGAGACCCCAGACAACACATTGGTGTCTGGAACTCCATTGGCCGCCCCGCAGCTGGCTGTGGTGGGCTCTGTGTTCCCTGGGCCGGGAGCAGCCATGGAACTCAGCGTTTGTGTTGTTGATGTGGGCCCTCGTGGGCCTCATTGGGAGTGGGAACTGAACGGAGAAAAGGCAGAAAGCCTTTGGAAAGGAGACAGTGGGGGCCTGTGCACTTCCACCCGAAGGGCCAGCAGCATCCTGAAGTATAAGTTCACCTCATTCCCTGCACCTGCACCTGAACCCCCACCCTTTGACATTGGGCTTTAACTGGGCCCAAGGCAAAGCCATGGAAAGGAAGGGACCCTGGTGGAATAGTCCAGGAATCAGTGTGAGGAGCCAGGGAGCTGCTATTCCGGGCTCCTGAAATAACAGCTTCTGAGCAGTGGCCGCCCCTGTCTTTGGGAAATATTATCTCGCTGTCAGAGGTTGCAATCCTCCCACTGGGGAAAGGAGCGAAGGGTGGGGGCGGGAACTGTCTCCTGAGACCCTGAGTCCAGGGGTCAGCTTTCAGCTACTGGTAGCACTTCTTTCATTCTTCTTTCCTACATTCATTTTAAGTGATGCTTTGGAACTTCTAGAATCAAACCCCACAAGGCTTTGGCTACCAGTTGCCCATGGGACTGGAGTATTGATATGGGAGTAGTAAAGCACTCAGATGCTGATGCCAGACAGCCCAGGTTCAAATCCCAGCTCTGCCACTTAGAAGAAGAGTGATTTTGGACAAATTTCCTAACCTCAGTTTCCTTAGCTATCAAGGAGCCTGATAAAAGTCCCCCCTAGTGCTGCTGGGAGCATGCATTGAGTTCATTCAACGAAGGCACTTAGAACAGTGCCTGCCTACAGGAAGCACTGAGTCAGGAGTGGCTGTGGCTGGTCATTCCTGTACATGTTGCCAGAGTGCCATTTGGTCCCTGAACCTGTGGGAGGAGCTGTGGGGTACTCTCATGGCATTCAGAGGGCAAAGGGCAGAGGGCAGGGGGCAGGGGAGAACAGAATGCAGTGCTGGCAAATTGATGGGGGTAACCTCCCAGCCTCCATTCTCCCTGCCAAAGAGCAGCCAGCCTGGAAGGGGCATAGTCTATCTTTAATGGAAGTCATGGATGCTTTGACAAAGGGGACCCCCTTGAAGAGGGAGGGGTGGCCTGGGAAACAGGTCAGGATGCTATCCTCCTCCGAGGCAGGGCAGGTGTGCTGGCTGGGGGCTCAGAAGATAGCGGGGACGATGTAGTCAGTGTGAACACCATCGATCAGGCCGGCCCCATTGTTGTGGACGAACCAGCAGGTCACCTGGGCCCCGTGCCGGGGGTCCTTGCTGAAGTCTTTTTGCAAGCCCCTGGGGAAAGACAAGGCAGCTGGGGTCACCTTTAGGATCCAGCAGGGCTACACCTCCCAGGAAGCCCACCCCATCACCACCATGTGACACCAGGAGGAAGGCTTGGACCATTGATGGGCAACGCTAAGGGTAGAGATGCTAGGAGAGCAGCCCACCCACCTGGTGACGGTAAGTCGTTGGTTCTTCACCACCATTGTGGCGTCTGTCTTTGTGGGGTCGGAGCCTGGGTGCAGGTCGAACACTTTATAATCAAAGGGGTGAAAGAATTGTCCTGGAAAGGCACATTGGAGGCAGCAGTTACTGGCAGGGAGCTTTGTTCATGCCTTGCACTTAGTAGGAGCTCACTGGAGGTTTAAGAGTTGCTTGAATTTTTTTAAGTATTTTATTGATTTTTTTTACAGAGAGGAAGGGGGAGGGATAGAGAGTTAGAAACATCGATGAGCGAGAAACATCGATCAGCTGCCCCCTCCACACCCCTCACCGGGGATGTGCCTGCAACCAAGGTACATGCCCCTGACCAGAATCGAACCTAGGACCCTTGAGTCCGAAGGCTGATGCTCTATCCACTGAGCCAAACTGGTTAGGGGAAGAGTTGCTTGAATTTTTTCAAGAGCTTGACTGTTTCTCATAAATTTTGGCGTCAAAGCCACTCACTTAGTTCACCTGCTATAGAGAAGCAGCTGTATTGTCAGCTGGTCACACCTCCTGTCTTTTTGGACCAATTCCAAAGGAATCTGGCTGGGAGAGAGGTTTGGTGGGTAGGTGCCCCCACAGAATACTTCCTGCAGGAAGGCACAAGGAGAAGCACTGTGGCTGTGACCATCCCAGCCAGGGGGCTCTGGGCCCACTGGACCTTTCTCTTTGCTAATCGGGCCTCTGTCCCTTTGCTCCCAGGCCTCCTTACTCTTCAGTTTCACTGTGCATTTGTTTGATCACAGCCTTTTTGAGGGTCAAGACCCTCACCAGGACAAGCCCTCTTTGGATCTCTGAGCCTTGGCATTCACACTGGAGGTGACCCTGACTGGATGCCCAACTGCAGACCTGACCAGTCCACTGGCTTTAACGCCCCACCCCCACAGCTCTGCCCGCCTGGTGAGTCGTACCCAGTAGCCCGTGTGTCCGCGCCGACATCCGGTGACTATCTAGCACGTAGAAGCCCAGGAAGGCCTGGTGGATGGCACTCCCCTTCCACACCCGGTGCAAGACCACCTCAAAGGTGCCTCCGTCCTCCACAGACACCACCAGGTTCCTCTTCCTGTGGATGGTCATCATCACCCTGCAGGGGCAGGTGGCCATGGGGACATAGGTGACTGCACTGCATCTTCTCCATTTAGCCACCTTGTCCTCTGGGATCCAGCTCTTATCATGGCCCCATCAACCCCCTACTCTCACTCCCAGATGATTGGGTGTTGCCTGCTCTAGGCGTCTTCTCACATGTTGCTATTAAATATAGGGCCCTTGCAATGTGCTAGGACCTGTGCCTAGCCTTCCAAGCAAACTGCATCATTCAGTTCTCACTCTGATCCTATGAGGCTCAGAGAGGTTAAGTAACTTGCCCAAGGTCACATAGCTATAAGCAGCAGAGCCAGGACTTGGACTCCAGCCTGTCTAATGTCAGAGTCTGTGTTCTTTGACTCCCACGTATCACCTCTTCCTATAGTTCTGCTGCCCAGCATTGGGCTCTTGCTCAGAGGGGTTTATTGAATGAATGAAGGTGTGAATGAAGGAAAAACACGAGGTAAGGCATTCTAAGCAGATGCTGAAAGAGAACTCTAAGGTTCAATAGAGGAAGAGACTAGGAGGGCTCCTGGGAAGAGGTGGTCAGCTTTGTTTGGTGGAGATGGGGTGGGCTAGGGTGCCAGAGAGCACAGGCATCCAGGCAGCTGGTCCAGAACACATGTCCAGAGATTAAGGGAAATGGAGGGTCCTACACATCTGCACAGCCCACACGGAGGCCACATGAAGGTCATTCACTGACATGGCTCAGGGGACAAGGGCCCAGCAGGCTCTCACAGCAGAGCTGGCTCTGGGGCTTCTGACTTGCCTACTCCCCTGCCCCCGCCTTCTCCACTCCCCGACCCCCACCCCCCGGCCTTGCCCCTGCCTCCCTGCCCAGGCCCAGGCCCAGCCCGGTTACCCATCCTGCCGCAGCGAGGCTTGGTCCCTCCAGGAAAACACAGGTCCATGTGAGCCAGGGTTTAGTGTGATGTTCTGAGGAGTCACTTCCAGTTGGAAGTCCGTAACAGGGTTTGCGATCCCCAGCCGTCCGAAGTACGTGCCCTCATGCTGCCCAGGGCTCCTGGCCTTGTCGCCTATGAGCTGCCCATTCACTGAGAAGCCTGAGTGGGGTAAGGGCCCATCCAGGTCAGGGAGGGGCCAGCTCTCACTAGACACACACCAGCCTGCCTTTGCTCCTGCCTCCTATCTGGGAGACCATCACCCCCACCCATGCCAAGCCATCTTTGAGGGTCTCACCTCCCAAGGGGAGGCTACACACAGCACTGCCTCCCTCCTCTTCCCTCCCACCACACTACCTATCCAGCATGGAGCCCTCCGGTCTGGGCCCTGAAAGAGGTCTTGCAGGATATGGCCTGCTCCTTCTCTCTGCCCCTGGTCCCTGACGCAGGGGCAGGCCACAGTAGGTTCTGTAGACACATTTGTGGGGCCTCTGCCCAGAGGCCTCCCCTGACCTGAGCAGCCAAAAGGCCCCTCCCCCTCCATCACTGTCCTAACACAGCAGGTCTCATGCTCCACAATTGTCATCTAAGACTTTGTTCACCTGTTTGTCTCCTCTATACTCCACGAGAGCAGGGACTTAGTCTTGGTCCCCACTGCGTCTCCGGGCCCTAGCACGTGCTCAACAAACATGTGCAGTTGGACTGACTGGACTGGGAGGACAGAAGTGGGTGAGAGATGGAGAGGAAGTCATTCCCATCACCTGAGCAGTGCTGGGGAGATGGGTGCTGAGGCTCCCAGGCATGCCGGGGGGAAAGGCAGGGGAGGATGGCTACATCATTTGCAAGTCTCAGTACAAAATGAAAAGGAGGGTCTCCTTGTTTAAAAATTGTTAAGAATTTCAAGACAGCAACAGGGAACTATTAAACCGAGCCTGGGGCCCTTCTAAATGTGGGGCCCTGAGCACCCGCAGGGGTCACCCACACATGAAGCAGGCCCTGTGTACAGGGCCCGAGAAGGTGGGTGGGGTTAGAAAAAGGCAAGTTGAGGCCAAGTGACAGACAGATGCACAGGATGTAGGAAGTGGAGGTCCCAGCCATCGTCCGGTCCGTGGCTGAAGGTTGAGGGCAGGGGAGCCCAGGCCCTGCCCTGCCCTTCCTGGCAGAGGGTGTGATGTCACCGTACCTGTGTTGGGGTCCTGCACCAGATTCAGGACCACGCCGGGCTCTTCGTTGATGTTGAAGCACAGTGCGTCCTCTTTCCGGGGCACGTGGATGATGAAGTGGGGGTCACTGTCCACTGGGAACAGCATGGAGTCCATTAGATTGGTCAATGGACAGACGGTGCCGGCGGGGCCAGGGTTCAATCAGGCAGGGTGTCCCTCGGATCCTCCCAAGGACTCACCAGTTGTGATTGGCCCCACCGGGACACTGGAGTGCGTCGGAGAAGGCTGCTGCGCCGGCAGCACGAACGCTGACCAGCAAGAGCAAAGGGCATTTAGAAGGAAGGCCACTGGGCTTCCCTGGAGCTGCTGGCTCCTTTTCTGAGGCCCCTCCCACCCCTGAGGCCACCGGAGCAGGAATGGACACAGAGCCCAGAATGCCTCCCTGGAGGCAGGAAGAGAAATTTGGCCCAGGGCAGTGGGCCAACCTGTTCTGTCTCCTTCCATGGGGACCTGGTAGGGCTGGTGGCAAAAGGGCGGGGGAGGCCAGGTCCTGGTCAGGGCACTGTGTGAGGATTCGCAGGGAGAGGCAGTGAGGGAAGCTGGAGCAGAGGAAGGAAGCCCTGGGCTGGGTTTCCTCACCAGGAAACACCTAGGCTTTGCTCAGGACTGAAGGCACAGCTGAGGGACAGTAACGGGGAGAGAGGTAGAGATGTGTGTCATCGTGATGGCTGCCACTTACTCCTTTTCGGTCCCAGCATCTCTGTGGAAGACAACGACAGTGTTAGCCTTGCCTACCTCCCCTCCCACCCGCCCACCCCCCAAAGGCATGTGCCCCTTATTCTCCAAGTGCACCCTGGGCCCAGAGGCCAATCAGGCCTGGGCCGGCCCTCCTCCTGGGGTCCCAGCCCTCCACAGACATGCGCTCACACGAGGCCCCAAAGGAGGCCAGCGGGGGTTCCGGCTGTGCCAGGAGGCAGCAACTAGTGTGTGGCGAAGTGGGCAAGGGCGTCTTGGGGAAGAAGAGGCCATGAAGGGCTGGAGGCAGGGCAATGGGGGTGGGAGCTGCCTGCCTGAGCCCTGGAACACCTGCCACTTGCCCAGCCACTGGAAACCCCTTGAGAAAACCAACGTGATTAAAAACTCACCCAAGGGAGGAGGACCTGGGAGGGAGAGAAAGGGAGGAGAATTAAAGCCCTCAGAAGCCTCCCCAAGGCCCACAGCCTCCCCCACTGCAGAGCTCATACCCACTGTTGACTTGTCAATGACGGGCTCCAGGCCGTCCTCATCCACCAAACCCCTCACGGTCATGGAGGTCAGCGGGGTCACAAATTGGTAGGCTAGCGACATCTGCAGGGCCTTGGCCATCAGTTTGGCCTTCTCCGCCCCCTCCAACTTCATCCTGTGGGACAGACGCCTGCTCCAAACCTCGCAGCTTGGACGACAATGGACTTGCACTCCCTAGTCCTTTCACTCATTTGCTCACTCACTCATTCACCAAACATGAACTGAGCACCTACAGTGTCCTTGGTCAGTGGCTATCATCATGGACCTCATGACTTAAAGACCTCCCACGCAGAAAGCTTGGATATTGGGCAGGGTTCAGGGAAGTGCCTCAGAAATACTCCGAGAATTGAACAGCTGTGAGATTCTGGGCAAGTGGTCTCACCACTTTGAGCCTCAGTTTGTTCATCTGTGAAATGGGGATGCTGAGGACATTCTCCTACACTTTGTGAGGATTAAGTGGGTTTTCCTGGTCATGGTAAAGGGTAGCCTCCCCCACAGTAGCTCGGCTGGGGCTAAGAGTAGGCTGTCCTGTGGCCCCAGTAGGCCCTGCCCCCACTATTGACTGACTGGTTGATATTAACTCAGTGAGCATAGCAGGACAGTAAATCTGAGGGTGAGGGGTACTCTGGGGTGGACAGTGCCTGCTGGGCAGCTGCAGGGGTCATACCGCTTGGCCAGCAGCTCCTGGATGGTGAGGTAGGCCCAGAGGCGTTCGACGTGGTTCTCCAGCATGTGGCCCCGCTCTCGGAGCAGTTTCTTCATCTCTTCCTCATCCACCAGGCAGGTGGTCTTGAATTCTCGGCCATCCTGATGGTTGTGATGGGGAGACAGGCTGTGAGCTCTGAGGAGCACAACCACTGGCTGGTGCTTGAGGCTCCAAGGGGCCCCACTCTAGTCTGATCTCAGCAACTTCCTTCTCAGCAGCCCCTTTCTTAAGCCTGTTTTCCTCATCCCCCTCCATCCATTCTTTCCACAAAAGCTTACTGAGTATTCTCTGTGACCCAAGTTGCCCTTGGCCCTGGGCATCCCAGGGCTAGGAGAACCAGGCCCTGACCTCATGGAGTGACTGTCTTTCAAAGCTGCTTCCACCATGTGGCTGTTTCCACCATGCCCTGCTCCTCCAAACACCTGCCTTGCTGCTGGTGGGCTGCACCGTTCAAGCTGCCACATACATAGATGTGCCTTCTCTCCCCAGCTATAACAATGGGACAACGCTTCCGAAAGGCGTCCCAGGCACCAGGCGCTGTGTAAGCATATTATGCGGATTATTCCACTTACTCCACACAGCTCTCCAGGTAGTGTTACCCCCATGGTACAGAAAGTAACGGAGACCAGAGAGCTGGATCCATTTGCTCAAGGTCACCAAGCTGCTCAGAGTGGAGTCAGGGTCCAGATCAGCTCTCCTCCTTCAAAGCCTGAGTCCTACACCCTCAACCACACTGAGGGCAGGGTCCAGGTCTCACACATCCTGACGTTCAACGTGCACAAGAACACATGCTCTGCAACTTGGCATGAAGCCGGGTGCACAGTAGGTGTTCAAGAAATGCTGTTCAAGTGAGAAGGAAGAGGCTGGCCTCTTGCTCTCTCATGCCTTGCGGAGAATGGTGTGAGGAGTAACAGGGGGTCCATTTGAGCCAAGGGACTACAACTAATCAAGGCCGTGTTGGCCTCATGCCATCCTGTCCCCAGGACACCTTCATGGAGGAATGTTCAGGCCTCGGGGGGAGGGGAGGGTTGCATGATGCAGGAGTGGGGAACAGTGTGGGTTTGCAGCCTCAGGGTACTGCCGGGCCTCTACACCCTCCATGGCCCACTGTTTACCGCATGGGCCCGCACATCCGCCTTGAAGCTGCTCAGCTTCTGGTCAGCGATGCGCCCAGCCACCACGATCTCTGAACCTTCGTAGTACTGTTTATGGCTGTGCTGGGTCAGCTCTGAGACAGTGTCCTTGGGGTACTGCAACTCCACATCCACCAGCAAGGGGGTGGCTACCTGATTGTAGAAACCCTGCAGGGATGGGAAGTGCAGCTTCAGAACTGATGGATTACCCTGGGCACCCAATGGGAAACACACTCACCAAGTGGGGTGTTGGGATCCACACTTTATAGAAGGAAATCATAGGTTCAGAAGGGTTATGTAACTGGCTTGAGGCACACAGCTAATTTGAATCCATGCCAAAGCTTTATCTGCTCCCCTAAGCTGATAGGCAAATGACTACCAAGGCGGGGCTGCCATTGGTGGTGCATTGGGGACGGGGGCCAGGTGGGGGAAGGAGGAGACCTGCAGCTGCTGGGTGGCGTCATGGTCCTCATAGATCCTCTGGGCCCGTCCATTGTTCTCCATGGACATGACCTCCAGGAAGCTGAAGTCCACATCGTGGCCAAAGCCCAAGTTGTAGAGCGGGAACTTGCCCCCAATGGCGCTGCGGACATTCTTGAGGATTTGGGTACGGTCGGTCTCTCCTGCAGCCACACACACACGCAGGCAGTGACTGGACACCAGCTCACAGGCACGTGGAGCACCAGGGGACTTAGAGGCACACCCGCTGAGGCCCAAGCCTCCCATATTAGGGGTCTCCAGTTCCCACAAGCATCTTGAGGCAGCGCCTCTGCTGGCTAACTGTGGAACTGCAACAACTGCTAACAGCTCCTTGCCCATCTTCGCGCATCTATCACAAGCAGATCGGATTCTACTCTAAACCCTCCCGTGCTCCTTGCTGTGGCCTGTGAAGCTCTGCTGACCTTTCCACCCTTGTTTCACCTATTTTGCATTTGCCTGCAGCTCCTGGGCAGACCCTGCCAGTGCACACATCTTTTTTTTTTTCTTCCTTTTTTGCTTAAGCTGCCCCCTCTGCCAGGGATCCCTTCCTGCTTCTTAACTCCCTCCAGACTGAGCTCAGCGGTCACCTCTCCAGGACTCTTTCTGGGACCTTTTCTGGGCCAAGTGCCCCTCGTCTGTGGTCCCACAGCCTCCTGGCATCCTGTTCTTTCAGGACCCTCGACAGAGCTTCTGTTCCTGGGTCTGCCTCCCCCAAGCACCCTGGGATCCTCAAGGACAGAGACATGTCTGTTCCCTTGGTCCCTTGTCCTGTGCTTGGCATACAGTTGGTGCTGAATATATAGCTCATTAAATTCACCCTAGGAATCCTGCCCCTCCTCCTGGGCCCTGTGCCATGCTGTGTCATGCAGGAACTCCCCCAATCTCCCAGCTGAGGACAGAAGTGTGCCTTGGAGCTCCTGCAGACTTTATGGTCTGAACTCTGTTTTTAGATCAGCATTTGCCTTTGCCCTGAGCCTCTCTGACCCCCCACAATAACCCCAGTGCTTGGGTTTCCAAGTGAAGCTTGAATGCCTTCAGTAATGAAGAGAGCAGTACCGCCCAAGGCCGCCCTCCAGGTGCTTACCCTCTGTGGGCTCGCCATCTGTCAACATGATAAGAATTGGGGCATGGTTGCTGAGTTCTGGGTTGCTTCTCTGACCTTTGTTCAAGATCTCAATTCCCAGGAGCAAACCTCCATTCAGGTTTGTGGCTGCAAAGGAGAGAAAGACCAGTATATGCTCTCATTCCTGGGGCACAGACACAAAACCAAGGTGACCCGAAACACCTGCCCTTACCCCCGGCCAGGGAGAAGCGCCGCACGAAGTCCTGAGCTGCTTGCAGATTGGCAGCGGATGCTGGCACCAGTGAGCCCCTCCATGACTGCACTTGAGACCCAAAGAGGACCAGGTCGAAGTAGTCCCCTGGCCGTACATCCTCCAGGATTTTAAGGAGTGCTTCCTTCGTCTGCAAGGACAGGACCGTCAGTGGAGGGACAGAGTCCCAGGATAGTGGCTTCTGTCAGCCCCAGATTGGCATTTCAGAGTTTCCCCAGGGCAGAGGTACATGGTGGACAAGTAGGAGGGGATGGCCAGGTGGTGCCAGGAGAAGAGCATCCTGTAGGGCTCTGGGGCTGGTGAGGGGGAGGGAGAAGGCAAAGGTACCCAGTGTGGGGAGAAGAAATAATTGGAGTTCGAGGGGCGTGGGATTCAGAAAGAGGACCCCAGGGGGCTGAGTTGCTAAAACTGCTTGTCCTGCCCTGGTTAGAGTATCGTCTCAATATGCCAAGGTTGTGGGTTTGATCTCTGGTCAGGGCACATAGAAGAAGCAGCCAATGAATGCATAAATAAGTGGAACAACAAATCCATGTTTCTCTCTGTCTGTCTGACTCTTACTTTCTCTCTCCCTTCCTCCCTCTCTGTCTAAAAATCAATACAAAAAACAAAAACAAAAAAACAATCACCCACAAAACAACTCTGCTTGTCCAGCTGTGGTTCCGCTGAACCATGGACAAGGCACCTAAGAGCACTGTGAGCCACCTGTTGCAAGATGCCTCCCCATGAACCCCCATATTCATCCCCAGGTTTCATCTTCCAAGCACTCCCTCATCAATAACCCATGACCCCGTGGACACTGTTATCATTGCCATTTTGCCACTGAGAAGTGAATGCACTTGCCCAGAGTTGCACTGGGAGGGAGCAGGTGATTCCAGAACCCCTAACCACTGGAGTTTCCCTTTAAGTCACCCTGCCTCTGAGCAGAAATCCCACACCCAGACTCTGGCAGCAAAACGAGTGTGATGTGGTGATAAGACTGAAGAAGCTCCTATTGGGTGAGTTGTAAAGGCACCATTAACCTGCTTCACTTTCTGGCCTTCCATGGAGTTGCTGATGTCAATCACAAAAACCAGGTTCTTGTTCAGGTTCGTCAAGTTTTGGGGGGCAAAGAAGTGGGCAAAGTAGTTATTGGCAACCTGAAACACAAAGGAATGAGTGAGGCCTCTGCACAAGCACCTCTGCCCACCCTCTGAGTCGTGGGCCAGAAGCTTTGGGCTCACCAGGAGGTCGCAGATCTTGTCTCGATTGACATCGTAGGTCACCTTGAACTCCCCATCCAGCAAGGTAGTGGAGCATGTGGGGCAGGATTGCTGCTGGCCCACGGTGGGGCGGAAAAGCACTTGACCCTGGAACCATCAAGGGTGTTAGGCATTACTGGTTTGTGCAGTTGCAAATAGGATGTTTGCAAAGACAACAACATAAAGTGTGTGTGTGTGTGTGTGTGTGTGTGTGTGTGTGTGTGTGTGTGTTGGGGGGCGGGGGTGCATGGGCATAGAAATGCGTCAGGTGGGCCCTCACCCAGCTGCTGAGAATAGCACTTGTAGCTAGTAAGAAAGAAAGCCTGTTCCTTTGCTTAGATGCTTCTGAATCATTGGCATTTTCTTTAACAAGCATTTAGGGTACAAGTAAAAACAAAATGGCAGCAGTATGAGAGCCTGAGAACATCAGTCCATTCAAACTGTGGAGTTTTAGAAAAGCGAGGCTGCAGCACTGTGCTGGGAAACAGAAGCACCTGGACAGCAAGGAGCAGAAGCTTAAAGGGAGGACCCAGAGTGGGAGCTGAGGTCTGGACTGGCTTGGTCTTGGTGCTCAGGAAAATGGGGGTTGGTTTTTACTCATTTCTCTTCTATATTTCTGTACTTTCCACATTTTCTTTAAGGCTTTTTAATTTTTTTTCTTTGTTATAAAAATAAGATATGCTCATTAAAAAAAAAAAACTTAACAAGAATTGATAGTAAGGTAAAGACCCACCCCTTGGTCCCCTGCTAAAAGCAGGCATGTTTGCTAACACTCTGGGGTGTCATATTTTGTTTAAAAGGACCCCCCCCCCTCGAAAAAAAACTGTAAAAAGCATTTATTTTAAATGATGTCTGAGTTTCTACTAACACTAGATAATGACTAAAGGGTTTGCTCCTGGCTCCAGTTGAGGGCACTAGCTAGGTATCACCCACCATATGCCATACTCCTCCAGGACTGGGGAGGGGCAGGCAGGGGGCTCTGGGATTCCTGCAAGTGGGTGGTGAGTGACAAGTGGCAAGTGGCTAAGTAGGCCAAAGGCCTGTCTGAACTTAATTATGTTTCCAAGAACACCGGAGCTTGGAATCCTAACCTCAACAGCATCTGACATTTGCTCATGTGCCCTGAATGCTTTCCTGCGGGTGTGAGACAAGCAAAGAGGAAACTGAGGCTCAAGAAAGCCAGCAACTCGCCCCAGACCATACAACCACTGTGGGTGCCTTCCCCAGCCTCAGCATGCAGGCTTTTGCTAAGTTGCTGTGAGAATCAGGAGTGCCAAGTTCCCCTGGGATACCAACCAGAAGAAACCTGCCTCTCTCACCCCCAGGAAAGCCTGAAGACCTTGCCTGGTTCCCAGACCAAGCTTGGACCCTTCATAACGGGTTGGGCCAGGTGGAGAATTCCCAGAGGGCCTGCCACCACCCCCAGCCGTGCCATATACCTTTTTGCCTGAGAAGGACTTTTTGATGAGTTGAGCTGCCAGTTCCTTGGGGAGGAAGGAGGTCTGGACATCTAGCTTGCGGATCCCCTGGGGCTCAAAGATGTCCACGTCGATCTGCATCATTGAAGCAATTCCTGCACCAGGGCTCCCATTTGGGCCATCAGCCAGTCTCAGCCAAGAGCCAGCATGTGCCCTGGCCACCTACTGTGTGAAGCCCACCTCGCCCCCAGCAAAGGGCCTGTTAGGCTCTCCAAAAATATTGGCCAAATGAAGGTGTGCTTACCTGCACCCCTCAACTCAGCCACCATTGAGGTGCCAGAGACAACCACAGTCCCTCATGCTGCCCAGGACTTTCTGTTTATAAACTACCTGGATGTTTATTATCTCCTGTGATCCTTGTGGAAGTCCTGGGACAAACAGGAATCCCCATTTAACAGATGAGAAAGCTGAGGCTCAGAGAGGAGGAGGCTGAAAGGTTCAGGGAGCTCCCTGCCCATCAGAGCTCACCCTGAGGAGTTAGTCCCCTGCCTTGTGTGCTCAGGTCTGGGATGGCACACGATGAGTGCCGAGCCAATACTAGAGCCACAGTGAGGGAGAGGCAGGAGCCCTGCTCCCGAGACCATCCCCCTGGGCCTGCGGTCCCCTGCAATCTACCTCAAAATGATGCACCAGCTGCTTGGGCTTGACTTTGATGTCAATGTCGTACTGCATGAGATTTCGCTTCAGCACGTCCTCGTAGGTCAACCGGAACATGGACTTGCTGCGGGGACCGATGGTGAGGTGGATGGTGAACTGCTCCATCGTTCTTCCCGAGGCCCTGGATGTGCCACCAGAGGCAACCACACAGACAAATGGTAAGTGACATGTGGTTCTCGTCACCTAAAGCACGGGCCTCAGAATCAAGTTCTCTTGTTCTAGTGCTGCTCCGGGGATCCTTGGCCCTCGCCCTTGTCTTAGCTGGCTGGCCAGAGTCAGAGCCCAAGGACAGGGCCCACTTCTCCTGCAGGCTGGCCTAGGGGCCAGGCAAGTCAGCACCAGCCTTGCCCAGTGCACCTGTGCAGGCATTTGGGTTTGGGCAGGGTGCTCACCTCCCATCAGCCTTGGGCTGCTCTGCACCCAAGGCCACCTTGCAGCCCTCAGGTCTATCCGAGGGGAAGGCCACCTCAAACACTGGGCCAGCAGGGCTCAGAACTTACCTGACAAGGCCGGCATTCTCTCCTGAGACGGCCGCTTTCCGGTACTGCTTCCACGCAATTGCTTTTTCCTTTATGTCCCCGATGAATGCTTTCCCGTTTGCTGTGCTGCCGGGAGGAGGAAGCCCTCAGGGGAGGGGCCCTTCCCTGACACACATATTGGAGGTACTTTCAGCCCAGACCCCAGGAAGCCCTGTCCAGGTGAGCACTCATGGGGGAGGGAGTGCGTCTCCTGCTGGCCTCCCTCTGCCCGAGGAGTGGCTTGGAGGCCCCTTTGCAGTGAGGTGGGCAGCTACAGCCAGAGCCCAGAAAGCAGCTTTTGCTCTTCAGGCCCTAGGCTGGAAACACGGTCAGAGGCCCCAGTTTGCTGTCCACCATGGGAGCCCAGAACAGACCTACTAAAGGACTGTTCTCCCTTCTGAGCTGGAACTGGCCTGTGGCCCTTTGGGAAATGAGGAAATAGTACACTGTCTGGCCACTTTGAGCCATGGTCTTGGGCTGGGCCCAGTGAATGGACAGTTCTGGGTGGGAGAGTTGGGCAGGGCACGCACATGGCAAAGTCACTGATGAAGGCCGTCTTGGGGATCTCCACACTGAAGGCCACTTCCTTTGGTTGGTCGGCGCTGTTGACCACTTGGCTGGTGATGACATAGTGGGCGAAGCGAGAGGTGACTTTGCAGTGGACTTTCAAACTCTGGATGACCACGCCGTCGACAGTCTAAAGTGAGACGTGAGGGCACTGTGGCCTGGGATGGGGGCCTCTGAGCCAATGAGAGACCTTGTGTTGTATTGGGGTCAGCACCCAGTTCTGATTGACACAAGGTGCCTGAAGAACAAACCAGACCTCCCAGGGAGACCCATCTGTTCTCTCTGCCTCAGAGCGAGCAGCTGGGGATGAGGTGGGGTGGGGAGTCCCCATTTCCAGGAGACAGGAGTCCCTCGACCCAGAGCACTAACAGAGGGGCACCCCCCTGGGGACGGGGAAATCGCGGCTGTAACAGTGGCCCCACCACAGACTCCTTTGCGGAGACTCACTCACTGTGTCCACAGCCTGTCGCTTCTGTAAAACAAACCGGGGTCAGTGTGAGCGTGAATGCTCAGGCTTGTTAAAGGTAGGGGGTGGGACACAGCCTGAACCCTCTGCTCCTTGGCCTCACTCTCCAGTCAGAGGTGGTCAAGGTGGGAGGGGAAGCCCCAGTCCCTGGAGTGAGGGTCTTATGTCCCCCTCCCAGGCCCCAGCCAGACCCAGCTGCCTGTTTCTGCCCCGAGGATTTACCCACATACCTCGCTGCTTTTGGGCCTTTGGGGTGAAGCCTGAGCAGGCAGGGCCTGCAGGGTGAGGAGGGACACCAGGGACACACACAGCAGCACCCGCAGCCCCATGGCGCCAACCCTGTTCGCAAGGCTCCCGCTGCCTTGTTGCTTCACTCAGACCATCAGTCAATAAAGTGCTAGATAAACATGGATTAAACATTAGACAGGATGAAGACAAATATTACAATTAGGGCGGGGGGTGGTTAAAAACTCACAGTGAAAGCTTTCTCCCTGCGTGGGTTCTAAGCTGCGTAAACTGGCCAGACTCAGAGCGTGCCCCTCTGTATAGAACTGCACCCAGACAAGGTGAACTGGGGAGACCCCAGCTGCTTCTCTAACTCTGGGTCTGGCACAGGGCAACCCTGGTGACACGATGACATGTGTCAGGAAGCCACAGCTAAAAGTGGATTTCTAAACTTCGTGAAGTGTTACTTTCAAAATTCTTTAAGTATCAACAAACTTTTCAGTAAGTCCCACTTTGGCCAGGGAGGCCTGTGGCTTGCAAAGAGTCTGCCCATGCCCGTTTCTCACGCCAGTTCTACCCGGAGGCACGCTCTGAGTCTGGTCAGGAGTTTACCTTAGCAGCTCTCCCAGAGGCGGCCTAGGCGTCTTAGGGATGGGTAATGGGTGACCCATCCTTTAGGACAGTTGCCTTATCTCTCTGGACCTTCTCACCCAGAGTTGGAAAGAAGAACAGAAGTAGCCCAGCATTCTCCCACCTGGGAAGACAATGAGTGCCCCTTTTCCTAATGGAGGGCTGGTTATGGGTCATGCATTGCTCCAATCCCTTCATTGTCTAATTTAGCCTCCTGGTGTACCTCTGAGCCTGTGAGAGACTTCCGTGTTGCATTGGGGCTCAGCACCGAGCTCTGATGCACGGGGCCAGCAAGTGACAGAGCAGGTATCCAAACCCAGATCTTTCCATCTCCAAAGCCCAAGCCTATCATGTAATGGCAGAAAGGCCCTCTGCATTATCAGGAAGAAGGAAGAAGCAGAGTCAAAGACCCTTCTTTTACCTGCACTTTCTTAATTTTTATGCCCAAACCCTCGCTGTCTCCTACAAGCCACCGCACACTGGACAGACATGGCCCCGGGTCAACCCACTCCAGGGCCCTGGGTGAAATGTACTGGCTGCTGTGACCCCGATATGGTGAGGGGACCCAGGGGCCTCTTTGATCTCTATTTGCTTGTCCTGGACTTTGTCTCACAGAGCAGCTTCTGGGAAAGGTTTATTGTCCCCAGGCCATAATGACCTTTTGGCCTGTTTTCTGGCCTCTGTAAAAGTTGAGCTGGATCAACATTAAAATGTACCCTTGAAGTTTTCCTACACTAGTATGGATCACCTTGTGGTAGGTTGGGCACAGTGCCAAGCACTAGGGCACCACAGTGATGAGACTTGAGTGCCTTGCTGTGTTCTGTGAGCTGATGCTTGGGAGAAGGAGCTGATGCAAGTCAAAGGAGGCCCAGTGAGTCAAAGGAGTGGTCAGAAGCTAAAGAGGAGCATGAAAGAGCAATAGAAATCTAGACGGGGTGGAACTTATCCCCACAGGGCTTAGAACAGTGGTTCTCAACCTTCCTAATGCCGCGACCCTTTAATACAGTTCCTCATGTTGTGGTGACCCCCAATTTCATGGTTACAAATTGAACATAATCAAAGCATCGTGATGAATCACAAAAACAATATGTAATTATATATGTGTTTTCCGATGGTCTTAGGTGACACCTGTGAAAGGGTCATTCGACCCCCAAAGGGGTCGCGACCCACAGGTTGAGAACCGCTGGTAGAGTCTGTCACTATCACCCACTCCCATTAGAATGTGAGCTCCAGGAGGGCAGGGAATTTGTCAGCCTGGCAGATGGTAGACGGGCAATAATTACTTCTAAAATGAATGATCAACATGCGCAAAGCGCTTAGAACAAATGCTCAACAAGCGGGCAGCTCCCATGACCGTATTCTGGCCCGCAACCCGGGAGTTCGCGGCGGTGGAACTGAGAGTGCGCGCAGGCCCGGCGGAGACGCTCTGGCCGCCCGGCGCCTCGGCTCTATGGCGGGTCCTCCGGCGCCGGCGGATGCTCGGTGGAGCCTCGCGGGCCGCCCGAGCATGCGCAGAGCGGCGCCGGCGGGGATCGCTATGGCAGCGGCGTCTCCGTGGGCCTGGGCTTTGCGCTCGCGCCCGAGCCGGGCCCTCTCGGCAGCCTCCGGCCGGGCAGCTTCTCGGGCATGAGTGGGGCCCTTCGCTGTGGCCAGCTGCCGCGCCGCACCCCAACTCTTGCCCCGCGCCGGGAACATGCCCCTGGCCGCCTACTGCTATCTGCGGATCGTTGGTAGGGGCAGCTACGGGGAGGTGACGCTCGTGAGGCACCGGCGGGACGGCAGGCAGGTCGGCGGAGTTGGGGCCCATCCGGGGGCGGGGAACACGCAGGGGTTCGTTCGCCCAGGGCTCTGTCCAAACGTTAGACCCCGGGGTGGTCTGCAGGGGACTCACCCCGAGGGCACTTCCTCGGGGCCAGTGTCCCAGACCACCGAGACTAGGCCATACCTTCCTGTAATACGCACCCCGAACACCCTGTACCTCTCCTTTGTGTGTTCATTGTGTGCTTGATGGACACTTCTCCGGAGCACGCTCAACGATCCCTGAGAGCAAACGTTCTCGGGACCTAACACAGCGCCTGGCAAATATTACTCCCTGAGGGACGGGCCCCATGCATATGACCTGGAGGCCAGTGGGCATGCGTAAAACTCAACTCATCACCTTTATGCCAGCCTTCTCTCCTGACCCCTGTTGCAGTGAGTAGCACCACCAACCAGCCAGTTGCGCGTGCTGGGCACCTGGGAGTCGTTATTGGTTCCCCTCTTCCCCTCACCCCCATTCATCTGTCCACTAAGCCCGCAGGCTCTTCTCCATCTCCACTGGTACCACCCCAGGCCAGGACGTCTTTATCTCCAGGTTAAACTCTTGTCCAGGCCTCCCCCTGGCCCCTCCTGCCTCACGACTTGCTCTTCTCCAGTCCATCCCTTTCATTGCAATCTTAGTGATTGTTCTAAAAGTCAGGTGTAGTGTCACTCCTTTGCTTAAAGCACTTTGTCTCAACTTCAGGATAAGGAGCCAGCCAGTTCTTTATTTTTGAGCCAGCCAGTTCTTTAATGTGGTTTATAAATAAGTTGACCATATAATATATTGCACAGACTGGGACAAGTTTGAAGCTGAAAGGAGGTGCCATTGATAATTACACCGACACAAGGGGGCTACCCCAGGCAAGCTTCCAGAGGCCCACCTAAGTATAAGACTCTCACCTGCCCTTCTTTGTCTCGGGGGTGGTGCTGGTCACTCTGCCTGGAACAAAAGCATAAGAGAGCTATTCAGTAGGCAGAGGTGTGTGTGTGAGGGGAGCAGTCATTGGGTTTTTGAGTTGAGGATAGCCCCTCACATTTGAGCAGAAGTTTACATTTTACAAAGCACAATTATATATGTGTTCGTTGAGTGATAATTGTGTGGTCTTTTGATTGATTGAGGGTAGTGTATTAGGTGTGAGAGGATATTGATTTTTTTTTTAATGTGGGAATAATTTTGTATGTTGAGAGTGATTTTTTTAACCTTATTGGGCTATAGATCCCTTTGAAAACTTCATGCAACCCATGGATCCATTCTGTCTGAAGAATTTTTTTGTGTGACTACCCTACTATTAGCTAACTTGTAAAAAGTACTATTAGTGAAAACGGGTTTTTTTCTTGTCAATTTTGTTTTTTGAATACTAAAACGAGTAGGTTCCAGAAGATTAATTTTGAGGTCATTTAGGAGAGCGCTAAATGCTTCTGAACCTATAAAGCTGTATGTTTATTTGTACATTGTAAAAACACATGTTTTCTTTGTAGTATGTCATCAAAAAACTGAACCTGCGAAATGCCTCCAGCCGAGAGCGGCGAGCTGCTGAACAAGAGGCCCAGCTCTTGTCCCAGCTGAAGCATCCCAATATTGTCACCTACAAGGAGTCCTGGGAGGGAGGGGACGGTCTGCTGTACATCGTCATGGGCTTCTGCGAAGGAGGTGATCTGTACCGAAAGCTCAAGGAGCAGAAAGGGCAGCTCCTGCCTGAAAGTCAGGTGGTGGAGTGGTTTGTTCAGATCGCCATGGCTCTGCAGGTACTGTCCAGACCAGGGGTGGGCAAACTTTTTGACTCGAGTGCCACAATGGGTTCTTAAACTGGACCGGAGGGCCGGAACAAAAGCATGGATGGAGTGTTTGTGTGAACTAATATAAATTCAAAGTAAACATCATTACATAAAAGGGTACAGTCTTTTTTTCTTTTTCAGTTTTATTCATTTCAAACGGGCTGGATCCAGCCCGTGGGCCGTAGTTTGCCCACGGCTGGTCCAGACTCACAGAATCCTGCTTGTTCCAAGAGGCCAGGGGAGGGCAGGTGGATTTTAGGGAAATTCTTCCCAAAATGTGTACATGAAAAAAATGGATTTTTTTGCAAATCCATTTGTGAAGTGGATCCGGTTGCTCATGTTGTAGCATTGGAATGTTTCTGAATGAGTGATACCCATATTGAAGTAGACATGGATTTCATGTCTAATTGGAGGAAAAGCCAATTCTCCATTCATTTAATATTTATACCAAAGTCCATTTTAAGGGCCCTGAGTTGACAGAGAGCAAAGAATGACCATGCTTGTTATCAGCTGGTCAGCTGTGTCATACTGAAAGGTGGTTGGGCTAATGAATATGCTTAAACCATTGGATTTGGGGCTTTAACCTTGTGGCAAAGTGAGTGGAAAGGTAAAACATGTTTGTGGTTTAATATACACACATGCAGTAGCGAGACTGTTTACGAAATCCTCTGGATTTGGACAGACTTGTCCAGAATTAGTTGACCTTGTAGTTTAAATTCTAGGATACTCTCTGTAAATAAATGTGAACTTGTTGTATTTGAAAATATTATTAAGCTGAAGAGTCTATGAATCTGAGAGGAAAGTGCCTCTGACCTTGTAAAGTTGTTTTTTTCTCCTCAGTGGGAGTTTGTAAGCACTAAATGATACAATGGTTAATAAACAATTGTGAAAGATACTGGAATTTTTTACTTTTTAAAAAGGCAATTGTCTACCTTTAATATATGCTCTAGTACACATGTGTATGGTGGGTGGCTGCTGAGCATTTGGGGAACCCCAGGTGCCCGGGGTTTGCCTGTGCTCAGTACTCCTCTGTGAAATTGTCTTGAGCCCACCGGTGAATTTTTGAGGCCCCAGAGGTGGCCTGAGGGTCAGGGCCAGGTTCACCCAGCCAGGGCCCATGAGGGAGCATGTGGCTTCTGTTGAGTCTGCGGACATGGTAGTTCTTGTAGTGGACATTGTGGGTGATGTCGTTCAGGTCTTGGAGGTGGGAGCATGGGCTACTTGTGCAGCTGCAGCGTCTGGAGCGTGGGCCCCTGCCCCAGGCCCGGTGGGGTGGACTTCCACACCGTGGACTTGACCAGTGTGTTCACCATCATGCACTTGCCCCAACCCGCTCTGCCCAGCACCACCCACTCTACTGCCGTTGCTGCCCTAACAGTTGCTATTGCTGAGCTCACCCTTTTTATTTTATTTTAATGTATAATTGTTTTTTAATTTCCTGTGGTATTTTTTTTTTTTTAGAGAGAGAGAGAGGAAGGAAGAGAGAGAGACAGAAACATTGACTTTTTGTTCCACTTATTTATGCATTCATTGGTTGATTCTTGTATGTGCTCTGACCAAAGATCGAACATGCAACCTTGGCGTATAAGGACAATGTTCTAACCAAATGAGCTACCTGGCTAGGGCAATTTTTTTACTTTGGAAAGTTGTAAATCAGACTTTTTATTTAGAGACTATAAAACAATAGTGTTTTGATATGTAGATAACTATGGCTCTTTAACTCATGTAATTATTAATGGTATAAAGAAGTCAGGAGTAAATAAGTAGATAGGTATATTTATACTTAGTGAAATTTTATTTCTCTTTTCAGTATTTACATGAAAAACACATCCTTCACCGAGATCTGAAAACTCAGAATGTCTTCCTAACGAGAACAAACATCATCAAAGTGGGTGACCTAGGAATTGCCCGAGTGTTAGAGAACCACTGTGATATGGCTAGCACCCTCATTGGTACACCCTACTATATGAGCCCTGAATTGTTCTCAAACAAACCCTACAACTATAAGGTAGGACAATATGCCAGCTCACCTTGTCTCTAGGACAGTATTCATGATTTCAAAGCTCATCAGAATAGTTATGTCAAAGAATTCTCTGTGAATTGGTGTAACGAAAATGTCTTTTTCTTTTTAGGAGGAAAAATGTAAATAAGGCATTCTGATATATAACCATTTACTGTTTTTCTTTTCTAGTCTGATGTTTGGGCTCTGGGATGCTGTGCTTATGAAATGGCCACCCTGAAGCATGCTTTCAATGCAAAAGACATGAATTCTTTAGTTTATCGGATTATTGAAGGAAAGGTAAGGAAAATTCTGGAACTAATTGTTTTAAATATTTGGAGCAATGTTAATTTAATGCAGCTTTGTAAGTTGCTACTGATAAATGTGAGTAATCATTATTGGGTGGATAATTAAGAACGGTGGGTCTCTTCTGTGGGAAAGGTTGAACTGGAGGAGAAGGAATTGATCATTTCTTAACACATTGTATACCGCATAGAAATCTCTAAGACATACGCCAGGGACCGCACATTTTTGGGCAAACTGCACGTTATTTAAATCATCATAATGCACTTTAGGTGTTGTTTTCCAATAATTATAACATTTTTATTTACAAAAACAATTAAACAATTAAAGTTCCTAGTACTTTTTTAACATATGGCACTGCGTAAAACATTTTCCTCTATGAAGAGGGACCAAACAAAATTTACATAAGTATCTAGATTCGCTCCTTTTTCCATGGGCGTGAAAAACGAGAACACTCGTGAGCGGTCCTAACAGATGGCGCGCGAAACATGAGAAAACTCCTGAGCGGTACGGAATGTGTTAATATTAATCTGTAAAAGTGGCTTAATGGCTCCAAGGAATTGGCTTTTTGAAAACCACTATGTATAGCCACAGGATGTGCAGTGCCCTAAGGGACTATTGGTAGCTTCTCCTAAAGAGCTTATGGTCAAATGAGCCCCATTTAAAATGAGTCCATTCTTGCCTGGCTGATGTTGCTCAGTGGTTAGCATCGATCCTTGAACCAAGAGTTCCCTGGTTCAATGCCCAATCAGGGCACATGCCCAGGTTGCGGGCTCTGACCCCAGTAGGGGTGTGCAGGAGGCAGCTGATCGATGTTTCTCTCTTACTGATGTTTCTATCTCTATCCCTCTCTCTTCCTCTGTCTCTAAAATCAATAAAAACATATTTAAAATAAGTAAATAATTAAAATGAGTCCATTCTATTTGAACTTGTTCCTTTGATACCAAAGTGACCAACTTTATATGTTAGTTCCATGAGGTTAGTTGCCCTCTGCAGTGTCAGGCATCCATATACCAACAAGTTTAAGGCTATAAATGACCTGATTTAATTTAATCAAATTAAAAATAATTTTTTAATTTGAGAAATATTAAATTGTTTAATATTTAAAAATTAGATATTGAAAAATACAAAAGAAGTAAAAATCTTCCATAATTATACTATTTAAAGAATCAAACAAGAAAGGAGTAAAATTCCCCTCTCCTATCCATTTTAATCCCCTGTAGATAACCATTGCCAACAATTTGGTACATGGCCTTCCTGGCTTTTTCTTGTCTTATATAGATATAACTCTAGGTGTATATATGCACATGTACACACATCTATAATAATAAAATCATAATATGCTAATTAGACCAGACAGCTGAACGACCTTCCAGATGAAGCCGTGAGGGCGGGGGCCAAGGCAGAGGTGATTAGGGGCAATCAGGCAGGCAGGTGAGTGGTTAGGGGCAATCAGGCAGGCAGGCAGAGTGGTTAGGAGTGATCAGGCAGGCAGGCAGGCGAGTGGTTAGGAGCCAGTGGTCCTGGACTGCGAGAGGGATGTCCGACTGACGGTTTAGTCCCGATCCTGCTGTGGGATCAGGCCTAAACCGTCAGTCGGACATCCCCTGAGGGATCCCAGATTGCGAGAGGGTGCAGGCCAGGCCAAGGGACCCCACCGATGCATGATCGGGTCCTGGGAGGGACCACGGGAGGGTTCCAGGGGTGTCTGGCCCGTCTCACTCAGTCCTGATTGCCGGACCCCAGCAGCAAGCAAACCTACCAGTTGGAGTGGCTGCCCCCTGGTGGTCAATGCACATCATAGCAACTGGTTGACTGTCTGCCCCCTGGTGGTCAGTGCACATCATAGCGAGCGGTTGAGTGGCCTTAGCATATCATTAGCATATTACACTTTGGTTGAACGGATGACTGGACACTTAGTATATTAGGCTTTTATTATATAGGATATTCCCTATGCTGAACTTTACGTCTTCATGACTATTCTGTAACTATCAATTTGTACTTCTTAATCCCTTCACCTTTATCACCCACCCTGCCAGCTGCCCTCCCATCTTTTTCTGTAGTTTTGTTCTGTTCTTTCATTTGGGACATGTTTCTTTGTCTCTTCATTTTTGCAGCATCCCTGTGTTTGTTTCTATTATCAGGTAGAGTTGCTATGTCTTCTAGGCTTGGTAGAGTGGCCTAATTTAGTAGGTGTTCTATAGGGTCCTATGGCACAGCCTCCCTGATCACCCAGGCTGGACACTCCAGGTGAACTCCCTATGTGGGCTGTGTACACCCTCCTGTTGTAGTTGAACCTTGATTGCTGTTAGTGCATCAGTGGGAGGGATTTATCCTCAGGATGATCCGCTGCAAGGATTGACTACAACCATCAACCTCTGACTACTGTGGAGGATCAGCTATGTGGTGGTCCACTCCACAGAGCAGGACTTACTTCAGCAGGGCTCTGGTGCCTGCTGAGTCTGCCCCTTGAGTGTGTCACTTGTGGAGGTGATTGGGTGGTGGTGCTTTGACATGGTCTGAAACTGTCCACTGGGTGTGCTGGCTCTGGGCCCTCCCAGGAGGTACAGGCCAAGGTTAGGCACCACCTGTGTTCTGCCCAGGACCACATGACATGAGCTACAAAGTAATCTGCAGATGGCCACTACTTGTGCTGGACTTAGAGGAACTCAGGTGAGACCAAGCTGTGAACCAAGGCCAGGTGCTGCTAGTCCCAGGCATTGTTGGGTCATTTAACGAGAGGTGTGGGGCTTACTCAGGCCAGATGCTGCTTTTTTGAGAGGTTTTAGGAAAATCTGAAGCAAGAGCCAAGACAGGCCATTGTTATGAAAAAACCACTGGAAACAGCTTGAGTGGGCTCAAAAGTTGGGTAGGGCAGGGCCTCAGGGAGTCACCAGGGAAAAGCAAACAGTGTGAGTGAGGTTGATGGAATCGCCCACCTGCCAGCTTTGTGGGAGAATGGAACAGTGGCCTCTGCCAGGACTTTTGTCTGGGAGAAAACTGCCCCTCCCAGCTGTCACCCTGATGCCAGCCATTCAGTTTCTCCCTGTATGTCTCTGGTGTCTTTCAAGCTGCTGCCCCAGTGCTGGACCTCAGACGATGAGTCTGAGTAAGTCTGTGTGTGGGCCCTTTAAGAGGAACTGCCTAGGACTCCAGCCAGGCCTCTATCCCCCCTGGTCTCACTCTGTACTGATTTTTACAGCCAGAGGCAGTGGCGACTCTCTTCCTGGCACTGGAACCCTGGAACCTATTGCTCCTCAGGAAGACCTCTGCAGCCGAAATATCCCTCCTGATTTTTAACCGCCACACATTGGTGTGGGACCAGCCTGTTCCGCATCTCCTCCCCTCCTACCAGTCTCTATGTGGCTTCTTCTTTAATTTCCTAGTTATAGGACTTCCATTCAGCCAGATTTCAGGTGGTTCTGAATAATGGTTGTTCTTTAGTTTAGTTGTAATTTTACTGTGGTGTGGCAGGATGTGAGTACCATGTTTACCTATGCTGCCATCTTGACAGGATGTCTCATGCCCTTATTTCTGAAGGAGGGAGTCCTCAAATGGGAATGCTGGTTGAAGAATATACTTTTACAACCTTACAACTTGCTGTTATAACCAGGACATCAGTATGCTTCCTGTAGACTAATACTGGTTATTTTATGCTTATGTGGATAATGACTTAAAATAAATATTGGAAAACTCTACCTTCATTTACTTTGCTTCACAAGACGATTCATCATAATTGTAGTATTTCTCTTTGTAGCTGCCACCAATGCCGAAAGATTATAGCCCAGAGCTGGCAGAACTGATACGGACAATGCTGAGCAAAAGGCCTGAGGAAAGACCCTCTGTAAGGAGCATCCTGAGGCAGCCTTACATAAAGCGCCAAATCTTCTGCTTTTTGGAGGCCACAAAGGCGTAAGATACTTCCCTTGCAAGTAGCTGGGCTATATAGATGGAGTAAAAGAGGGTGGTTTCTATAATTTTAATGTGCAAGAATTTATGGTGAGTTCCTTTTAAACATGAAGTGAAATTGCATGATTAGAACATATGTTGAGATTTGCTAAAATCAGAAATTGAGAGAACCATTCAGAGAATCACTTTAACATTCCTCAGAGGATTCCAAGACATATTGAGTATGATTCTCTTAAAAAGGCATGTGTTTTAGAAACCATTTTAAAATGAGAGATTATCAAAGAAACCTATTACATTATTTACTATGTAAGATAATAGTCACATCTAAAATATAGTGCTCAGATTTCTGAGACCTTCATAAACTTCCCTCTTCACTCATGACTTCTCAAGAGAAAGAGAATTATTTTCTTTGACTTGCAGGTCCTACCTTCACTGAGCAGATATTCCAGAATCTAAACCTTGAGGCTAAGCAAGGCCTTCATCATCTCTGCTTTGTGACATGTTAAATTTGGGAGACAAGTCCCAGGGATAAAGGACTACCTTTTTGTTTACATTGTCTCTAATTTCCCACCAAACAGAACTTTGACCTTCAGTCTCCAGTGCTAGTCTTCATGCTTCTCTTGAATTTTCCAGAGGTTTAGCCCTGTTGTAGAAACGTCACACTAGAACAATTGGGGATAGTGTTTCTCTATATATTTATTCTGCAAGTCAAGGCTGAGTATTACCAATCATTTTTACTCTCAAACTTCTCAAAGCAGTTGTGGTGGTATTTCAAACATATGAAACTTGAAGATGAAAATTATCCTGGTACCTCTATACGTGAGGCAGTTTCTCAGAGATTTTTTTTTAATCCTCATCTAAGAGTATGTTTATTGATTTTAGAGAGAGGAAGTGGGGGTGGAGGGAGAGAAAGAGAGAGAGAGAGAGAGAGAGAGAGAGAGAGAGAGAAAGAGAAACATCGATATAAAGAGAAACATTGCCTCCCATATGCACCTTGACCAGGGATTGAACCTGCAACCTACGTATGTGCCCTGATTGGGAATCAAACCCACAACCTTTTAGAGCATGGAACAACGCTCCAACCGAGCCAGGCGGCCAGGGCAATTTCTCAAAAGATTTTTATTTTGGAAAAATTTTGTATTTACAGAAAATACAAAATTGGAGAGATGGTACACAGACTTTCTATATACCTGCCATGCAGTTTCACCTAACATTACCATGGTACATTTGTTAGTACTAAGAACCCTCATCAGTACCTTACTGTTGGCTAAACAAACTCCAGACTTTCATCAGCTTTCCCCAGTTTTTCCACTAATGTCTTTTTCTATTTCAGGATCCAATCCAGGATATCATATTACATTTAGTCCTCATGTCTCCTTAGTTAGGTTGGGTCTGGGACAATTTTCACTTTCTTTGTTTTTCATGACCTTGATTGTTTTTTAAGAGTACTGATCAAGTGTTTTGTAGAATTACCCCTGGTTTTTAAAAGACTGTTCTCTATAAATTAAGCAATTCTGTAAGGGAATGTTATACATACACACATTTTCTCATATATCTGTCATCTGCAATATATTGATAATATAAAGAAAAAAACTTTTCATTTTAACTATATTGATAACTTTTTCTTTTCTTCCTCATAAAGAAAAACCTCCAAAAATAATATTAAAAATGGTGACTCTAAATCCAAGCCTGTTTCTTCAATGTTTTCTGGAAAGGCTGAATCAAATCATGAAGTAGTTCCCCCACAACCACAGTCTTCTGAGGGCTCCAAGGCATATGTAATGGTATGTTTCTTTTTAAAAGGATACATGTTTAGAAACTGTATTAAAATGATAGGTTATATAAATAAGTTACTTTATGTGAAGTGATTAGGCTTTACTGGAGATTCTGTTATGTAATTAATTGTGTATTGTAGAGAAAGAATGCTGGTGAAGGTGATTTCGTTTAGCTCACTTTATTCAAAGTGGGCTGTCAAACTTCATGAAGTCAGTGCTGTAATAACTTCATTCTAAGAATTTCTTTTATTGAGGTGAAATTTATATAACAAAGTTAACCATTTAAAAAAAATCTTTATTATTCAAAGTATTACATGTGTCCCTCTTTCCCCCATTAACGCTTTATAGCAAAGTTAACCGTTTTAAAGTGAACAATTAATTGCATTCAGTACATTCACAGTGTTGTGAAACCATCGCCTCTATCTAGTTCTAAAACATTTTCACGTCACTCCAAATGAAACCCCATACTTATTAGTCATCCTCATTCCTATCTGGCCCCTGAAAACCACCAACAGTGTGTTTTCTGTCTCTTATGGGTTTGCTAGATATTTCATATAAATGGAATCATACAATATGTGACCTTTTGTGTCTTGGCTTCTTTCAGTTAACATAATGTTTTTGTATCAATACTTCATTTATATGTATGTGTGAATAATATCCCATTGTATGTATATACCACAGTTTGTTTATCCATTTATTCATTGATAGATATTGGGTGGTTTTCACCTTTTGGTTATTGTTATGAACATTTGTGTACAATTCTTTATTTTCTTCTAGTAATTAATTTTTAATATTTATTGATTTGAGAGAGAGAGAGAGATAGATAGAGAGAAACATCGATTTGTTGTTCCATTTATTTATGCATTCATTGGTTGGTTCTTGTATGTGCCCTACCTGGGGATCAAACCTGAAACTTTGGTGTAATGGGACAATGCTCTCACTAACTGAGCTACCTGGCCAGGGCCTGCTTTCAGTTCTTTTGGGTATATTCCTAGGACTTGAAATTTGGTAATTCTATCTTTAACTTTTTTAAAAAATACATGTTTTTGTTGATTTCAGAGAGGAAGGGAGAAGGAGAGAGAGATAGAAACATCAGTGATGAGAGAGAATCATTGATCGGCTGCCTCTTCCATGCCCCCCACTGGGGATCAAGCCCACAATCCGGCATGTGCCCTGACCAGGAATCAAACCGAGACCTCCTGGTTCATGGGTCGATGTTCAACCACTGAACCACACTGACGGGGCGAGCCATTTTTAAGTGTACCATTTAGTAGCCTTAATTATATTCAAAGTGTTGTGCAACCATCACCACTATCTTCTAAAAACACTTTCATCATTCCAAACAAAAACTCTGTACCCATTAAGCACTAACTCTACATTTTTCCCCACTCCCAGGCCTTGTTAACCTCTATGAATTTGCCTGTTCTAGGTATCTTATATAAGTAGAACCATACCATATTTATTCTTTTGTGTCTGACTTATTTCACTTAGCATGTTTTCAAGGACTATACATGTTGTAACATGTATCAGAACTTCATTCCTTTCTATGGCTTTATAATGTTCCACTATATGTATACCACATTTTGTTTATCCATTCATCTGCTAATAGACATTTGGGTCTTTTCCACCTTTTGGTCATCGTGACTAATGCTGCTATAAACATTGGTGCACAAATACCTGTTTGAGTTCCTACTTTCAGTTCTTTGGGATATGTACCTAGGAGTGGGATTGCTGGGTCATCAGGTAATCCTATGTTTAACTTTGTGAGGAACCTGTTGTTCCATTTTGAGCTAATTTGTTTATATGGTGTGAAGAGTGCTGTAATAACTTGGAAGCATTTCACTTAGGATGAAGACAAAGGTTTATCCCAGGAGAAACACATAGTCATTGACCCCTTGAAGACACCTACAAGTCTGAAAGGCCACACCTGCAAAGCAGACATGAGCAGTACCACAGAATCACTAGCTACAATCAGTAGAGTGAACATTGACATCTTACCTGCAGAAAGGAACTTGAGCGACGGGTTAGTTCAAGAGAATCAGCCAAGATACATAAATGTCTCTAATGAGCTAGAAGGTAAATGTAATATTTCTCAAGTGAAGGAGAGGCTGCAGGATAACACTAAGTCCAGCACTCGACCTAGAAACCTAATTCCTACGTGGTCCTCTAACAGTGTCATTGAGGAAAGAAAAGAGAAGCCAATGCAGCCCCTAAACAAAGACCAAAAGCCAAAGGGCCAGGTGAGTGATGTGCATGAGGTGTTCATCTCAGAAGACTGGAAAGTGTGGTTACAAAGGCGTGGGGTGTGTTATTTGGTTGTATTCTAGTTGTGGTTTTAGGAAAATCAACTCTTCAGTGTACCAGTTTAAACACAATGGAAACCAAAGGATGAGACCCAGGGATTCTTAGGTGCCTTCAGTGCCCTGGCATAAGGTACTTGGGGGAAGCATGCTATTTGTATGTTTTTTTTCCCATTTCAATATCATCATTCTTCCTTAGTCCTCCAAGTGGATAGGTAGTTCCAACACTTAGTTAATATCACATTCCTTCTTGCTTTTGAAAAGTTAGTGGAGAAGGAAGGAAGGAAAGAAGGAAGGAAGGAAGGAAGGAAGGAAGGAAGGAAGGAAGGAAGGAAGGAAGGAAGGAAAAAATTAGTGGATTGATCTGATTTCTTAAGGAGTAAAAACAAATATTCTATATGTTGGAACCAAAGGGGAAGGAAGAAGAGAAGATAAATAAAAGTAACCAAAAAAAAGGAACAGAAGGATTTTGATACTGAGAGACTATTCTGAGTATATTTAATGGCCATCTTCTACTTGAACTTGGAAAGAAACCTAAATTAGATGAAGCATGGTAATAGCTGAGGATGAGAGAAAAAAACAGAACATTTAATTAACTTTACTCTTTTTGTGTAAAATATTTTATAAATAGATTTAATAGGTATATTGACTATATTTTTATAATCTATGCTATATATATTTGGATTTGATACATTATATATTTTATTTAACATCATTTAATATAAACATTAAAACTATTTTATACATTTATATTCAGATGTTTTTAATAAAGTTTTGTTTTTATGGAAAAGAACAAGTATACTGCTTTTATCATTTAAAGCCATTGGATTAAACCAAAATATAGTCTTAAGCTTTCTTTGGACACTGGAATCCTTAGTACCTTATAGATAAAGTTTTGTGTGTCTTACTTGTTCTGCTTGACTGTCAAATTAAATTCAAGTTCACTTTTTTAAAAATATATTTTTATTGATTTCAGAGAGGAAGGGAGAGGGAGAGAGAGATAGAAACATCAGTGATGAGAAAGAATCATCAATTAGTACCTCCTACATGCCCCCACTGGGGATGGAGTCCGCAACCCGGGCATGTGCCCTGACTGGGAATCTAACCATGACCTCCTGGTTCATAGGTCCACTCTCAACCACTGAGCCATGCCGGCTGGGCTTTTATAAAAAATTTTAAGGTGCCTATTCACTGGTTTTTATTATATTTATAAACTTCTGCAATCATTACTACTGTCTAATTCCAGAACTTTTTCATCACCTCAAAAAGAAACCCCATATCCAATGATAGTCACGCTTCATTTCTCCTTGCTCCCAGCCCCCAGCTCCTATTGTCTATTCGGATTTGCCCATTCTGAGCATTTCATATAAATAGAAGAACCATATAATACAGCATATGGTCTTTTGTGTCTGACTTCTTTTACTTAGCATAATGTTTTCAAGGTTTATACTTGTAGTATGTGCCAGTATTTCATTCCTCTTTATTGCCAATTAAAGTCCACTGTATGTATGTATCATATTTTATTTCTTCATTCCTCAGTGGATGAACAGTTGGGTTGTTCTCACTTTTTGGCTACTACGGATAATGCTGCTATGAACATTCTTGTACAAGTTTTTAGTGTGGATGTTCACTTCTCTTGGGTATATACCTAGTTGTGGAATTGAGGGGTCATATGGTAACTGTATGTTTAACTTTTTGAGGAATTGCAAATTGTTTTTCAAAGCAATTACATCCTTTTACTTCCTACCAGCAATGTATGAGAGTTATAATGTCTCCACATCTTCACCAACACTTTTTTTTTCTAGCCATCCTAGTGGGTGTTAAGTGGTATCTTATTGTGGTTTTGCTTTGTATCCTTAATGACTAATGATGTTGAGCATCATTTCATGTGCTTTTTGGCCATTAGTGTACCTACTTTGGAGAAATATCTATTCAGATCCTTTGCCCATTTTTTAGTTGGTTTATCTTTTTGTTGTTGAGTTATAAGAATTCTTTATTCTAGATGTCAGTCCCTTATAAGATATAAGGTTTGAAAATATTATCTCTCATTCTGTGGGTTGTCTTTTCACTTTATTTTTAGTTTATTTTATTGATTTTTGAGAGAGAGAGAAATATCGATGTCAGAGAGGAACAATTGGCTGCCTCTACACATGCCCCGACCAGGAATTGAACCTGCCACCTCCTGGTGCATGGGGTGACCATCCAACCAACCGAGCCACACCGACCAGGTTGTATTTTCACTTTCTTGATAGTGTTCATTGAAGCACTACAGTTTTTAATTTTGTTTATTTTTAACGATTGAAGATCCATGAGGGTCAAATTTGGGGGAAGGAGAAATCTGGCTGGATAATTCATGCTTGTTTTAATAGCCATGTAATCAGAATCAATGTGCAGAAGACATTTTCTGAAATAGTCTAAAATAATCTATATCTCATTAGATGGTAGTGTCAGTAGAACAAAGTCTTGCCACAGAATATGTTCTCTGCAATCTGCAGTTAATTAAGCAGAGGGACAAATTGTATTTAAAGACCTGTTTCAAGAATATCAAAACCATTATTTTTCTAATACAAAGTTTTTCCCCCATAATGCATGTGACCCCTCTTTTTTTCCTCTGTGGTACTTGATTGCAAAGAATTTTTAAAATAGGGAGAGTCCTCATCACAGAATTTTAGTTACCTCTGGAATGTGTCTTAGGTCCTTACATACCATCTTCTTTTCACTGTTCTCTGAGATTTCACCCTGTGGTTTCATTCATTATAGCTAAGGCTCTGTTGTAAATTAAACAGAAATTCTTGGGTAGAGGTAACTCACATCTTTCTTCTTTCCCCCCTCTTCTTCTTCTTTTCCTTCTATCCCTTCATCCTTTTGTCCCTGTCTCCCTCCCACCCAAAATATCAGAAAACCTCAACATTTCTGGTTGAAGTGGGAGTAGAGAAGTTGAGGCACCATTGGCACCTTTGCCCACCCCCTTGCCCACTCAAGGCCAGCAAAGCACTCGTAGATTCAGGACAACCCTGGGGCTCCCACTCACCTAGATAATAGGGCAGCCACGGGGGAGTCTTCCTCACTTTTGCACAGTGCATGGGACACTGCTTCATGCCCTCTAATTGCTCCAACAATGAATTAAATCTAGACCTGCTGGCTGAGAATTATGGAATTTGAAACTGGTTCGACTGTGTTGAGCTGGCTGACAAGGAAATATTAATTCAAATAGAATAAGGTTTGACTTTTCATGGTGTGATGAAATATTGGGCAGACATGGGTTCAGGTCCTAACTTTGATTCAGAGCTGTGGTGGGACCCTGCATAAATCATCTAACTGTCGTAGCCTCAGTGTCTTCACCTTAAAACAGGGACAATAATACTTCATTGGATTGCTGAGAGGAAAAAGATTTTAATTGTGATGAAATACAATTTTGTCCACTTTGTTGTTCTTGCTTGTGCTTTTGGTGTCATGAATAGTTGCCCCTATGTTGTCTTCTAAGAGTTTATAGTTTTAGTTCTGACATTAGGTCTATGATTCATTCTGAGTTAATTTTTGCGTATAGTGTAAAAAAAGGTCCAACTTTATTCTTTTGTATGTAAATATCCAGGTATCCCAGCACTTTTCATTAAAAGACACTAGGCCCCATGCACGAAATTTGTGCAAAAGTAGGTCTTCCTTGCCCTGGCTGCTGGCACCAGCTTCCCTCTGGCCACTGGCAGGCACCCGGGACCTGGGCAGCCTCAGCTTCATCCGGAAGGTCGTCTGGTCTAATTAGCATATTACACTTTTATTATTATAGAGGCCCGACGCATGAAATTCGTGCAAGAGTAGGCCTTCACAGCCGCAGTGGCTGCCTGGATCCCTCCCTTGCAGCCATGGAGGCTGCCTCGATCCCAGAAGGACGTGTGGTCTAATTAGCATATTATGCTTTTATTATAGATTATTCTTTCCCCATTGAATTTTCTTGGCACTCTTGGTGGAAATCAGTAGACCATAAATGTAATGGTTTATTTCTAGACTCTCAATTCTTTTTCACTGGTTTATGTGTCTATCCTTATGTTAGTAAAACCCTGTTTTAAATATTGGTAGCTTGGCAGTAAGTTTTGAAGTTGGGAAGTTTGAGTCTTCTAACTTTATTCTTATTTTACAATATTGTTTTGACTATTTCAGGTCCTTTGCATTTCCATGTGAATTTTAAGATCAGCTTGTCAATTTCTGGGGGGAAAAGGGGGGGGATTTGATAGGATTACATCGAATCTGAGGTTCATTTGCAGAATATTGCTATCTTAATATACAGAGTGGGGCAAAAGTAGGCTTATAGTTGTGAGTATGTGAAACAGAATTTATTCTTGTATTATTGTTTATTAATTATTGTATTATTTTATACAAACAACTGTGAATCTACTTTTGCATGATCCTGAATGTCTTCAAACACATGGACATGAAATGTCTTTTAATTTATTTAGGTCTTCTTTAAATTCTTATAATGATGTTTTATTGTTTTTAGTTTGCACTTATTTTGTGAAATTTATTTCTTTGCATTTTATTCCATTTGATACTATTGTAAATGGAATTGTTTTCTTAATTTCATTTTCATAGTGTTCATTGCTTGTGTATAGAAATACAATTGATTTTTGTATATTAATCTTATACCACACAGCCTTTACTGAACCCCATTATTGGTTCTAATAATTTTTTTTATAATGGATGCCTTAAGATTTTCTGAATATAAGATCATGTCATCTGTGAACAGAGATAGTTTTACTTCTTCCTTTCCAATCAGGATTGTTTTTATTTCTTTTTCTTGCCTAATTTCTCTGGCTAGAACCTCCACTACAATGTGTAAATAAAAGTGTTGAGAGGGAACATCTTGTTTTGTTCCTGATCAAATTAATTTGTTACATAAGTGTTTTTTAAAAAGTACATCTTAAATATGTTTTTATTGATTTTTAGAGTGAGAGGAAGGGAGAAGGAGAGAGAGATAGAAACATTGATGAGAGAGAAATATAATTGATTGGCTGCCTCCTGCAAGCCAATCAGTTGGGGATCGAGCCCGCAATCTGGGCATGTGCCCTGACTAGGAATCGAATCACTCAACCACTGAACCACACCAGCCAGGCTTACATCAGGGTTTTAGAGCAGATTTTTTGTTTGATAGAATTTTATGTCCAGCATTTCCTGTTTTTGTGTTACTATTTTTAAAAGTAGAACTTTTTTTCCAAGACAATTGGATTTTATGGAGAAATCCCCTAATCATTTATTCTGTCACTCTTGTATAAGCTTTATTTTGAACAGCCTATGCTTACTACCAGCAGAGAAACATTTACCTCATGCTTCAGAATTATATCAATCATTGTTTATTATCTTGGTTGTCTTGTTCAGCTTGAATATTATGTAGTAATATTGTAAAATTTAATCATTTACTATATTTTATACATAATGTTAGGTGTACTCTTGAAAGAATAAACTTAACAAGTTATCCTATATAATAAAAGGCTAATATGCAAATCAACCGAATGGTAGAACGACTGGTCACTATGACACACACTGACTACCAGGGGGAGCTGCTCCCGGTGGTCAGTGCAATCCCACAGGGGAAACGCTGCTCATCTAGAAGCCCTGAGCCAAGGCTCCCGGCTGGCGAGCGCAGCAGTGTTGGCAGGAGCCTCTCCCACCTCCATGGCCGTGCTAAGGCTTAGACCCACAGGGAGCGGGCCTAAGCCATCAGTCGGACATTCCCCGAGGGCTCCCAGACTGCGAGAGGGCACAGGCTGGGCTGAGGGACGGCCCCCCGCCCCCGAGTGCACAAATTTCGTGCACTGGGCCTCTAGTTACCTGTAGGAGTCACTGTTTTGTGTTTGTTAGAGGATATGAATCATAGATGATGTCGTAATGATAATGACTCTTAGAAGCAATTTCACTTTGTATTAATACTACATTGTTAATTTTTCTTCCTAAAAATGTACCACATAGTAGGCTCTTGAAAAAAATTGTTGATTGAGCCATATTTAATTATTTGAAAACTTAGATATTCTGATATTAAAAATTTGTTTGAAAAATTTAAGTAGCTACTTTATTTTATTTTTAATCCTTACCTTAGGATATTTTTCCATTGATTTTTTTTAGGGAGAGGGAAAGAAAGAGGAAAAGACAGAGAGAAACAGCAATGTGAAAGAAACACACCGATTGGTTGCCTCTTGTGCATGCCCTGACCAGGACCAAGGTATGTGCTCTTGACTGGAATCGAACCTGGGACCCTTCGGTCTGCAGGCTGACACTCTATCCACTGAGCCAAATCGGCGAGGGCTTAAATATCTATTTTAATGTTTGGTATAAAATTAGTTTCTAAAACAGCTACCCAATAAAATGCTAAGTCCTTGCCCTGGCCAGGGTGGCTCAGCTCGTTGAACATTGTCTGTACACTGAAAGGTGGTGGGTTTGATTCCTGGTCAGGGCACATACCCAGATTTCAGGTAGATCGATGTTTTCTCCCTGCCTCCCTCCCTCCTTCTCTCCATCCCTTCTCTTCTCTCTAAAATCAATAAAAATAGCCCTACCCGATTTGGCTCAGCGGATAGAGCATTGGCCTGCGGACTGAAGGGTCCTGGGTTCAATTCTGATCAAGGGCATGTACCTTGGTTGCGGGCACATCCCCAGTAGGGAGTGTGCAGGAGGCAGCTGATCGATGTTTCTCTCTCATCGATGTTTCTAACTCTCTATCCCTCTCCCTTCCTCTCTGAAAAAAATCAATAAAATATTTTTTTTAAAAATCAATAAAAATAAAGCAAAACATGTCCTCAGATGAGGATTTTTAAAAACAAATAAATAAAAAAGACTAAGCCTTTGGTGAACTTTATATAACTTAAAAGGCAATTTATTTTACCATTACTACTGCTAGTAATAGCTCTGATTTTTTGAGTATTTAATGTGATAGACATAGTTCTAAGTACTTTAGTGCACTATATTTCCTAATTCTCCAACAGTCATACGAATGTGTGTGAAGCATTTTACCCATTTACATATGGATGAAGAAACTGAGGTTCAGGAAGATTAAATTTCTCAGATATGACTCCATCCGACTCCAAATTCAATGCTTTTTTCATGGTAATTTAAAGGCATTTTTCATGGTACATCTAAATTACTCATGTTTACTTGGAAATTATGTATATGTTGAATTGGATTTCATTTAAAGTATTTCTTAGTTTTCTGCATATTAGTAGTTTCAGGTTAATAACAATATAAATAATTTAATTAAAATAATTATATTTTTAATTTGGGGAAAAAGAAAAAAGCCAGAAAATATGAATAATTGATTTTAGCATTATGTCTTTGCCTATAAACACTGTAAATACGCATTTATTTTGAGAAAAACAACTTCTTTTCATTTTCATTTATAATTTTAAAAGTAGGTATAGAGGGTTTGGCTGTTTGGAAATTCAAAAGACTATTTTATATTTTGTGTGTTTTTGTGTGTGTATTTTTTAAGGATCAAGTTGCCGGTGAGTGGGTTATGGAAAAACAAGACAGAATCCACCCAGGTTTACAGCCACACAGCTCTGGGTCTGAACCTTCCCTGTCTCGACAGCGACGGCAGAAGAAAAGAGAACAGACTGAACACAGTGGGGAAAAAGGACAGGTTGGACGAGATCTCTTGACAAAGTCATTGTGCAACTGCTTGGGAAGTAGGAAGCTCAAGTTCTACTTAGAATGATTAGCAGTTGCCAGATAGGCACCCGGGAAATGCAAGGAACATTTAGAGTGGTGACAAGGGCAAGATATTAGTTTTCAAATGTCAGTAAGTTGGATGCAGAGTAAGGATTTTGTCTTTTTCAGCAAAGATGGACAGATTGAGAGTTAAAGAAACAGGCTAATGAGTACATCCGATTCTCCCTGTTATATTGATGAGCAGTTTCTCCCCCATCTTCTGTATACAATCATGTTGACATCTCATTACTTTTTTTTTCTTTAATTGAGATATTACACCATTTCTTGAAGTAACTTTTATAGGCACACTCTCATAATACTTCGCTTTGGCAGAATTTCTTCCCCCCAAAATTCAGTGTTTTGAAGTTTTTGAGAGCAAATCACTGTTGAATACATAGGAAACTTACTAATAGGGGTACTTTGGAGGTGGGTTATCGTTATCATATGAAACTGATAATTTCCCCCTCTTTTAAAAATATTTAAGTTCCAGGAGGCTCTGCCACAACGTTTGCCTTCTCTTCCTGCTGTTGGAAAAGGGGATGTCACATTAACCCAAAAGGATGCTGAAAACCAAAATAGAGTGATCACTGAGTCTGTGAGCAGTTCCAGGAGCAGTGAGATGTCATCATCAAAGGTTTGTGGGGGTATATGTCAGATTAAAAAAAACCTATAAAGCTTTTTGGTTATGAAATCCTGCATATATTGTGAAGTTTTGTATTAAAATATCTTAGCCCTACTTTTTGCCAAACACTGTAAGGAATAGATATGTGATTCTTAGTAGAAGCACTGATGAAGTGGACAGACTCTAAAGTTCCAGAGATGGTCACTTATGGTTAACTAGGAGACCAAGTAGATTCTGAATGGAGGAAATGCAAAATTCCGCAGTTGTCCTTCCAAAAATGAGTACAGTACTTCCTAGAAACGGGGCTGCTGTGATCGGTCCTAGCTAGTAGCTGTAACCCTGATGCAGACTGGTCTGTGCAAGGTCTTTCCTATAGGGCTACATGATACTTCATGCATTATAGGTGTTGTAAGAGTGGTGAGAAGAAATGGAAATAACTCTGACTTTCTTTAAAAGGACAGACCATTATCAGCAAGAGAGAGGAGGCGACTAAAGCAGTCACAGGAAGAGAGATTCCCCTCAGGTAAAGTTGTTCTCTTTTCTTCATCTTTTGGAGGTTTGACTCACGGACATAAGTATTGGTTCTGATTGTGAGGTGTTAAGAATTTTCAAGCAATAGTAATACATTTTGGAAACTGATTTGGAAGAAATTTTGAAATTTCTTAGTCAAGCCTTTAAAAACAATTCAGCATAGGCTGTTGGATCTGGAACTTGTATTATCAGTGGAAGAGGATTTTAAAAAGAGAGTAAGAGGGCTTTGAGTGGCCGTAATTCCTGGAAGGTTTCAGACAGGAAATCGAGTGTTTAATTTGTTTGCATGTTCAGAGTCTGCTGGTCATAGAAGTGCTGTTTTCTAAGGAACAGGGAGAGGAAACTGGGAGAATGGTGGTGCCTAGGGCTACATGCTGTGATCACTCCTATTACTATTAACTAAAGACAGTACTGGCATTCCCATTTATGGAATGCTAATTAAGTTTCATGCACCATGGTAAGCATTTTAAGGGCATTATCTCAATTTATATTTACAGTAACTGTCAAAGGTAGTCAGCATTATCCCATTTTGCAGCTGAAGGAACTGAGGCTCCGAGTGGTTAAGTATCTTGCTTAAGATCACAGAGCTGGTTGACCGAGAGCTCAACTTTGAACTGAAGTGTCAGATACCAGAGTGATGGTGATATGCTATCTGAGTTACTTCTGGACTGGTCCTTGCTGGGTTACCTCCCATACCCAGTGCAAAGCCCTCTTCTGTTGAGGCCAGCCCATCACAAACCACTGCTGGGGATGGTCACTTTTTCAGGCCCTTCAGTGAGGAGAGCTTCTGTGAGTACACCGGGGCCAGGGCAGCCACAAGAGGAAAGCCAGCTCACCCCTGCTCCAAGGTTGTCTTCTGACCGAAGCTTTGCTCAGGTACATTGCTTAGCCCGAAGGAGAAAAGGTGGACGTGTCTGCATCTGGCAAGCCTAATATAGTAAACCTCATAAATACCAGTGCCAGGGCAAGATTTGTTTCCTTAACAATATTCTGTGATTTAGTCGTTTCACTAATTGAGATGGTCCTTTCCATTTTCCAAAGTTGTAAGGTTTGTGTGTAATTATATCAAATAATCCTTTAAAGTGCTGTATTTTAAGAAAGTGTCTCACATATGAACAAACTGAGGTTGCTTTTATTTAGGTGGCGTTCTATCTAGCTTAAAATGCCAATATTCCTTATGGTACCAGCCCTCTGCTTAGGAGTTGGAATACCAGAATTGTTTGTCCACTCTTGTTTGGAAAGGAAATGTCTTCACAGCTGAGACTTTCCAGGGCCTTATAAAACTTCACCTTGATGTTCCTCAGGCTTCTCTTGTAGATTTCATGGGTGAACTGGGACATGATTTGGGTAAAATAACTTCAATTTTTATATCCATTAGTTTCTCTTGTTAAATTGGATCTAAGTGCACAATCTAGCTAGACATTGCATCCAAGACCTTTTCGTTTATTGCATTCTGGTTGTGTTGTCATGTGGAATTTTGTTTTTCCAAACTTTAATAGAAAAGGAAACTTACCCATTGTTTCTCTGAGGAGGAGTTAAGTTCTTCTACAAGTTCAACTGATAAATCAGATGGGGATTCCAGGGAAGGGTAAGTTCTATTTTTCTCTCTCTTCATAAAGTATTTCTGTTTGAATTAATCCTAAATGTGTATTTATAGTAGTAGTCAGACCTGTAGTATTGTCATTGCTAACATTATAAATGGTTTTTTATATATGCTAGCATTAAAAATATCTCTTCTGAAAAAAGCAACCATGTTTGATGCATTGTTGCTTGGTGTAAAAAAGAAAGACAAAGATTTTTTTTTAAGTTGAAACTCTAAGTGTGGCCTAAAAGTTATTCTGGAAGGAAATAGAGGTTTCCTTCAAACATTTGATGAACTGTAATTAATAAAAATTAAAAAATTAAAAATATCTCCTCTAATGAGCACATCTGATTTTCATTCAGAATTTTATTAATGTCTTCTAATGTTTTTTGGACCCCCTCCTGCCTGCCTTTTTGAGGATTCTAGTTACATTATTAATTATTTAAAGCTGTCCCATAGCTCACCAATGGTATTAATATTTTTAGACTTTTTTTGTTTCATTTTGCATAGATTCTATTGCTGTATCATTGAATTCACCATTCTAGCTTTTCTTCTGTGGTGTCTGATCTCTTAATCCCTTCCAGTGTATTTAACACATTGTGTTTTTCATTTTTAGTTCACTTTGGGTCTTTTTATTTTTTTTTATCCTCATCTGAGGATATGTTTTTATTGATTTTATTGATTTTAAAGAGAGAGAGAGAGAGAGACAGAGAAACATTGATCAGTTGCCTCCTGTATGTGCCCCGACTGGGATCAAACCTAGGTATGTGCCCTGACCAGGAATGGAACCAGTGATCCTTTGGTGCACAGGACAATACTCCAACCACTGAGCCACACTGGCCAGGGCTAATTTGGATCTTTTAAATATCTTTCATGCCTCTCTTTAATATTTAATACTTTTGTTTACTTTGGATATATGGAATATATTTATAACAACTTTATAGTTATTATAATAACTTCAATGTCTTTATTTACTAATTCTATCACTTGTGTCACTTCTGGGTCTTTTTCTATTACCTGCTTCTTTTCTTTTCACAAATGTGTGCTATTTTCTTGCTGCTTTGCATGTTTGGTATTTTTGACTGGATTCCAGACATTGTCAATTACAATTAGAACATGGTATTCTTATATTTCTTTAAATATTTTTGAGCTTTGTACTTGAATGAAGTTATTTAGAGATAGTTGGGCAGAATTTATAGAATTCTGGGGCTTCCTCTTTCTGGCTCTCCCCTTTCCAAGATTCCTCTCTCTTTCTAGTGGCAGTGGTTGTCTTGAACTGTGTCCTTGAACTGTGTCTGCAGGCCAGAAAGACTGTGGGTTTTCTGCTGTACTTTAGCACCTGTGGCATTCCCTTAGGATAAAAGGTGTTGACTTCCCTCCAGAATCTGCTCGCAGATTTTGTACATTCTCCAATGCCTTCATATAGTTGATTTCTGTGTCATGTTCAGCCTTTATACTTGTTACTTATGGAAGGGTCTGTCTGCAGGAGCTTGCTTGGCCATTTGGAAGCAGAACTTCCTAAAGGTTATTTGGTCATTTGGCATCTCATTTTTTATTATTTATTTATTTATTTATTTATTTTTAAAATTCTTGTTTAAAGTATCACATATGTCTCCTTTTCCCCCCATTGCCCTCTCCCTGGCCACCCCCACCCTTGGCATCTCATTTTTTAATGAAAACTTTTCATGAAGTCAATTTAATAATAATAAGGGGAATTTCTTTTTTCTAGGAAAGGTCATTCAAGTGAAATGAGTGATTTGGTACAATTGATGACTCAGACCCTAAAATTGGACTCTAAAGAGAACTGTGAGGATCTCCCAGTACCAGATCCAGTGTCAGAATTTAAACTTCATCGGAAGTATCGGGACACACTGATACTTCATGGGAAAGTTGCAGAACAGGCAGAGGAACTCCATTTTAAAGAGCTACCTTTAGGTGATCAGTTTATTCTTTTACAGCAAACTGGAGAGCATGTTTATTGGAGAAATGTGTCAAACCAAGGAGCAACTAATGCTTGCAAATTGTTTTGTCTTTTTATTCTTTCATTTGGATATCTCCATAAAAGGTATATCTTGTTTTATGTAACAGTTGTGTTCCTGAAAAGTTGCATGAAAATTGATTTTTAAAAATATGTGTAAATAAATACATGTTTGGAATTTTTCACATGGATTCTCTTCAAGTTAGACAGTTGTGCATTTTTAAGTTTAGGAGGTAATAATGAGACATAAAGCATAAATTCATATATAGTCATACCTTGTTTTATTGTGCTTCACTTTATTGCACTTTGCAGATATGGTGTTTTTTACAAATTGAAGGTTTATGGCAATCTTGCATTGAGCAAGTCTATTGATGCCATTTTTTTGCAGGCTCAGATGACAGCAATTTTAGCAATAAAGTATTTTTAAATTAAGGTATACACATTGATTTTTTATTTTATTTTTAATAATTTTTACTGATTTCAGAGAGGAAGGGAGAGGGAGAGATAGAAACATCAATGATGAGAGAGAATCACTGATCGGCTGCCTACTGCACTCCCCACACTGGGGATCAAGCCTGCAACCTGGGTATGTGCCCTTGGCCAGAATCAAATCTGGGATCCCTGAGTCCGCAGACCGATGCTCTATCCACTGAGCCAAACCAGCTAGGGCCACATTGATTTTTTAAAACATCATTACTATTACATACTTCATTGACCATAGTATAGTGTAAATATAACTTTTATATGCACTGGCAAAACCAAAAATGTGTGTGACAAACCTGCAATATCTCTGAAGTATGCCTGTATACATTTTAGTCATTGAAAATACATGAAGTCATTAAACTAAACTCTTGTCAAAATGAAAAAGATTGCAACATGACAAGATTTTAAAAAAACAACACATTGCATTCTTCTTGCTGCCATGGTGAAAGTATTCATTTTTCCCTCTCTTTGTTATTACTTTTAAGCTATCATTCCAGGTTCTGAAAAGATCAGAAGAATAGTTGAAATCTTGAGAGCTGATGTAGTCCAGGGCCTGGGGATTCAGCTTTTAGAGCAGGTATATGAACTTTTGGAAGAGGAGGATGAATTGAAGAGAGAGGTGAGTGTCCTATTAGCTTTGTCAGCTGCTTATGCTATACAATTTTTTTAATAGCCTTTTGAAATATAATTAACATTCCCTACATTTTACACACTTAAAATGTACAATTCAGTGGTTTTTTTAGTATATCAAAGTTGTACCACCATCACCACAACCAATGTTAGAGCATTTAATTACTCCTTAAAGAAACCTTGTACCCATTGGCAGTCACTCCCCAAAGCCCTCCACCCCTGAGCAACCACTAACATTTCTGTCTCTATAGATTTGCCTATTCTAGATATTTCATTTAAATGGAATCACACAAAATATGTTGTCTTTTGTGATTAGCTTCTTTTACTTAATACATAATCCATGTGTCACATACTTTATTCCTTTATATAGCCAAATATAGTTCACTAGAGGCCCAGTGCACAAAATTTGTGCACTATAGGGTCCCTAGCAGTTGCCAGCTGCTGTCCAGGTACTCCCTCCTTTCCCCCGGCCAGCCCTGCCCCCTGGTCGAACTTTCAGATGAACTCCCAGTTGAGGGGACAATTTGCATACTATGCTTTTATTATATAGAATTATATGGCTATAGCGTGCTTTGTCTATCTGCTTATGGACATTTAAATTGTTTCCACTTTTTGGCCATTATGAATAATGCTGCTATGAACATTCATGTATAAGTTTTTGTGTAGACATATGTTTTCATTTTTCTTGGGTATGTATCTATGAGTAGAAATTGCTGAGTCATATGGAAAGTATATATTTAGCATCTTGAAGAATGGCCAGACTGTTTTCCAAAGCAGCTTCCTCATTTTATATTCCCACCAGTAATGTGTGAGGGTTCTAATTTCTTCACATCCTTGTCAACACTTGTTATTGTCATCATTTTGGTTATAGCCATCCTAGTGGGTCAGGAGTATTTTCTCATTATGGTTTTGATTTGCTTTTTCCTACTGAATAATGAACATGGAGAATCTTTCATGTACCTGTTGGCTATTTTATATATTTTTTGGAGCCATGTCTATTTTGATCTTTTACACATTTTAAAATTGTTATTTGTATTTTTATTGTTGAGTTGTAAGAGTTCTTTATATATTCTGGATACAAGTTCTTTATCAGATGCATGATTTGCAAAAAGTTTTTCCCATTCTGTGGTGGTTTTTTCACTTTCTAATGACATTGTTTGTACCACAAAAGGTTTTAATTCTGATGAAGTTTAATATATCTATTTTGTTGCTTGTGGTTTTGGTGTCAGATCTAAGAAGGCTTTGTGTAACCTAAGATCACAAAGATTTATTCCTATGTTTTCTTCTAAAAATTTTATCATTAGCCTGGACAGTATGTCTTGTTTGTTTGGAACATTGTCCCATGCACCAGAAGGTGGTGGGTTCAATTCCCTGTCAGGGCACATGCCTGGTTTGAGGGTTCAACCCTAATTGTGGTGTGTCAGGAAGCTGCTGTTCAATGTTTCTCTCTCACATCAATGTTTCTCTTTCTATCTCAAATCAATGAAAACATATCCTTGGGTGAGGATTAATAATAAAATAAATAAAAGGGGTTTTTAAAAATATATTTTTATTGATTTCAGAGAGGAAGGGAGAGGGAGAGAGAGATAGAAACATCAGTGATGAGAGAGAATCATTGATCAGCTGCCTCCTGCACACCCCTTACTGGGGATGAGCCTGCAACCCAGTCATGTTCCCTTGACCAGAATCGAACCTGGAACCCTTCAGTCCGAAGGCCAACACTCTATCCACTGAGTCAAACCAGCTAGGGCAAAATAAATAAAAGTTTTTTCATTTAAATTCTTACATGAGTATCATGATAAATCTCGAGCTGTCCTGTTCCCTCCCACCCAGGATGTGAATCATCCCTTTGTCACCTGTCATAGTTAAATATTTTTTTCTTGTGATGAGAACTTTTATGATCTACTCTTAGCAACTTCAAATATACAATACAGTATTATTAAGTATAGTCACTGTGCTACACATATATCCCAGGAACTTATTTTATAACTGGAATTTGTACTTTTTGATCATCTCTACCCACTTCCCTTACCCCTCACCCCCCACCACTGGCAACCACCAATCTGTTCTCTGTTTCTGTTTGTGTGTTTTTTTGTTTGTTTTTTTCTTTTTTTTCTTTTTTTGGTGTGTTTTTTTGCAGGGGGGCGGGAGAGGTTGGGTGCAAAAATAGTTTAATAGGTTCTACCAAGCAGACCAATAGGGGAGTGGTTAGGGGGTGATCAGGCTGGCAGGCAGAAGCGGTTAGGGGCAATCAGGCAGGCGAGCAGTTGGGAGCCAGCAGTACCGGATTGTGAGAGGGATGTCCAAAAGTTGGACATCCCCTGAGGGGTCCCAGATTGGAGAGGGTGCAGGCTGGGCTGGGGGACACCCCACACACACACAAATTTCATGCACCGAGCCTCTAGTTTCTTTAAATATTTTTCTACTTCTTTCTTTTTTTCTCTGGTCCTCCCATCACACCGGTGTAGGTATGCTTAAATAGTGTCCCACATTTCTCTGAGGCTCTGTTTATTTTCTTTACTCGCTATCCTGTGGATTACATAATCTTTATTGATATATCTCCAAGCTTCCTTATTCTTTCATTAGTTCAAACATACTGTAGAGCCCCTCTGGTGAGTCTTTTGTTATTGCAGCACTTTTTAATTCCAGAATTTCCATTTGGTTCTTTTTACAATTTATTTCTCTTTATCAATACTTTGATATGACATTATCATCATACTTTACTTCTGTAGTCATGACTTTCTTTAGTTTTTGTGAACATGTTTATAATGGCTATTTTGACGTCTTTTTCATTAAATCCAACATCTGATTGTTCTCACAGGCAGTTTCTCTTTGCATGCTTTTTCCCCCCCAGTGTACATGTCATACCCTGTTTCTTTGCATGTTTCCTAACTTTCTTTTGGAAACTGGAAATTTTAGACATCTATATATATAAAAGACTAAGTGGCCGGCCGGCCAGTACATATGACGTGCACTGGCAATTTAAAAATAAATGAGTCGCGCATGCACGATACTTATAAAGCTCTTGCTGATGCCAGTCACACGTGTGTTTTAACTTTATGATGCTATCTTACGTATACTATTTTGACATGTAACTTTCTGCAGTAATGTAATTACCACACGAATCTGCTAATTAATTTCAATATGAACAAATCCGTGCACTGGGCCACTAGTGTTTTTGTAACTTTGGTTACTGGCCTCCCTGGGAGTGAGGGTTGTTACTGTTATTCAATTGTTTAGTAATTAGCTGGATTATTTTAGTGGGGTCTGTTTTACCCCTTCCTCCTTTCCCTACAGTGTAAAGCCTCTGATATTGCCCCTCAGTGGGTGCAACCTTGGGCATGTCCACAGCCATCTTGGAATGACAGCGTTTGGGAGAGCTCTCTTGATATTCTCCTTTTCCCTGACCTCACCCAGCTGTTAAGGTTTTTTAGTTGTCAGCTGATTGCTCTGCTGTTTTCCACAATGCCCTGGGGCATAAATTGTGCTACAGATTGATCCAATCAAATTCAGACTCCTTTGAAGGGATAGTTCAAAAGGTCAATGTTTGAGAATGGTTCTGACCCCAGGGAAGGTCCTCCCAGCTTCTTGTTTGTTTCCATGAAAGTAGCCTACAATTTAACCTATATATCCAATGAATCTACAGTCTCCTCCCCGTTGCCTTTCACCACTACCTCCTTCTTTTTGTTTTGTTTTGTTCTATTGAGAACACCTTTAGGCTTGAATTTTCCATAGTCTGCTTCAAATGAAGTCAGTTCATTTAAGAAAAGATTCCAGGTAAAATCTCTGAGCAAAGCTCTGGAGTTGAGGTGTGAGGACAATTAGCATGCTTGTTTCTGAGTGATATCCCTACTTTGAAAGTTCTGTGGGCCTGGCCTATGTGGTTCAGTGGTTGAGCATCGAACCAAGAGGTTACCAGTTCGATTCCCGGTCAGGGCACATGCCCTGGTTGCAGGCTCAATCTCCAGTAGGGGCCCATCTTTGATGTTTCTCTCTCATCGATATTTCTATCTCTCTATCCCTCTCCCTTCCTCTCTCTTTAAAGTCAATAAAAACATATTATAAAAAATAAAACCACTGTGGGCCCTAGCTGGTTTTGCTCAGTGGATAGAGCATTGGCCTGCAGACTGACTGGTTCTGGATTTGATTCCAGTCAAGGTCACATGCCCCGGTTATGGGCTATCCCTGGTGGGGGGTGTGCAGGAGGCAGCCAGTCTATTAGTCTCTCTCTCCCCCGAGCTTTCCCTTCCTCTCTGAAATCAATAAAAATATATTTTGAATTAAAAAAAAAAGCTCTGTGGGGGTAAAGGGGCTTTAGTCTGGTCTTCTCAGCATGCTTCACCCACTCTTGGGCAAAGGCAGATTAGGACTCCACTATTTTCAATGTCCTGTATCCAAGGTCGAGCCTCCTTCCTACAAGTCAAGCTGGGTGTAAGAAGGAAACTCCCACCTCTTGGCTGCACTCTTCCAAAACTTACCAACAACAGGTACTGGGGGCAGGATGAGATAGATATTCTGATGTCCTGCCTCTTCCAGGAACATAGCCTTCTGACTGGAAGTTGGGGGAAAGAGCCCTGTTTTGTTGGCTTCACCAGGCTGATGTACTTTTTGTCTCATTAGGGCTGGGAGTGGAGAGGTAGGCAGTTGATCTTAATTCATATACTACAGATTCTCACCATTCTTATTTTTAGATTATCTTGGGGGGTGGGAAGTAACTTTATTTGCTGTATGCCCATAGGTTTACATTTCAGTTGTTACATCTCCTTTAATATGGAACAATTACCGAGTCTTTGTTTTTTACTACCTTGACATTTTTAAAGAGTATATGCCATTAGGCCCTGAATCAAGACCAGTGGTTTTTTGTAGCTGTTGGTTTCAAACAGGAGCCAAGAGCAGTGTCTTCCTGTGGTTTGTTGCCATTCAGGACCCAGTGGGAATGGCCAATTCAATTGGAAGAAACATAGAAAAAAACAAAAAAAAAAGAGTATATGCCATGTACTTTATAAAATGCCTGTTTGGATTTGTTTGACCTCTTGAGTAGATTCAGATTATGCATTTTTGGCAGGAATATTACAGAAGTGCTGATGTGTCTTTAGTACATTATATCAGGAGGTCCATATCTGTTTAACACATCTGCTAATTTCAGGCATTTTTTTCAACATAGTGTCACATAGTAGATTTTCTTGATTTCTAGTCTTGAATTTTCTATATATTAATTGGTTATTTGTATTATTTTGTAAATGCCTTTGTTGAATTACATGTGGGGTTGATTTTGTTGTTTTATCAATTCTGATGTTCAATAAAACACTAGTTTTATTGATTCTAAGAGCTCTTTATATACTAACATATATATGTGTGTGTGTGTGTGTATATATATTAACATATATATACATATATATATATACAGTGTCCCAAAAAATGTATACACACAGCTGATAGTTCAGTTTTGAAAATTACATTATTTTAATAAACACTGCCTTTAAAAGGATTCAAAGTGTATGTATACATTTTTGGGGGACACCAGATATATATACACGTATTTTGTTGTGATTCTCATCTGAAGATGTATTTTCCATTGATTTTTAGAAAGAGTGGGAGGGAGGGAGTGGAGAGAAACATCAGTGTGAGACACACACATTGATTGGCTGCTTCCCACATGTGCCCCATCTGGACCATGGGATCGAGCCTGCAACCTTGGCCTGACTGGGAATTGAACCTGCAACCCTGCAGTGTGTGGGCTGGCACTCTAACCACTGAGCAAACCAGCCAGGGGAGGACATCTGTATATTAATATATTTTGCATGTATGTTGAAAATATTTTCGCTAGTTTATTGTTTGCTTTTTAATTTCTTATGACTGTTTTTTGATATCTTGAAGTTCAAATTTTTATATAAATATACTTAGTATTTACCCATATGATATCCACCTTTGGTGTCATGCTTAGTAAAGCTGTTCTTCTAAGATTAGAGAAATATTTTTTCTACTACATACTGATTTTCTTTTTATGTTTCCCAAATAGGTACGTTTACAGGAGCATATGGGTGAAAAGTATACGACTTATAGTGTGAAAGCTCGCCAATTGAAATTTTTTGAAGAAAATGTGAATTTTTGAGAATTTATTCTAATCTGCTGCCAGAGCTAAAGACTTATATTCAAAAGTTTTTGGCTTAAATAGAAACAAACTTATAATGATGGTTGGAGGCTATTCACCATCTTTATATCTCTTGGGTGGTTGTTTTTTTGTTTTGTTTTTTACTGGAAAAAAAAAAATGGGACAGACCAATGGAATATGAAGCAAACTCACAACAGAAAGAACCTTTGGCTGTCTTATTCTCTTTGTGAAGAAAAATCTGTTATAAGACTTTGTTTGGTTACTTACTGGGCCTTAATCCACCAATTTTATACCTAGAACTTTATTTTTTTAAGGTATTAATTAGCTTGAATACAGGACCATATAATATTGGTTTGAAAGTTTTATATTATACTGCAGTGATAAAAGCAATAGGAGAAATAAATGACATATATCCAGTGATACTACTTGTCATTGTTAATAACCTTAGGTAGTAGGTGATAAATTATTTTGGAAAAAGTAAATTCAAGATTCTAGGAGTATATTTAAAGACCATGAAGTATGTAGTACTTGAGCAATTGAATTCCTCTTTACTGATGGACATTTAACATTGTATTTTCATGTAATATGCACCTCATCTAGGGTATATAAGAATTGAAACTAAGAGATATTTTGGCTTTGTAAATGAATGTTTTTATATGCTTTTTTTTTTTTTTTTTTTTTTTAGATTTCTCCATGAGGGAAAACATTTCTTAAACACTTATTCCTTTTCCACTTAAGCAATTTATAAGTAGAGTCCAGCTCCTTTTAGTTATGTTGGACATATTTCTCTCCTCAAGTTTGGCTTCTTGTACATCAAGATATTGGTTGTCTTCCCATGTTTCAAATGTATGTTTATGTATTACGTTAGTTTTTATGAGGGGTATTGCCCACCTAGGAAACAGTTTTTATAAAATAAGTATTGATTAGTAAATTTTCACCTCTGTATTCAAGAGACTTTAAAAATGAATTCTGCTCCAGAAATGTTGTTTTTTTTTAATAATTAAAAATGTATCTTCTCGCCTGGCTGGTATGGCTATGTGGTTGAGTGGCGACCCATGAACCAGGAGGTCATGATTTGATTCCTGGTCAAGGTACATGCTCAGACTGTGGGTTCCATCCCCAGTAGGGGGCATGCAGGAGGCAGCTGATTGATGATTTTTCTCATCATTGATGTTTCTCTCTCTCTCTCCCTTCCTGTCTGAAATCAATTAAAAAATATTTTTTTTAAATGTATCTTCTTCGAAAATATATACACACATAAAATACTCTAATGAAATGTTTCCTTCCTAGTCACTTAACAGATCTTTATTTACTGTTTTGCTAGGTGCTATTTCTGGAGCTAGGAATATAGTAATGACTTAAACAATACTCCCTGTCCGTATAATGCTCATAGCTTGTTTCGGAGACCTCTTATTTTCACTCTGAAGGGTTTGTTAGAACTCAACTATAAAACCATCTAGTCCCAATGGGGGAAAAAAAGAGGACAGCTGTTAATAGTTTCAACAATAAAGATAAATAAACACATCTAGTCCCAATGCTTAGATGGGGGCAAATCCTTGGTCTTCCTGAGTTATTCACCATTTCTTGCACATTTCAGAAATATGTTTTCTAACTTATTGATATAAAGTTGTGCATATTTTCTTAAAATAAAAAAAAGCTCCTGTTCCTAACTTTTAAACCACATTTACTATACTTTAACTAGAGGCCCGGTGCACAAAAATTTGTGCACTGAGGGGGGGGGGCGGGGATGTCCCTCAGCCCCGCCTGTGCCCTCTCGCAGTCTGGGACCCCTCAGGGGATGACCACCTGCTGACTTAGGCCCGCTCCCTGGGGGACTGGGCCTAAGCTGGCAATCAGACATCCCTCTGGCAGCCCGGGAACCCTTGGGGGATGTCCACTTGCCAGCGGGGAGCAGGCCTAAGCTGCAGTCGGACATCCTTAGCACTGCTGAGGCGGCGGGAGAGGCTCCCACCACCACCGCTGTACTGGCAGCAGTCAGCCTGGCTTGTGGCTGAGCAGAGCTCCCCCTGTGGGAGTGCACTGACCACCAGGGGACAGCTCCTGCATTGAGCATCTGCCCCCTGGTGGTCAGTGTGTGTCATAGTGATCAGTCATTCCCAGTCGTTCTGCTGTTAGGGTCAGTTTGCATATTATCCTTTTATTATATAGGACAGAGGCCTGGTGCATGGGTGGGGGCCGGCTGGTTTGCCCTGAAGGGTGTCCCAGATCAGGGTAGGGGTCCCGCTGGGGTGCCTGGCCAGCCTGGGTGAGGGGCTGATGGGTGTTTGCAGGCTGGTCACACCCCCTTCAGGGTGGGGGGTCCCCACTGGGGTGCTTGGCTAGTCTGGGTGAGGGGCTGAGGGCCATTTTCAGGCTGGCCAACCCCCCCACCCCCCGGTGATGGAAGCTCCCAGCCTCTCCTTTTTTCTTTTATTCTGGGATTTACTTACCTTCTATAATTGAAACTTTGTAGCCTTGAGAGTTGCTCAGAGCCAACTAGGGCGGGCAGGCAGGAAGCTTGGCTTCCTCCATCATTGGGGCAACCAAACCTGCTTGCTCCAGCTATGTGGCTGCTGGCCGCCATCTTGGTTGGGTTAATTTGCATATAGGCGCTCTGACTGGGTGGTGGGCATGGCTTAAGGCATAGCAAAGGTACGGTCAATTTGCATATTTGTCTTTTATTAGTGTAGATTGATATATTTGATCTATGTATTTCTGCCTTCATTTTTTAAAAAACTTTACTGACTTTTGCTGTATTAAAGTCTTTGCTCCCTTTTTCTTAAACTCACAGTTTGGAAGTCCTATATCCTGGTATTGAGAAATAGAGTATTACCTATAATAACCCTCCCCCTCACATAAGACCTTTAGAAAATTTTCTCTTCAGCCTTCTGGAAAATTTAAAAGGAATTTATGACTTCACTAGAGGCCTGGTGTATGATATTAGTGCAATGGGGGGAGAAGGAAGGGGAACGGGCCTCAGCCCAGCCTGCACCCTTTAGCAGTCTGGGAGCTCCTCAAAGGGAGCGGACCTAAGCCGTCAGCCTAGCTTGTGGCTGAGCAGCATTCCCCCTGTGGGAGTGCACTGACCACCAGAGGGCAGCTCCTATGTTGAGCATCTGCCCCCTGGTGGTCAGTGTGCATCACAGCGACCTGTTGTTCTGCCATTGGGTCAATTTGCATATTACCTTTTTATTATATAGGACTAGAGGCCCGGTGCACAAAAATTTGTGCACTCGGGGGGGGAAGGGGGAGTCCCTCAGCCTGGCCTGTGCCCTCTTGCAGTCTGGGACCCCTCGGGAGATAACGACCTGCTGGTTTAGGCCTGCTCCCGGGTGGCAGAGGGCAGGCCTAATCCCTAGGTGCAGCCCCTGGTCGGTCTCAGAGCAGGGCCGATTGGGGAGTTGGGGTGCTGCTCCCTGTCATGCACAGAGCAGGGCGAATCGGGAGGTTGCGATGCCACCCCCAGTCACGCTCAGGGTAGGGCCGATTGGGGGGTTGGGGCACCGCCCCCTGTCACACTCAAGGCAGGGTCGATGGGGAGGTTGTGGCACCACCCCGTCACGCACAGAGCAGGGCCAATCAGGGGGTTGGGGCGCTGCCCCTGTCATGCACAGAGCAGGGTCAATCAGGGGGTTGTGGAGCTCCCCCGTCACCCACAGAGCAGGGCCGATCAGGGGGTTGGGGTGCCACCACTGTCACACTCAGGGCAGGACCAATGGGGAGGTTATGGCTCTACCCCATCACACACAGAGCAGGGCCCGTGGGGTGGGGGGGGTTGGGGGGCTGCACCCTGTCACACACAGAGCCGCAGGGCAATCAGGGGGTTTGGGCACTGCCCCGTCATGCTGATCCCGGTGCCGGGAGACCTCGCGGCTCCGCTGATCCCAGTGCTGGGAGGCATATTACCCTTTTACTATATAGAATAGAGGCCTGGTGCATGGGTGGGGGCTGGCTAGTTTGCCCTGAAGGGTGTCCTGGATCAGGGTGGGGGTCCCCACTGGGGTGCCTGGCCAGCCTGGATGAGGGGATGATGGCTGTTTGCAGCTGGTCACACACCCTTCAGGGTGGGGGTCCCCACTGGGGTGCCTGGCCAGTCTGAGTGAGGGGCTGAGGGCTGTTTTCAGGCTGGGACTGAAGCTCCCAACTGCTCCTTTTTTTCTTTTTGTTTTATTCTGAGCCAGCTTTAGCTCTGAGGCTCCAGCTCTTAGGCCTCCGCTCCTGAAAGCAGGTATCTGGTTTGTTTAGGTTCTACAATCGAAACTCTGTATCAACTCCAGGTCTGAGATCCACACTAGCTGAAAGCTGGTTTCTGGGGTTTTGTTTAGCTTCTATTTTTGTAACTATGTTTCAAACTGCCAGCTTAGAGGCCGGCAAGGCAGGTGGGGAACGTTGGAGTCCTCCGTCACTGAAGCAAGCAAGCCTCATGTTAGTTTCAAGCTGCCTGGCTGCCGGGCGCCATCTTGGCTGGCAGTTAATTTGCATATCTCGCTGATTAGCCAATGGGAAGGGTAGCGGTTGTACGCCAATTACCATGTTTCTCTTTTATTAGATAGGATAGGTTTTCACTCCTGAGGATAGGTCCACCTCAGGTAAAGAATAATGAAATATTTTCTGCTTAACATCAGCCTTTGGTGGTACTAAAATACTACATCATAAATTTACATTCGTAAATTTTTTCATTAGGTGCTTGCTGTTTTTAATTAGAAATGGGGCTTACTGACACTTTCAGAACTATGAGCTTCTAACTTTGGCTTTTACTAGTAATCTTGCTAGCAGAACAATGAATAAAAGACTAGGCATAGACTTGCATTGTGAGTTTTAATTGAAAATATTCAAACAGCTTAGTAATGAATTATAAAACTTTGATAATTAAGTTGTACTACCATTTATGAAGCAAATATTACTTTTGTAGACTTGAAAGAAACTTTGCATACTTGTATTTTCTGTTCTCCATTTCAGAGAAACTATGAAGAGGTCTAAAATATGTACAAGTCAAAGCCCAACCAAGAAGTGAAATATAAAGAGAAAAAAATCTATAACAGCTGTACCGTAGGAGCATAGGTGGTTTGTAGCTCGTGTTTTGGGTGTGAAAATTTAGCTCATCTCACAGGATACAAAAGCAGGTGCAATAATAGAGCTGAATCATGTAAACCCCCGATCAATTATTTTTAGCATGCCTTTTAACTTTCCTTTCCCCTGGTTTCTTGTCTTCTGTGCCCGAGTCTTGAACTGGTAACCACTTGAGGGGGTGCCGGCGATAAATGGGCCATGGAGGAAGTGTCAGCTGAGCCAGAACAGAGAAAATGAATCAGCTGTAGCCACTAAAGAGCATTATGTATAATGCCTGGTTCCCAAATGACTCCTGCACTAAAGGTAAAACCAACAACCAAAGGACATTTGTATGAAAACCATGCCACTGCTCAGACAAGATACTTGAAGTGAAGCAAGCCTCACTGTTTACACATATGGCTTAAGGGCCAAAATAAAGGAGGGGAGGGAGGGAGCAGTGTGAAGATCATAAAAAATACTTGGCCCCGCTGGTGTGGCTCAGCAGTTGAGCGACAGACAACCCAGGACCAAGGGGTTACCGGTTTGATACCGGGTCAGGGCACATGCCCGGGTTGCAGGCTCGATCCCCAGTGTGGGCGTAGCCTATTGACGATGTTTCTCTCTATATATACCTCTCCCTCCCTCCCTAAAAAATCAATTTAAAAATATTTTTTAAAAATTCCTGCTAGCTTTAACTTTCAGATTATTGTTTGGAGCAGCTGCCAAAATAAATGAGGTGTATCCTTTTATGCAGCTTTTCTCACTGACCCTATAGCAAGGGGAAACACTGAGGGAAAAGTTGGCTCTGGTTTTCTCTAATAGGTCCAACCAAAACAACCCACTTCAGACAACACAATTTGCCACTAATATTCAAACACCCACAGATTTCTTACCAAACACGAAAAAACAAATCCAGCCATAACAATATAGACAGTCCACCCGAACTGTTCAGCCACGTACCCGTAGATAAATCCAACTATCTAGAGACAAAGTATATTGAATACAGTCAGTCTGGGGGGAAGAAGACGACACACACAAACCCAAACAAACAAAAGATTATGCAAAAGTCAATACTTACTGCTGAAAAAAGAATAATTCCCTGAAACATCTGTTCAGCTAGCTTCTGGCCCTTGTAATCCTAGAGGTGAAGGAAAGCAAAGCAGGATTCGTTCCATCACCGAAGAGACACCATTCCTGCCCTGGTCTCACAGCACTGGCACCGAGCAACCCAACGTCAGGGGTTCCCCAAGGAAATGCTGGGTTTCCCGGGGGAACGGAAGCACCCTAACCGAGCACGGGGGGGATTCTCGCGGAGGAAGGGAGGAGGGGAAGAGTGGAAGGCAGGAGTCGGAGCCAGGAACCGCGGTGCAGCGGGTGGGTCTCCCACAGGGACTCCGAAGCTGTCAGCGGGCGAGCGGCGGCGAGGCTGCCCGGGCCGAGGCGGGTCTCACCCTCACCATTTGCGTGGGCAGCGAGCTCAGTTGCTCCAGCATGGCTGGCTGAGGCGGGCAGCAGAATGCTGGCGTCCGGCAGCGAGGCGAGGGCGTCCGGGAGCGAGGCGAGGGCGTCCGGGAGCGAGGCGAAGGCGGCTGCGACTCAGGGGCCGTACGTTTTGGGGACTGGTCCCGGGCACGGCGCGGCGAGCCTCTCGAGCCGAGTGGAGCGATGGCCACAGCCCCGGAAGCGGATGTCTCGCACAGAACCGGCCGGCCCGAGGCTCCGCCCCGCTCCATCGCTAGGCGCCCTGCGCTCACGGGAGCCCGCCGTCCTGCCCGCTGAGGTGGGGACCGCGGCGGCCTAGCCAAGCCATTGCGCGCCGGGGACCGGTTCGCCGTCGGTGCGATCGGGTGCTGGGAACCGCGGCCCCGGCTCCCTACACTGTCCTGCACTGCGCCTCCGCGACTCAACGGCCGCCGGCGCGCGCCCCATCTCCATGGCGACGGGCTTTGTGTGGCGAGGACCCCGGCGCAGGGGCTGCCCGGTGGCGCCTGTCAGGCGGGACTCTCACCGGCCTGGCAGCGGGTGGGCTGGGGCCTGCGGAACGGCGCGGCGGCGAGGAGCCAGCGGGCGGGCGGACTCGGTCGGCAGTGCGGTGACGCAGGCGGCCGGGCGGTGACTGGGCCGGGGCCTGCAGCGCGGCGCTGAGCTGGCGGGGCGGGCCGGGCGCGGGCGGCGGCTCCTCCTCCTCCGGCTGCAGGTAAGGGTGGCCACGAGCATCGAAGGGTAACGAACGGCTCGCCCGAATCCGGAGTCTTTCTCTGGGCCTGAGGGGAACCTTGAGAGCGTCACCCCTAAGCGTAAGGTGGCCCTTTTGACCCCTAGAATTTAGAAGGGAGCACCCCAGGGCATGTCCTCGAGAGGAAGGAAATCCCTTCGGATAGGAGGCCGGGTCCTTGGCTGTCCCTTGCACCGGAGTGGAGAGAGCCCGCACCCCAGAGTCTCCAAGCTGGCCTACCCCCGACTTCCCCGGGCCCTCGCGGGAGAGACCAGCCCAGGGTTCTCCCTGCCTCTCTCAAGGCCTGGGTCTGTCTCAGAGCATAGGCTCCTCCCCTGTTTGAGAGAAACCGTTCCGGACCCGCCGGGCTGCGCGCCCCAGCGGGCTCCCTGGCCTCTGTGCGATGTTGCCCGTCAGGAGCACAGGCGGTGGGGTCCTAGGCGCTCCCAGGGCCGGTTGGTATGTGGCTGCCGCCCCCCCATTCATGCAGGCAGCAGACATTCACGGCGTCCTGTGTTGGGCCAGGCAACGGGCCGAGGATATGCTGTGACCAACACGAGGCCCTTGCCTTCCTAGCTCCAGAGTGTGCCCAGGGAGACAGCCACGTGCCCCAGAAATACAGGGAGCAGCGTTTACCCAGAGACAGGGAGGCCGGGGAGATGTGGGAACTCGGGGGCGGTGCAGCTGAAGGTAGGGTTCGGGGGCTCCCTTGACTCCTGAAAGCCAAGCAGGCCCCAGCCTGATGAGGTGGGAGAAAACGGACGAATTTCCTTAGTGTTGTCGCACCTTTCAGCCTGGCAGACACGTAACAGGCTTTTTTTGTCTTATGTAGAAGTAGACGTATTCCTGTGTTACCCCTCTTCAAAGGAACTTCAGAGGGTGGCAGTTGCAGAGACTTTATGGGACAGATCAGACGGGAAAAGGAAATTGCCTGTCAGGCTCCACTTGCAAGAGAGCTCCGTGGGAATCCATGCCCTTTCCCGTGATTATCGTAAAAGATCGAGCTCCCTTTCTGAGCTGAGAACCACCCTTGTTGCCCCTAGATGAATAAGATCGATCATTCAACAAGGATTACCTGCCTCCTACCGTTTGCCAGATGTGATTTTAGATGGAGAGGATACATCAGTAAATACTTTTCATTGGGGTCGCTTTTCTCTTAGAAGAAATAAATGAAATTTCATAATGGAGGGTGGAGGGGATGGAGAGTAAACTTCCCTGATGGGTAAGAGGACAGAAAAGTGACTGTGGTCTTCGGTGACTTCGATAAGACCAGTTTGAATGGAGCAGTAGGAATAGAAGTCTGGTTGGAGAAGGGCAAAGGGAGAACAAGAGAGGAAGTGGAGCTGGATACTTTAAATCCCTTCAAGCTTTTACAGTGAGGGGATGCAGAGAAATGGATTTGGGGGTCAACTGGGGTGAAGGAATAGTTTCTTTTCTTTTTAATGTATTTTATTGATTTCTTACAGAGAGGAAGGGAGAGGGATAGAGAGTTAGAAACATCGATGAGAGAGAAACATCGATCAGCTGCCTCCTGCACATCCCCTACTGGGGATGTGCCCGCAACCAATGTACACGCCCTTGACCAGAATCCAACCTGGGACCCTTCAGTCCGCAGGCCCACGCTCTATCCACTGAGCCAAACAGTTTAGGGCTCTTTTAAGTGGAAGATACTTGAGCATGATAATACGCTGATGGGTGTGATCCAGCAGAGAGAAAGAGTTTGCTGAGGCTGCACCTAGGAGGCAGTTATAGGGTAGCTTACAGAGCATCAGTGGAATGGCTTTTCATGTACATAGTAATGGGGGAAAGCAGAAAGGACAAGCACAGCTGCTGAATGTGAGTACTAATGCAGGTAACCAGCAAGTTAAAAAAGAAAAAGTGTTGCCCTGGCTGAGTGGATCAGTTGGAGCATTGTCCCCTGTATATTGAAAGGTCGTGGGTTCGATTCTTGGTCAGGGTACATACCAGGTTGCGGGTTCATTTGGAAGGCAACTGGTCGATGTTTATCTGCTTCTCTCTCCTCCCTTCTTCTCTTTCTGAAATCAATAAGAACATATCCTTATGTGAGGATTTAAAAAAAGAAAGGTCTTTTGCCCTATTGCCATATTTTTGGGGGTCCTGCCCAGAGTGAGTGTGTATGTGTTTTGTGAGTGAGTTGGGAATGTGAACGTTTAAAAATTTCTAAACAAAAAATATTAATTTTCATTTTGAATGTTGCTGATCAAATTGTATATTGTTGTATACTCTTAACAAAAATATAAGCCATTGTTACACATTCCAGGTTCTACATGCAATTTTGTTTTTAGAATTAATTCCTTCCAACCCAAATCAACAAATCCATCAGCGAGAATAGTGTTACAGAAAAACCGGAGAAGAACTAAGCAACACTTAGAGAGATGGAGTTACATTTATTACGCGCGGGCCCAGAATAAAATGTCTCTCAAATTCTGGGTGAAATCACACAGGAAGTTTCCTGTATTTATACTATCTTACGCTCTTTGTCTCCCCAATATGGGGTTTTTCCAGTTCCCTTTGCAAGTTCTTAACGGGCCCTATGTGCTGGCGCTTTGAGACCTCGACTAAAGGCTTGGCCTGACGCCAGCACTGATAACTTCGTCTGGGGAAGGTTTAATGGCCTCTATGAAATGGGAGTAGTCTTATTTTCCTTATTATTTAAGCCAGCAAGCATTTACAGAAGCCAGAAATAGCAGGGTTAAAATTCCAAACAGCAGTTTTTATATAAGATGGATGCTTCAATAGCACCAGGAAAGAAACTAAGAGTCAGACATACTCCATAATACTTGACATTTTGCGAATAGATAATTGTGGAAGAGTTAGGAGCAGTGGTTTCTGCCATGCCATCAAATACTTGCTAGGATTGTTTTTCTTGTGTCTAACCAACTGGAATAGCACAACTACGTACTACCTGTAAGTAACTTGCTGGACATTGTTGAGCTAAATCACTGTGCCTTGTACCATTAACTAGATGAGACTTATTTTAGTGAGACAGTTTTCTCCAGTCTTGGTGGAAATTGGGTCCTAAGTAAGCAGATGTTAGAGCTTTGTCTGAGCAGCTCCCAGCCTGCCAGCTTCTATATGAAAGACAGCCCACGTGATAGCAGCACATGGCTTCCATATCTAGTAATGTATATTCTTGAGAGAGGAAGTTCATTGATATAATGTACTGTATATACCGGTATACCTCTTTAGAAGGAGAGACACAGAGTATTTTAGATTGTTCTTGGGGAGTCTGAATTATTTTCTCCTGAATTTGTAATCAGGCCTGTGATCCCAGTTTTTTTCAACAGTCTTTCAATATATTTCTCCTGTTTTCAAAGGCCTTGAGAAATCAAATGCCTCATATGCACACTGTTTACTTAAGGTGTAATTAATTTAAACATACTTTGATTTTAGAAATAATGCTATATTTAAAAATGCTTGTAAAATGAATAGCCTTTTGTAAATGTTAGGTACTGCCATGGGAAAAGATGAAGTAGAAAACGGTGAAAGTCTCAGCTGTAGTATCACAATATCCTGATTGTTTAAATTCTGGTTTTAATATTAATTAATTAATCCTCACCCGAGGGTAAACACATCCATTGGTTGCCTCCTGTACGCTGGGGAGGAGCCTGCAACCGAGGTATGTGCCCATGACTGAAATCGAATCCGCAGGCCAATGCTCTATCCACTGAGCAAACCAGCTAGGGCTAAAATCTCTTTTTAAAGAAGCATTACCCAGAGATTATTGTGGAAATCTAATTGTTTAACTTAATACCACCTACTATCTTGTTTCCATTGAGTTATTTTTTATTTTTTTTTAAGTGAAGGCATGAGATGAGCTGGGGAGCATAAGTTGCAGGGAAGAAGCTATTTTTTTCTTTTAGCAGATTTTAATTTTTTGAGAATAGTACTCTAAACTTTTTTTATTATTGTTTTGGGATTTTTTTGTTCTCTGAACTTTTGATAGCAAAATTGGATTTTGTGAAAAAAATTTTTTTAAAAAAATTGAATCTATTTAAGGAAAGGGGGTAGGGGATGGGATATCCAAAGGGAAGGGCTACACAGTACTGAGCCGAGGGATCGTTGGGCTTATGGTGGCAGCACCCAGGAGCTGGAGTTTCAGAGAGGAAAGGAGAGGGAGAGAGTGATAGAAACATCAGTGATGAGAGAGAATTACTGATCGGCTGCAGGTACCATACTGGGGATGGAGCCTGAAACCCGGCATGTGCCCTAACTGGGAATCGAATCGGTGACCTCCCAGTGCATGGGACAGCGCTCCACCAACTAAGCCACACCAGCCAGGGCATGAATTTTTATTATGTTTTTGTTTTTTTCTGCAATAGTTTTAAATGAATGTGAAAAATGTTCCTTTTACCCTCTTTAATTCCAATGAAAGGTGAATGAGATACAACTCAGAACAGGGATGTTTTGTACTGATGAGGCTGACCTCAGGCTACTTGATCATAGACAACTGAGCCCCTATAATTTTTTGTTGTTAATTTTCACTTGAGGATATTTTTTCCATTGATTTTTAGAGAGATTGGAAGGGAGGGAGGGTGAGAGAGACACATCGATTGGTTGCCTCCTGCGTGTCCAACTGGGGCCAAGGGTCAAACCTGGCCCTTGAATGGGAATCGAACCCGAGACCCTTTAGTGTGTGGGCTGATGCTCTAATCACTTAGCAACACTGGCCAGGACTCCCTGTGAAATTTAACAAGGAATTTCAAGTAGAAATTCATACTATACTTTCCAGGGTGGTTAGATCCCAGCTAGTCCTCTGGGTAGAATTTCTTTGTTTTTCATCTAGAGGTATATAATGTACAAGGTTACCTTATTTTTCCAATTATTTGGAAGTATTTTATTATGACTACCATAAAAAATTCAGATCCCAAATTGGGTTCTTGGAAACTGAGTTTCTAGCAGAAGATATGCAATTCTTGTTTCTATCTGAATAAAAGTATTTAGGCATTTTGATGGCCTTTCTTCCGTACCTGCTGAATTGGGGGGCTTCTTTTTGTTTTGTAGGATTAATAACTAATATTTATGTAAGACAGAAGAGGAAGATGTCATTCCGTAAAGGTATGCTCTTTCTACGAGTTGTTTTTATTCCTGATCACAAGGTAAAGAGAGATAATGCAGGCTTTCCCTCTGTGTTTCAGTGAACATCATCATCCTGGTCCTGGCTGTTGTTTTCTTCTTACTGGTTTTGCACCATAACTTCCTTGGCCTGAGCAGTTTGCTAAGGAATGATGTTTCAGGTATGCGAACCCTTGGCAGCTGTTGAGCTGGAGTTACCTACGTCCCACATCCTAAGTATATCATGAGGTGAAAGGAAAAGAAACCTTTCTTGGCCTTATAAAAACTAAAGGCCTTGGGTTAAGGTCTGGTGGTACTCACTGTGCTCTGGTAGCCTTCCCTTTCCACCTCTTCTCCCTTCTGTGCGGTTATTTGCTAAGGATTTGATCTGACAAGATCCTTTACCAAATCAGAGGCCAGAAAGGAGTCTCTGTGGGCGGCTTCTATTTGCTCACATTTCAGCAGAGCAGGGCCTCAGAAGGTGGGGCCAGTGAGTGTCATAGATGTTTCATGCCTGCTGTGTTCACTAGAGCAGCCGTCGCCAACCTGTCGGACCTCATGGACCACCGGTTGGCAACCGCTGCACTAGAGTGTCAGTCTGGTTACTTCCCTTCTCCTGTTACTTTCCTATAACCTGTGAACTGTATCAGCAGGACTCTAGTAGTAAAAACCATAAAGCCATCAACCGATCTTAAAAATCACTTTATTATATAATTCCATTGCTAGATACTTAACATTAGTTGTTTATACTGCTCTGCCTTGGTATTGAGCCATGTTTGAAGCTTCAGAGTATTTGTTAAAAATCAATTTTGGATTGCCACACACCATAGTTGACCAGAGCAAGAAAAAACTAATAGCTTTCCTGCGTGTTCTGACAGGATGCTTTATAATAGTGTGTATATACATGTGTATGTATTTATATGTATATATATATATATATGGGGTGGGCAAAAGTAGGGTTACAGTTGTGAGTACATGAAACAGTTTATTCTTAGTGTATTATTTTCCATATGAACAACTGTAAACCTCCTTTTGCCCACCCCTGTGTGCACATAAAGTATTGCCTGCTTCTCATAGGAACTTTTATGAAAAAGAAAATAGCACTCAAGCTCCATGAGGGCATTTTGTTTACTGCTTTATCTCCTGTGCCTCTAAGTGAGGACTGGTGTGTAGGAGGTGCTCAGTAAAATATTCATTGACTAAATGATCAATGCCTAGAGATAATTATTAAAATTTTAACTTAGTACCTTTCAGTTCCACCCCCCCCTCATTTTTTCTGTACAGTTGAAATTATACTATATATAAATTTGCACATATGACATGTTTTTCCACATGATTATATCCTAAGTATGTTACCATGGCAGTGGAAACTCTTCATTAACTTTGTTTTTTTAAAATTATCTTGGTTAATTCTCTCTTGAGGATAGAGTGGAAGGGAGGATGAGAGACAGAGAAAAACATCAATGTGAGAGACACAGAGATTGGTTGCCTCCTGCACACACTCCAACCAGGGCCAGTGATCAAGCCTGCAACTGAGGTACGAGCCCTTGACCGGAATCGAACCCGGGACCCTTCAGTCCACAGGCTGACACTCTATCCACTGAGCCTGACCAACCAGGGCTCATATGTAATGTAATGCCACATAGTTTACTTGTTTCCATAGGAAAGTCTTTTATTACAATGACTGATTTTTTTATGGCAACCCCACAATAAGAAATATATTACATATAGGACACACATATACACATGTGTGTGCTGATTGTCTATCCACCTTTCATGATGGTAGAGATTTGTCTGTTTTATTCATGGCTATAACCCCAGTGCCTAGATATTGCCTGGCACATAGTAGACACTGAGTGTTCAATGAATGAGTAAATGAATGGATTATTATAAAAGGCAAAAAGGAAGGTTTACCAAACAATACGTGCAGTTGCTGTGTGGGATGCACTCTGATGTGTATATTTTTTTCCCACTCTGATATTTTCTCATTCAGTGTTCTCTTCCAATTCAGGAACTATTTTCTACTCAAATTCTGATCATGACCCTCTAAATTGGTTTCATGCCTACTTATGGGACATGATCCATAGTGTGAAAAACTTTTTGTTTCTAGGTTTTCACAATTGTAAATAAAATCGTGGCTTTTGATTACCTCTCAGATTATGTCCTTGAGAGGCAAGAGGAATTACTATGAGTCAAAGGCCATGTACCTGTTTAAGGCTCTTGGTACAAATTGCCAAAAATTGCTAGAAAGATTGTTATATTTCCATCAGTCGTGTATCAGAATTTGGTTGACCTGAGTGTTTGTTTTTTAATGCTGCTTCTGCTTTTCCAAAAACCTGGTTTTATATAGGAAAACACACTTTCTGGGCTGTATATTTACATTATTATGGGAAAGAATGAGGTAAATAAGCATCACAGTCCTCACCTCTTTTCATGTCTAGTGCTCTATGTCATACCTCATGAGATTGTGTTTATATCACAGTACCTTCTTGTGTTCTTTGCAGATTCAGGAATTGTGGGGCTTCAGCCCATAGACTTTATCCCAAATGCTCCCCATGATGCTGTAGATGGGAGACAAGAGGAGGTTCCTGTGGTCATTGCTGCATCTGAAGATAGGCTCGGGGGGACCATTGCAGCCATAAACAGCATTCAGCACAACACTCGCTCCAATGTCATTTTCTACATTGTTACGCTCAATCATACAGCAGACCATCTCCGGTGAGCTCTGCGCATTCTTCTAGAAAATGCTTTATGAGTATATATTTTCTCTATACAATTGAGATTATATCACATATAAATTGCACATGACAAGTTTTCCCAGTGATTATATCATAAGCATGTCCCCACGATAGCAGAAACAATGTAAGGAACTTTTACTAAGATGTAAATCAACTGAGTCACTATGTACACTGTTAACTCAATGTGGTATTTTTTTAGTTATAAATTTTCTCAGTGCAGGAAGTAATATGCTGATTTACATTCTGTTACAAGTTTCTCATCTCATGAAACATGCTCTGAGTATCTCTGGTCTAGAGTAGGAAGGAATGTGGGAGCGATGGCAAGGTAGTGTGAAGTGAGCACAGGCACTGATACAAATTCTGGCCCAGAGTGATTGGGGAACAGTACCTAACCCTTTGGAACCCTCATCTATAAATATGGGATGAAAATATTCAACTTAGAGGATCATTGTGTCAAGTAAATGAGAAAATATAGAAAAAAAAAACACCTAGTACATAATCGCTCAGTAAATGGTTATTTACTATTATAGTGATTAATAATAGAAACCCAATCTGAGGGACAATCTCATCCATGCTTTGAAAATGCTTTGAATTAAGGTTTCAAATTTTATTCCAAGAAACATCTAGGCTAACACGTTAATAGTTGTCAGAGTTCTAAAACATTTCTGTCCTTTTGGCTTTCTCCACGTTTCATATTTTGTGCAAATTATTTTAAAAACTCAGAACCATCTAAAATAATGTAGAAACAAATAGACTACACAGATACCATTGTGTCCACAAAATGCTGAATTGAAGTGGACCTAGAAGAAGCATGCAGTACTTTTCTCACAGGCAGAATTCTTGGGTGGAAGAATTATGTAGTCATCACAGTGAATTACTGTCTATAGATTAGCTAATTACCAGCTTTGTTGATAATTACTTTTTACTACCATCCTACTTTGACTCATTTTCTTCACCTATGTATTTGATCCATGTGGTGATCGGATGTTCTCAATTCCACAGGGAGTTCTACAATAGTTTAGTTTCAAAAGAGTGATGAAAAATGTGAGCCTGGTGGGAGAATCTTGGCTCAGGGAGGGACTTTGGTGGGAATAGTCTTCAGATGTGGAAACCGAGGCTCAGAGAAGTGAAGAGGTTGAAAGCACCTATTTGGTCCCTAGGGTTTCCCCTGGAAGGCGCAAAAAGATAAGGCTGTGGTTTTGGGACATTATTTAAAACTGAAATTTTGGCACTTCATTTTCATTAGGTCTTGGCTCAGAAGCAGTACTCTGAAAAACATCAGGTACAAAATTGTGAATTTTGACACTAAACTTTTGGAAGGGAAAGTAAAGGAGGAACCTGACCAGGGGGAATCCATAAAACCAGTGAGTTCCACTCATCTTTGTATATGAGAGTCTTAGGAAATGACTGAGTATGTGGGTAACTGTGGGTACAGTGCAAGCAGTTTCCTTGGACCAAGCCTGGGCAATTCTAAGTGACCTTTGGCATGGGTACTGAGAGCATTCTGGGGGATTCTAATAAATGAAATAGGCACACAGCCATTTGGTGAGTCCTGTCAACGCCTCTCCTTTTTCTTCCCCAGTTAACCTTTGCAAGGTTCTACTTGCCTATTCTGGTTCCCAGCGCAAAGAAGGCTATATATATGGATGATGATGTAATTGTTCAAGGTACCAAAGGATGTCACTCAGTGCTGTTTTGTCTAGAGCAGGGGTCCTCAAACTTTTTAAACAGGGGGCCAGTTCACTGTCCCTCAGACCGTTAGAGGGCTGGACTAGTTTAAAAAAAAACTATGAACAAATTTCTATGCACACTGCACATATCTTATTTTGAAGTAAAAAAACAAAACGGGAACAAATACAGTATTTGTATTTGCATGTGGCCCGCGGGGTGTAGTTTGAGGACCCCTGGTCTAGAGTGTGGGCTGTAGTGGTTTTCTTATTTATGGTATCCTATTAAGGTCATCCTAGGACAGTGATGGCGAACCTTTTGAGCTCGGTGTGTCAGCATTTTGAAAAACCCTAACTTAACTCTGGTGCCATGTCACATATAGAAATTTTTTGATATTTGCAACCATAGTAAAAAAAATTTATATTTTTGATATTTATTTTATATATTTAAAGGAAATTTAACAAAGAAAAATCGAGCAAAAAAATGAGTTCGCCTGTCACCTCTGACACATGTGTCATAGGTTCACCATCACAGTCCTAGGAAGAAGTGGGAGGAATAGGGAATCTTGAGACAACTAGTAATATAAATCTTATACCTTATCCATTTCAGGTGATATCCTTGCACTCTACAATACACCACTGAAGCCAGGACATGCAGCTGCATTTTCAGAAGATTGTGATTCAGCCTCTACGAAAGTTGTCATTCGTGGAGCAGGGAACCAGGTAAATTTCTTATTAGAACCCTTGTAGACACTCCCTTCCCTGTAAAGCAGGTTAATGGGGAGAGGCAGCAAACTCTGGGAACTTTTCTTTTTGTTGCTGCATTTTATATTCCTTAATTATTCCATCCCAAACTCAAGCCTGTTTTCCTATAGATTGGTTCATGGCCTTGACAACCTAATTCTCCTTGAACAACTGACTTATTGTTTCTAGTTTCCTATTCTGCCTAATGTAGAATCCCAAATGTCACTTTTATTTGCTTTATATGTAGAGTCCTTCATAATAATCTGAGAAATCATAGGTTTTAAATACGCAGCTCTTCCTCTTTACTGGCTGTCAAATTATAGCCATGTGCTGCATAACTTTCATATATCCAGCAGTGGTCCCAAAAGATAATGGAAAAATTCCTAGTGCCTAGTGAGCTCATAGTTATCTTAATGTTAAAGCACAATGTATTATGTGTTCATGGTGATGCTGATAAACAAACCTACCATGCACATTATAAGTATAGCACAATTATGAACAATACAGAATACTTGATAATAAACAACTTTATTATTGGTTTATGTACTTACTATACTACTTGTTATTATACTTGTTCTACTAATAAAAATGTTTTGCTGCCCTGGCCAGTGTTGCTCAGTTGGTTGGGCATTGTCCTGGCACTGAAATGTTACAGGTTTGATTCCAGGTTTTGGGCTCCATCCCCAGTAGGGGGTATGCAGGAGGCAGCCAATCTATGCTTTCTCTCTTCCTTCCTCTCTATAAAAATAAAAAGATTTGCTATAAAATACGTCATTACACCTGCAATAGCCTCATACATCTCGTTTACTGTGTCATTTTTAATTTTAGAGAGAGGAAGGGAGGAAACATCAGTGTAGGAGTGGAACATTGATAGGCTGCCTCCTGCACAGCCCTATCGGGGATTGAGCCTATAATCCTGAGCATGTGCCCTGACCCAAAATCAAACAGGCAACCTTTTGGATCTCCAGTTGACACCAACCAATTGAGCCACACCAGCCAGGACAACTGCATCATTTTCTCTTGTGCTTGATTTAATCTTGTATTGTTTTGTATAGTAACATGCTGTATAGGCTTGAGGCATGGGAGCATAGGCTATATACACAGCCTAGGTGTGAAGTAGGCCACTTCATCTAGGCTTGTGATAAGTGCATGCTATAATGTTCACACAATGATTTTGCCCAACAAGGTATTTCTCAGAACATATCTCTATCTGTAAGCAGTGCATGGCTGTATATATTTACTGTTTGAAGCAGTGAACACACTATATATATATCCCATTTGTTTTTAGTACAATTACATTGGATATCTTGACTATAAAAAGGAAAGAATCCGTAAGCTTTCCATGAAAGCCAGCACCTGCTCATTTAATCCTGGAGTTTTTGTTGCAAACCTGACAGAATGGAAAAGACAGAATATAACTAACCAGCTGGAAAAATGGATGAAACTCAATGTAGAGTAAGTATGAAACCACCCTAGCTGTATTTCAACAGGAATTAGTCATGATTCTTCACTAACAGCTTATATTTATCTGTCCCAAGAGAGGGACTGTACAGCAGAACACTGGCTGGCAGCATCACAACACCTCCTCTGCTGATCGTATTTTATCAACAGCACTCCACCATCGACCCAATGTGGAATGTCCGCCATCTTGGTAAGTAGAAGAATTAACAAAAGGCCTAAGCTAATAAAAAACTAAGTATCTAAAGGACTATCCTCAGGGATGGGATATATTGTTTCCTTTTAAGTTTTCTCCAGTTTGATGTAGCATTGTCATGTCTGACCAGTACAATCATTTGGCTTTTTCTCTCAATATAAGGCTCCAGTGCTGGAAAACGATACTCACCCCAGTTTGTAAAAGCTGCCAAATTACTCCATTGGAATGGGCACTTTAAGCCATGGGGAAGAACTGCTTCATTTACTGATGTCTGGGAAAAATGGTATATTCCTGACCCAACAGGCAAATTCAGCCTTATCAGAAGACATACAGAGATCTCAAACATAAAGTAAAACATAATTTATGCTATAAGCATTTCTCAGGAAATCCTGGAAGATAGTATGTGTGGGAAGTAATTGTGGCAACCCATGGGAAATGGAACATTTCAAGTGGGACAAGAGGACAAACGGCACTGTCTGCTTCCCTGATAGACTCCGCGTTCCTCCATCTGCCTTACCAAGTGTTTGCTTACTACAACACTGAATAACCAGAGGTGAATGGACTGAGAACAGCTGGTACAGCTAGTTCAGCACTGCTGCTTGGTTTTACATTTGTAACCTGTGGCCTGATCTATAAATAAATAAAGTGAAACCTACATTTTTCAGTAGGTATCGGACTTTTTGCATCCAGGTAAATAATTCTACCCATTCAGTGTACAAGAGATGAACTGTCTTTATGGAATTCAGACATTTTCTACATTGCCTGATTTTTTTAAATGACTATATTATGACACATATTTACAAAATTTACACAGCTTGTCATACCAGAAACAAACTGGTACATCATACACATAGAACAGTTTGTTCAAATTGTAAAAAACACAAAAAACCCCTAAGAGGACAAAGTTACATTATACATAGTCTGTACTGAAGTTGTAAGCATCATCTTCCTCTTCAGATATCCTATCCAAGACATAAGATTGTGCAGAATGTTCATCTATATTAGAGAAAAGAAAAGTGAGGGGTTTTTTTGGTGTTTTTTTAAGTAAAAGCAATTCTAATGGATTTGTTATAAGACCCCTTCTCCCCCCACCTAACTCACCTGCCCAGGCCTCTTTAGCAGGGGACGTGATTGAGCTATTTCCCTGTGGGACAAAGAGAAGCAGTGCTGTATTAGTAGCCCTGTGCTGCTTATTAATCTAAGTAATTATGTACCTGGAAAAATTCTCCAAAGATACACATAATGGAATCAGCAAAACAGACTAATGGCTGGAAGACTTAAACACCTAAATTGGGGCTTTGTTGTAATACTTAATTCTATCTTTAGCCCCTTCTCATTTGTTGTACATTTTAATATTGGAAAACTTAATTCAGCTTAAACAACTCATGAACAACATACTTACCTCAGCTTCTTCAACACTTTCCTGGTCACTATTGATGTCTTCTAAGTCCTCCCTCTCTTCCTGCATCCTTTCTTTCTGTTTTGGCAATTCTTCAACGATGTCCTCTTCCTCTGTTATTCCATTTGTCAGACCCGAGGACTGGAAAAGGATACTACTGCCTAAATGAGGGCCCCTGATGGCTAGGAAAGGAACACAGCACATACCAACAGATGAGACCTTTACTGGCCTTTCAACTGATGGAAAAGAGCAGTCAAACCCATGCCTTGCTGCCCTAGCCGGTTTGGCTCAGTGGATAGAGCGTCGGCCTGCGGACTAAAGCAGCGGTCACCAATCAGCGGATCACGGACCACTGGTGGTCCATGAGGTCCAAAAGGTTGGCGACCGCTGGACTAAAGGGTCCTGGGTTTATTAATTCCAGTCGGGCACATGTCCGGGGTGCTGGCTTCATCCCAGGGGTGGGCAAACTTTTTGACTCGAGGGTCACAATGGGTTCTTAAACTGGACCCGAGGGCCGGAACAAAAGCATGGATGGAGTGTTTGTGTGAACTAATATAAATTCAAAGTAAACATCATTACATAAGAGGGTACGGTCTTTTTTTTTTTTTTTTAGTTTTATTCATTTCAAACGGGCTGGATCCGGCCCGCGAGCCATAGTTTGCCCACGGCTGCTTTATTCCTAGTAGGGGGCGTACAGGAGGCAGCTGATCACTGATTCTCATTGATGTTTCTCTCCCTCTCCCTTCCTCTCTGAAATCAAAATATATTTAAAAAAAAAACAAAGCCTTACTTACCTTGTATGCTGTGTGCATTGTTCTTTTCTAGTTCTTCCAGATTCAAACCCAATTTCATGTCTGTCACAATGTTTTCATTAAAATGTGGAGAAAGAGTCCATGATGGAGGGGGATGGCAATAGTAGCCTAAAGAGCCACTGGTATTAAAAACAAGACTTGTCAAAAACCAGTTCCTTTATTCTATGTGGTCATCAAATGCCTACAAAGAAGCCTTACCCTGTCCACTGAGACCACAGCAGTTTGGCAGCACCTTCTACATTTGGGCTTCCACCTTTTTGGTGCAGTCCTCTTCTCTGAGCAAGCAAAGTAAAAAATTCTGAAGAGTTCTTAAAGTCTGGGACAGTGAATTTCAGTACTACCTTAAAAGAAAAACAAACTATCATTTGATATAGTACGGTTATTAAACAACAACAAGATTTTCTACTTAAAATGTGCATGAAGAGAGAACGGAGCTCAAGGGAAGGGGAAGGGATTCTACCTGTCGAGTGTCAGCCTGGGACAGGATGGCACTGGCAGCTTCCACTGGTCTTAATACTTCAATACTTGCTGGACTTCTCAGAGCAAGTGCGGCGGGAGAGTTAAGTGGAGACACAATGAAACTTGGACTATCTATGATTGTGATTTGTTTGTCCAGAGAGACAACCTGCATGCTCCTGGAATAAGATATGGTAATTGATGAGGGTGCTACTTTACCCGAAGGACAAAAGACAGAACATGAAGCTCAGGGTTGGATTGAACAAACTCAGCATAGTCTGTCAGATCCAGTTTATCATCATTTGCTTCACATGTATATAAATAAAACCATACTGCTCTCCTCCCAAAGAGAAACACTATGTTATAGCTTACATATTGACCTGAACACATGCTGCTTCCTATGCCATAAATACACACCGTCTTCTATCTGGCGGACTTCCATTTGCTTCAAGGCCAGGTTAAAGAACCACCTCCTCTGAGGGCGCTTTCTCCACTTTGAGTCTATTTGCTTATTTGTCTCTCAAACCAGATCATGGGCAGCTATTCCATTTCAATTCTTCCCCAAGCCTAGCACTGGCTTAACCTTTCACCTTTATAAGAATGGAAAATTGTCTTCTTTTAAGATACCCAAGACAAAACTATATTTACTCATCTATAATGAAATGTTACAATTATGGAACAACTCCATTTACCTTGTAAGTCCCATGGATATACCGACATTACATATCTGTTCTTGTTTTAAGCAGTTGATGAGGCTGCTTTTCCCCACATTTGGGAAACCTACAAATGGTAAATTTACAGATTAAAAGTCATTGTGTTGACAATTATAACATTCCCATTGTTTTGTTTTATGCTTGCTTTGTGTTTAGAGCAAGATCAGAGTTGGATCTGAGTGTCTTCACTTTAACACTAAGACCAATTTTAGCATCCTCATTTCTTGCACAAGTAATGAGAGGGCAGGAAAAGATGATTCATTTAAATACACCCAGAGCTTTAAAAAGCCAACTTCCTACAGTGCCCAGTTGGGAAAAAAATGAACTACGCAGCAATTACATAAAAATTTGTGTTTACATTGTGTGTGTGGTAAGGTGGGCAACAAGCTAGTGTTTAAACAAGTCCTTTATTTAGCAAGACCCCCATATACCCTTAACAGGAAAATTCTTGGCAGGTAAGAGATCAAGACATAAAATGTATTGAACTGAAACTCACCAATTACTCCAACCTGAATAGCTTTGCCATAAATCTCTTGAAAATCTCTAAGAAGTTTCCAAAGGCCTTCTTTCCCAACACAGATTTCACTTTTGAATGGAATGTTCCTCCTTACCTTCACGTTAAAATTGCAAATAATTAGTTTAACTACTTTTGACAACCTACCATATAAAAACCAAAAACCTGGCTCCAAAGACCAGCCATTAAATCACCATATTCTACTGCCTTTCAGATTATCTCTGGATGAAATCAGAGTTGGATCTTATATATTCTCATTATTTAAATCAAGATTTTGTATACTCATCATATTTCAGCCATCCAAAATCTGAAAGCAGCACACTTCCCACGAATGACAGTAAAGGGTACCTTGGGTATCTTTTTTTTGTCCTTCAGATTTGTTGAGGCTCTGAACACGACTGTGGGCAATTCCTTCTTCAAATAATTTAACCAGTTCTCCAAATTCTCCTTTGGTACCAAATCTGATAGTGATTAAAAATAAGACACAGAAGTTCCAATTTGGTTATTCCATTGAGATGAATTTGCAAATCCGAAAAACTATGGATATCACCCTGGTTTGCCTTTTCCCAGTTTTTTTCTTTCAGAAGGATTTAAATGGAAGATGGGGAAAGGGTAAGCTCTCCAGCATACTGCCCTTATCTTCACAGTTCAGTATGTATACTTCTGTATTTTTTCAATTCTCCTCTGTACTGCAAGATTAAGCCAACCTATAGATTATTACCCTAACCCTAGGGCTTTATTCCCTGGTTTACTGGTCAAATAGCAGTCATGTTTACTGACCAAACAGTAACCGTAGATCCCACTATTACTCTCTGCTTCACAGGTCTCTCTTCTAGATTTTCCTGTTCCTGCTGCTCAAACCCAGGCATAGTTAACTATGGATTTCATCTAAATATTGTCACCTATCAACACTGTGCAGGTGTGGAGAACCTGACAGAGAGCCATCACTTCCTATATGAAATACACTGCATAGTAAGCTGAGTATAAAAGTTTGTACTCTTAAGACAAAGTTCTAAGTATTGAGTAACAACAAAACAAAACCAGCAGAAGCCAGTCAAACCACTTGTAGAAAACACTACCCCTCTGCCCAATACCGGTCTTTGGCAACAAGAGAGCAAATGCACTGGCTTTGTTGAGGTCAGAGTTGGATCTTATCAGTCTTCAGGGAAAGTCAGACTGTTCAGATGTTTTCCTCATACCTCACTAGTGCAACATGAAACATGAAGGGCATTCCTTTTGCTCACCTGATTTATTTAACACAAGTACCAGCCTTTTCTGTCCACCCTGGACAATGGCCTTTTCCACCTGAGGACACCTGCAACCAAGAGGATCTCTGGCATCCAACACTTCCAGCACAACATCTGAGGCTTCAATCACCTGTCAAGGTAGAAACTATCAGGGAACTCCTACACACAAGTATACTGGCCCTGTCCACTTTGCAACAGGGAGAGCTCAGAGTTGGATCTCATTTCTTCACTTTGGCATGAATGGTCACGTTCATCATTTCTCACAAGAAAGGTAACACAGGTGTGCTCAGCCTCTCATCTCTCAACAGATTTTAAAAATGGAAACACCCCCACTGTCTGAATATAGCATCTCCCCATAGTGAATTAGGTCTTTAGATAAGTTTTGGGGGCCTTGCCAAGAGCTGCTGAGAAACTTGGTCAAGCTCTATTACAGAGGAGAGTGAGCTTGGGAAAACAGGTGTGGGTGGTCATGCTGGGGAGCAACTATACCAAGATGCTCCCTTGATTTCCTACAAAGCACTTATTTTAATGTATTTTGCAGTTTTAAAAACCAGTGTCAATATGCTATTTTAACACAAAGTATCACTTTTGTGAATCATGCTTATGGAGAACTGTCCCTGTGCAAAAATTTAAAACCATAAGAATGTTTTCATCAGCTAAACGTAACAGAAAGGCCCTAAATAGGATAAACCAACTTGCTTCAGCTCTTGTGAATGGCTTCTTCCAGCTCAAGGGAACTCTACTTCATCTTTACTAGTACAAGGTTGGTCAGAAAAAAAGGAATGACTCTAGTCTTTTAAACCTCAATACCATTTTTAGAAAGACCTAAGGTACCTTTTTAAGTTCCTGACAATACAACTTCTTTGGATTCTGTTTAGCCAGCTTGGCTTTCTTAGCTTTGCGTTGCCCAAATTCCTGAAGGATAAAGACAAAGGAAAAAGATACAAAATTGGAAGATCAGCAGTTGTAACTGGTTTCTCTATTTTCCATGGCTGATAAGGGGTACTGCAGTTGACATTTAAATAGGTAATACAGTGTCTGAACTCGATCCTTTTCTTCCCAAGAGGCACAGCAACTCCTGTTTATGTTCTTTTTCTTCTACATCAGAACTCATCTCTCATTCAGAGACTTGATCGTACCTCCTTCACAGATGGCTCAACATCAAGGGTAGCTTCACATTTCCTTTTCTTTTCCTGTTCCTTCTGCCTGTCAAGTTTCTGCTGCTGTTTTAGTTCTTCAAGCTGTGCCCAAGCCATAAGAGAAGTGGGTAAGCCAAAGTGACGTGGTGGTATTACTTTACTTCAAAAATAAAAAAATACACTTCACTTGCTGAAAATTTCAGCTAACGTATCTTACCTGTTGTTTCCTTAGCTCAGCTTCCCGAAGAAGAGCCTCCTTAAAGGGAGCACTGTTTGGAATTCCTGGATCTTTCCTAGGTTTCTTGTGACCCCGTTTCTTAGCCTCCTTCCTCAATTTTCGATGGTGCTCTCGAACCTAATATGATAAAAAACAAATTTATCAGTTTACAAAAATACTAAACAGAATTCTTGTGAGAAATTTAGCTATAGTTTAGTTTACCTGTAAAATGACTGAGAAAACTAGAACTTTAGTTGTAATCATACAGAGAGTTGCCTATTTATGTATAAAACAGCAAGAAAATGTCATTGGGCCCTGGCTGATTTGGCTCAGTTGAATGAGCGTCCTCCCAAAAGGTCGCCAGTTTGATTCCTGGTCAGGGTCCATGTCCAGTAGGGGTCATGCAGGAGGCAGCTGATTGATGCTCACATTTATTTATTTTCTCTCTCTCTCTCCCCCTAATAAATTTTAAATACTCTACACCAGTGGTCGCCAAACAGTGGTCCAAAAGGTTGGCGACTGCTGCCCTACACAATATATTTAAGAAAATGTCACTGGGAGATTCTTTTTGTGTGAAGGTTGTTAACATGTTGATCACAGTTTACAGATTTTATCACTGAATTACTGCAGTTTCCCACAGCTGCACTCTTGATGCCTAAGAGGTTGTGCTGCCCAGTATCTCAGTTGGTTAGGGTGTTGTCTGGATATGCCAAGGTTGCTGATTGGATCCCTGGTCAGGACACATTCAAGAATCAACCAACGAATGCATAAATAGGCCGAATAACAAACTGATGTTTCTCCCTTCCTCTTTCTAAAATCAATCAATTAAAAAAAAAAAAAGCTGTGCCATGGTCAGTATATCCAACCTCCATTTCCTGAGATGAGTCATACACATAGTAATCCAAACCTTCTCCTGGAGGAGAGAGGAGGCAGAAATCAGTTTAGCATTGGATTTGGCATAGCCCTCCCAAGCACAAGTCTTACCTTTTTCTGGATTTTATACCGCTTATGGCAGGTCATGCGTTTACTTGCTTTCTTTAACTCTACAAAGAAACACATCACAAAAGAGATTACACACTAATGATCAGTTTTAGTTCTTGGTGACTGCACTCTGGGGTCAGGACCCTTTTTGTGTAAAGTAATAAGCTCTCAAATCACGAGGGGCACACAATAAAAACACACTTGCCACTCAAATCCCAGAGAATTTGACTAATAGATCGAGAGTAGAGCCCAACTCCCCGCCTCCCACACTTCCAGTATCACATTGGGATTGCACTCAGGAGTGTAGGAGGCCCATACGACAGCCACTCTTGTCAACCAAGAACCACAAAGTAGGAGCAAAAGAGGCGACTCTCAGACCTCACTGGGCTGGACTGAACGCAGCCGCATAAAGAAAAAAAGCGGCCAGCCCTGAGCGGTTTGGCTCAGTGGATAGAGCCTCGGCCTGCGGACTCAATGGTCCCGGGTTCGATTCCGGTCAAGGGCACGTGCCTTGGTTGCGGGCACATCCCCAGTGGGGAGTGTGCGGGAGGCAGCTGATCGATGTTTCTCTCTCATCGATGTTTCTAGCTCTCTATCCCTCTCCCTTCCTCTCTGTAAAAAAATCAATAAGACGTTAAAAAAAAGAAGAAAAAAGCGGCCATAAACCTGGCTCGGGCTGTTTCCTCACGAGACTCCAGCCTGATGTGGACTTTTATGGCCCAGATCTCCTTCTGTACCATAGGCCCGAGGTTAACACGAGCCTTCCAACTCTCGGTTCCACGCGGGACCAGCACAATGGCTGATGTCATACCCGCAGGCCCCAATTCCTGCGGAGACCAAGCTTCAAAGAGCACCCTGATGGGTCATCGACCATCAGAAACAGTGGCCCCTCCACGTCCGCCCTGGACAACACTCACTCGGTCGCTTCATACTGGAGGTGGGAGCAGCAGCGGCGTTAGGGGTAGCAGCTACAGCCTGCCTCCTCCGGCACCGCGTGGGATCTGAGGCCTCCGGTGAGCGTCACTCACTCACGCTGCCGCCGTAAAGCACGCCGCCGGCGGCCCGCGTGCGCGAGCACGCAGTGTCGTGCAGCGCTGGAATCGCTTGGCGGCCCAAGGGTGGTTTTGCGGCAGCACCGGGAGGGGTGAGGGCGGTGAGGGCGGCGGGTGAGGAGCGACGGCAGCGGTCGCGGCCGGAGGAGCTCTAGCAGCAGCCGTGGCGGCCACGGGGCGGAGCGCGGCGGTCGGGGACCGCAGCCGGGGCTGCAGGCGGCGGAGCGGCTGGGTAAGGCCGGGCCTGGGGCAGGCGGGGCCGCTCCTTTCAGCCGGCTCTCGGGCCTTTGTGTGGGCCCGGGCGGGCGGGCGGGAGCAGCGGCGGAGGCCCCGCCCCGCGGTGGAGACGCGCCGGTCCGGCCCGGAGCGCGGGGCGGGGCCCGGCGGCGGGCTTCGGGACGGCCTGGCCACCCTGCGGCACCTGTCTGCCGGGACAAAGGGCGCCGGGCCCGGAAGCTCCCGCGCCCCCTTCCCGCCGGCGGCTGGCCGGGTGCTCGTCGCGTCCCCGCCGAAGCTGTCAGCGGTTCCCTCAGTGCCCCGTCCGGTGACAGGTCGGGAAAGCAGGTTGGGCCTTTTTTTTTTTTTTCTTGACGGATCTGACACAAACTCTAATAGTAATTTTTTTTACACTTTCCAGATGACTGTTCAGACTGATTATTTTTCTCAATGGGACTTGTATTCATAGTAGACGTCAGATATTTAAGAATCGAGAGATTTAAACTGTACATTTCTGTTTTTTAATGTTCTCATATCTTAAAATTTTTTAACAGAAAGACAAGTGTAGTTTTGTTCTCGCAGGGTAGATACCGGTTACTCGGAAGGGAAGACAGATTGGCAAGAAATGTAGGAGGAATCCTGAAAAACAAACGACAAATACAGAGTGTAGTGGATGTAGACATTATAACCGGAGAAACATACGTTGGAATAAAATGTTTTGTTAACTTATTTTAAACTAGGTCTCCTCAAAAATGATTGTTAGGTGTTCCCCCTCCCATTTAGAAGGGCACTCTTTCCCAAGTATCAGTCGGAAGCAAACTGAACTCAATACAAATACAAGAGAGCAGTATATTGGTTGCTTTATTACTTGTTAACAGGTTACCCATATTTTTAGATTCGAATGAAGATTGGGAAGTGTTTTTTGAAGAAGTGTTTCAAATTAAAATAGTAACAAACGTGTGTGGTGAAATGGAAGGGTCTTGACCACATTCTTTGGCTTTGGGAGTGTCCACAATACTTCAAATATTAATATTCTATCCAAATCCCCAATATTAGAAAATAAAGGGGTATCTAGATGTTAGGCAATTACCAAGCCATCAAACATGTGGAGGAATGTTGACTTGGAAGAGTCTTCCCTAAATTACAACACACGCTGCAAAATAATGCATGTGGTTTGCTAAAGCTTTTGTTTGAGGGGGGAAAAAAGTACTGAAAGCTGTGAAAGCCAATGTTAAGGGTGGTTTTTCTCTGGGAAATAGGATTATAAGTGATTTTCCCCCCATTTGAATCATGTTTTCCACAATTCTTGTTGTAAGCTTGTATTACAACAGGAGAGCACCAAAAACTTACTGACCTTCAAAATATACCAGTTGGCTATACTGAGTAACTATTTTCCCAGTTACAGAGTTATTCTTTACTATAATTAATGTTTGGTTTTCAGGCCTTAGGACATGTCAACATAATTAATGCCATTTTAAAACTTGCAAGTCAGCTTTGGAATTTACTTTCCTCTTCATAGAAAAATAATTGCTGAAGGAATGCTCAGAGGGTGTTTAAATTACACAAACTTTAAAAAATGTTTCACTTAAGTGCTCTTTTAATACGTTTATTAAAAACATAAATTGATCACCCAAATTTTACCAGATATTATTCTATAAGCCAAGGCTATAAAATTCTGTTTCTGTGCCCAGGGAGCATGCAGTTCTAGAGTTGAAACAACATTTGTGTTGTGCTTTGAAATTTCAAAGTGATATTTCACTGTCACAGCAATCCAAGGGGGAGCTGTACACTTTACTGTTCTCATTTTAGAAATGAAGAAACAGATCTGAGAGATTGTGACTCAAGCAACAAACAGATGTTTAGAAGTGGAAAAACTGGGTCTCTCGTCTGCTGAGCTCAGGTCCTGTTGCTCCTCCCGCCCACCTGGCCACATTACTTTCCTTGCCAGACTTCCAAAGTACATTTTAAAATGTGTCCTTTGGATAAGAACATATTCAAAAATTATTGTTACATTGCATCCTTTATTGTATCAAGGTAAATTAATGACTCAAGGAATTTTGGATATTGAATAGTCTAAACTATATACAAACAGACCCCAATGATTTATATTTTTTTGTCAGTGGATTATTTGTAAAAGTAATTTTGACCTCCTGCCAAAATGATTGAAGGCTCTTTTTTTTTATAGCCTTTTTAAACTTGTATGTGGTGTCTTCCCAATGGTGATAGGACTTTGGAAAGAAATGTTGAGGGGAAGAGGAGTTTTCCTTACTCTTTGCTCACAGGAGCCATTCTTGATTCTAGCTTGCCAACACTTGGTGTCACAGGTGAGCCTTCCACATGTGTTCACTCTCCAATCTAGCTCTCTGATTGAGCTCTGCTCTCATAGGGGGCATTTGGGTAGGTATGCTTCATTCCTGGAATTGACCATCATTCCGTGTGAGTAAAGGGGAACCTCAGTGAGACATCTTCAAGCACATGAAAACCTTTTGTTTTAAAATGGAAGAAATGTCAGGTACTTTTAATGCCTGAGCCTTTATAGCAGTTAGTTTCATTGGCACAAGAAAACTGATATGCCTATTTTCTCCAGTTCTCTTATCTTTCCTTAGCAGCCCTACTTAAATGTTTTCTATCTATTCGTACCCATTTTTACTTCTTCTGACTCTTCTTTTTTATTTCCCCTTTCTCTGTCTTCTTCTCTTTCAGTTTTGAATATATTAACACTGAATCAGCACTTTTAAAGCCCTGCCTTCTCCCACTGGCTTCACTTGGCCTTCAGACATAATGAGGAGACTGGCTTTTCGAGGCGCTGGTTGTGCTCTGGTAAAGCTGGTAAATTACTGATCATCTACAACCTTTCCCTTTTCTGTCCTTCCTTGCCTTTTCCCTCCCACCTTTCTTAAAATTTGTTATCCTTTTCATAAAGATTCCCTCCTCATGTTTATCAAATCACTTGTGTCCTTGTTATAGATTTGTTTGCAAAGAGTTGGTCCTTCCTTTCTTCATCTTAATGATTGAGGACAGTTTATCAGCCTTTTATAAAACAAATAAAAATTAACAAAACTTGGCTATCTTTGGCTTAGCCCTTTGAGCTTTTAGCCAGTTGTAGCCAATTGCAAACTAATGCAGTGTGTAACAAACCAAAGCCTTGAGGAAGAAACACCTTGATGGTGGGCTCTTTTTAAATACAAGGACTGTTGGAGGAATAGAAAGGAAGCTCCTTGTTTCTTAGTTGCTTACCAGGATAGTTTATTTATTGGTTTGTTTTGTTCCTGCTTTCATTCCCTGGAGAGCCCCCATTTTTCTCTCCATACTACTAGCAACCCATTCTTCCAGCTGTTGTATCTTAGTTTCCTGAAATGGAATGTTGATGAGTGAAACGGATTAGGTGTTTTGTGTTTTGTTTTTTTAAGTTTTAGACAAAGACCTTTGAAATCACAACATATTTGATACTGTTGTTAAATTGTATACCGGTAAGCATTGTAAGACCTTCCCAGTATAAACCCTTCCTCTCTAGATGTAACAGATCATTTCAGTGATTACATTTCTTGTGTTAGAGAGTCAAATGTATACATTTGTAAAGTTGTGTTAAGATTAGTTACTTAGCAGCCTGCCTGAAACCAAGGACACATTTATGCCTTTCTGAAAGGCCAAAGGACCTAAACACTCACCTCTGAGGTGCTCTTCCAGATCATCTACTGAAACTTAAAGCTGTGATTTCAAAATTCATTGGGATAGAGTACCTCATGTAACTGAAAAGGAGGTTAGTCTGGATTGACAGAAAAGTTTCAAAGCAGGCTTTGCTAATTTGGCATAGGTATGGCAAGTCACATTAAGTGTTTTCTAGGAGTATGCCTTATGAGTCCTTCAATAATGGAGAAAAGTCATTCTCGGTGTGTTAATTTTAGGGTGTATCTAAAATGCTAGAAGGTTAATTGTCCTCTGTCCCCCTAATTTTTTGCACTTCTTATTTTCCTCAGGCACAACTTCCTATTCTTTTTTATCTCATAGCCCACCTGGGAAATGATCATAATTGTAAGACACATTGGGGAAGAAAGATAAGGCTACTGACTGCAGAGGACTGCCTTGGGACCTCTGTCCTCAAGGCCTGCCCGGCTGCCCCAGGGGCCGAGGGATCAGTACCTGCAGTACACTGTTGTACCACCGCACGTGGGTTTTCAAATTCCAGTCCAGAGTAATTTGGGAGCCAGAATTGGTTTGAGTCGTTCAAAATTGGTGATATACAAATGAGTACACTTTTGCTGAATTTGTCCCATCCAAATTGAAAGTGTAGCATTCTGGTACATGAAGGGACTAAAGCAACAAGCAAGGTACAGGACTTCCATGGAAAACCCTCTGGTTAGACAAACTTCTTTGCCACAGTTAAAATCTTCCTGAGTGAACCAGAAGCTTGATATCAGGGGCCAGCTGAGGGCTTGGTGGCAGAGTCTAAATTTAAACATAAGAACATAGCTAATTATTTCTTATAGAAGAAGTTGGATTCCATGGGTTCCAAAAGAAGAAGAGCGACCTCCCCTTCCAGTAGTGTCAGCGGGGATTTTGATGACGGGCACCATTCTGTATCTACACCAGGCCCAAGCAGGAAAAGGAGGAGACTTTCCAGTCTTCCAACTGTAGATCCTGTGAGTAACTTGGATCGCACTGTTTTTCTGCCTGCTTTTCCTATAATTCCCTATCTTTTAATGATAAGCATTAAGATGCAAGGCCTCTCCATTTCTTTTTTCTCTGGCTTGATATTCTTTTTTGTTGTCGTTAATCCTCACCTGAGTATTGATTTTTTTAGAGAGAGTAAAAGAGAGGGAGAGTGCTAACCGGTTTGGCTCAGTGGATAGAGCATCGGCCTGCAGACTGAAGGGTCCCAGGTTCG